CCATAATATGGCGTTATTACAGGAGACAGTTAATCGCCTTCAAAGTACAATTGATGAGCAGAATAAACGTAAGAGCCGAAAACGGCGGTATATCCCACGCGAGGACATAGCAGAGTCTCAAACTGTGGGTGAGATAAGTGATCTACTTGCGAGGGACGAGTGTGAGGATAGTAAGATGCCTGCGAAGAGGGTGCGCGGTGAAAGGCGCTGCGGGCGATGTAAGGAGACTGGGCATAATACACGCACCTGCACGGCCGATATTGAGTTAGAGACTGATAGCGAGGCTTCTGAAGAATAGATTAGCTTATTAGTATTTTGATTTTACTGTGATAATAGACTGTAATAAGGTTGCGATGTTCATAAGCTTAGGAAAAGGTGCCAGCTCGCTTGGGGTGCCAGCTCGCTTATGAAACACGTTAGACAATATATATGTTAATGTCTCCCTACAAGGCCTGGACCCTAGTTAGATCAACGAGAAGTAATCGACCAAATGTTTATCAGACTTGATAGCTTCAACTTTGATAAGTCATATTACGAACAATAAAATTCAGAATTTAGCCCCAGTACATCGGATATGCAATATCTCCAAAGAAGCAGACACTGCACCCACTCTTCCCATTCACAATACCACAAGCGCTAACCTCGTAAACCACGCCGTAATCACCGTTACACAGAAAGCCAAAAGCAATCCACCATTCCCTTGCAATGGCACACACATATTGTTAGAGACAAAGGGCCAAACCCCATTCCCCACAAAACCCAGTCGTTCGGCTACCTCACGAACGACGGTAACAACGTGCCTAGAAAACCCCAAAGACCGGGAGAGCGAAACATGCATTCCGCCAACCTGTTCCCAATCGCTTCCTAAACAGCCTTCTGGGAATCGACAAGTGCGGGAATATCTTACTGCTCGGATCAAGTTTCTTGCAACATACATCAAGCCCCGGCGCTGGTGTGTTCTACGACATGTCAAACCGCAAGCCAAAGGAGTTACGAGATACGAGGATTGTAACTCGGTGACTTCCAGCTGCGAGGACGCTTGTGCGACGAGCGGGGAAAGATTTGTTCCGCTTTCAGCTGTTTCCAAGTAGGCGGGTCTCAGCAGGCCATTGAGGTCTCACGAAATGCTGAACTCTTGGAAGTTCTCTTCGGTTGCAAAAGATGTGACTACGGGTGTTTCGATGACTAGACGTTGAAAGCCGATGAGACTGTTCACTGAAGATCGTTTCTTGAAAATGGTGTCACGCATGGATTTGGGATGGGGTTCAGTCGGGATATGGTTATGTTTGCTAATTAAGTTTGTGATTTACGTTCCGAGCTATCAATAATAATGTTGAAGATGATGTTCGTTGTCAGGAGCATTGAAACATTCCTTGGTGTAGCAACTCAACTCAAGCCAGAAGTAAAGTACGACTGAGTAGATCGGCATGTTAGAATAATCTTCTTTCGTAGAAAAGTATGTACAGTCTATGCCGAAGCTACATATAAAATGTTTAATTCCGTCTTGATACAATCGATTCAAGTCCAAATTCCCGCCCATGAAACGCCACGCTAAAACTTCCAATAACCAAAGCAACGAAATGTCGACAGACAAAAACGCTCTCTCACTTGAGCTTCCACCACTTCCGATTCCCGCTCCCACTTCTCGCGACACCGCCTACTCCCCTCCCTGCCTCGACCTCTCTGCTTGATCTATCCTCTCCAGCCTCGATAGTCGACGTCGCGTACAGGCCAGTCCTAAACTTCAGTTGGTACCCATCGTTCTTCTCTCCAGAGATTGCTTCCAGCCTCAGTCTCTTCGTCTCGGGGACCAGGAGGCTGGTCAACATGCCTAGGAACATGAACAGCGCGAAGATTTGCCTGATGGGATTTGTGTCAGTATTTCGAAGTGGATGGGGAGGGGCGAGGTATGGAGGGGGATTTACATTACGGAGTGTACCCAGGGCACAGGGTTCTCGTGGGTGGCACCGCGCTTGATCATAGGTGCGAAGACGACTTGTGCGATGACGGCGCCTAGCTTGCCCATGCCGGCGGAGAAGCCGTGTCCGGTGCAGCGGACGCGGGTGGGGAAGACTTCTGCGGGTGATATGAACGTCGTTGCGTTTGGTCCTGTGAGAGCTGCGTCAGTACGAAGACGTTCATTAGCTTGAGGTGTGTGCGAGAGCTTACCGAAGTTGAAGAAGAATTGTGCCAGGACGTAGAGGGCGAGGAGATGGACTTTGTCCAGCTGTTTCCATGCGAAGCCGAGGACGCAGAAGATGATGGTCAGGATGGCGAATCCGGCGATCTGGATCGGTTTGCGGCCTATCTTGTCGACGGTGAAGACCGTCATCCAGTACCCTGGTATCGCTCCCGCGCATATAAGGACGAGTTGCCCCGTGGCGGTGTTCTTCAGATTTTCATACAGGTTTGCTTTCTTATCAAAGCCCATGGTGGAAAGCAGGGAGGCAGAAGAGAACCCGAGGCCGTAGAACGCCAGGTCCAAAAAGAACCATGAAAGAGATGTTCCTGCGAGTTTGAGTGCGTTCTTTCTCTTTGAGAAGAATTTGAGCACTTCGATGAGTGTCGGTCTTGGCGTCTTGTACTTTTCCATGTCGCGCCGACTTTGGGCCTGGAGGACGGGATTGAGTGCATTGCCTTCTTTTCCGTATCGATATTTGCGCGCATCCATCGATGCTTTCTCAATGTCGTACGTTATGTCTGCTGAGAATCTGGGCGTTTCCGGGATCGTGAGTCGGTAGTAGAGCGCGAACCATCCGGGCACTCCTCCAAATGCAATGATGATCCTCCACATACTATCAACGGCTTGAGCACAATCTCCCGTGCAGGCGGCGACTGAAGCAATAGGCTCTAGGTGCTTCCTGTAAGCAACAACAACGATGAGAGCCATTAGCGAGGCGGCGAGCTGGCCAAGCCCTTGCATCGCGAACACGGCGGCGATGATACCTCCACGAAACTGGGTGCTTGCGAATTCTGCTGTTATGACTGCAGAAAGTGGGTAGTCTCCTCCTACTCCTATGCCCATGATGACTCGATAGAAGATGATGACGCCCACGATGGATACGGCCGACGACTCGCCGCATAAGGACTGCGCAAGGGTTGCGCCAATGATGATCATCAACTCAACTCCATACATCTTCTTTCTCCCCAAGAGATCGGCGAGATAGCCAAATATGACTTGGCCAAAGATGGCACCAGCAGACGTCGCGACCTTGATGGCAGTGTCTGCATTGGCAGGCATGACGCCTTTGTGGATCTCATCTTGCCAGAACACTATACCCAACCTTTTAGCTGTCAGTACCAACTCTAATTTTTCGGTCTAGAATAAAAGCTTCAGAGCCTGACTGTACTCACATGATAGTTGCTAGGTTGATCGCAAATAACTGCATTATAGTAAGTTTCTAAGAACGTTATAAATCGATCAATATGGGTTGACTGACACTGTATGCATCCGTAAAGAAACCAATACCAGTAACGACGACCAATCGCACATGATACCAACCGAATGGAGCTTTGTCGACTTCGGCTAATGCCATGCGACGACGTTCGTTGGGGTCAGTGATGTGTGTCTTTGAAATAACTGTTAGTCGAATGTGGTCCGAGCCTCCTCATGTCGAAAACCAAAACACATACGTAAACTCCTTGGACATCACGGTAGGCAGAATTGCCCCCGGGCTTCTGACTTGGAGGCATTTGGAAATAGTGCTATCGCTGTGATTGCTTGCTGTTTGATGGGTTATGCCTAATGGGCCTATGGTTCCATTGAGACAGCATACGAAATGGGTAGTTGAGGGCTGGAGAGATGGCGATGATGAGAAGAGGAGATCGACAGTGTAAGCGTAAGACGTGGACAAGGCAAGTCTATTGTAAGAAACGGTCCGAGCCTCTACTCTCCACGCATTACGTAGAATTATCGTTGCTCGCGTGGTGGGATGGGTATGTTTCGAGTTTCTTTTCCCTCCACGCCGAGAGAGAGATATTTGCTGAATCCTGGGAAAGGGAAGGGAGATGGTGCCATTCCTCGTAATATCAATTGGACAGTAGCGACAAGGCTGAAGGGGGACAAGGGCTTGGGGGGTTTGTATCGTCTGATTTGGCATTGCACTTTAGTCCGGACGCCTGGTGAGGGATATCCGTAAGGAGTTGTCCACGCTCTCACGTTCGCGCTTGTGATTGGTCCAAATGGCACCAGAACACACAGGACAGGAGGACTACCACGACTCAACGGAAGCATTGAACAGTTAATTGAGGCAACACAACGCAATCAACGGCACGTCGAGAACACCGTCCATCGGCTCTATCCCATGTTTCAACACGGACTTGATGCTTCTTCCAGTCCCTGGAGAACCATCGCTCGTCTTCCCCAGTACTTCGTACCGTACTAACCTTCAGACCATTGAAAGCCACTCAGCGTGCTTTTTCGTACAATCGAGACTCGAGATAAGAGAGGACAGGTCAACGTGTGAATTCTCCTGCATCTGTTTGGCTGTGGCCTGTCAACCCTTGCGCACTCTGTAACGACTGTACAACCACCTCTTCAAGATGGTCAGTCTTTCTTCCAATGCAGGTCGTTCGGCCGAAGTTCTGTGGGCGCGGGAGATGTGCTTGAACCATCACGGCCATCTCTTACAGACTCGCGTGGCATAAGAGTCTAACGCGCATATAGTGAATACCTCCGCAACAGCATTCATTCTTCCCATTGATTGCACATGTTACAACATCGTCTCACCCGCAACTACATCAGGGGCCAAGGTCCGATCGCACAGTCGGAGACTTATCATGAATGACTGGAATGATTTGACAGTTGAGAAGACAGTATTCCGTACATGCGATGCACACACACATGACAAGGTCGCAGACTGGTGACAGAGGTAAACACCATGTTTAATTTTGTTGCACCCTGACATCGAGCAAAAAAATAATATCATCATATCGATAATATGGAGTGTTCAATGGAAGAATAGCTTGCGCGCATTCTGCTCTGTTGTACTCGCAGTGAGCAGTCGCTTCGCGAACCCGATCCTTATTTTCGCGATGATGGGTCTTGGCAACCGCTAACTCCCAAACCGGCTAGCCCGCACCACAATGTTCTAAGCGAAAATACACTCTCTCCAACTTCAATTATCCTCGACCGCGACCAACCCAACCTCAAGTACTAACCACAGCGCCACAGGGTACGTCGACTCCTACATCCTCACGAAAGCCATTGAATTGTTGATAAACTGACTGCGAACAGTTCCTGATCCAAAATGAGTACGCCGCACCACCCCTTCCGGGCCCGCACCGAAGATTGAGAGAATATCGAGACTGACTGCGAAATAGCGAAGGGAACTTCCAGCTTCGGTAAACGCCACAACAAGACGCACACGCTCTGCAGGCGTTGTGGTACGTTCAATCCTCCCCAGAAAGAAGACGAAGAAGAAAAAAAAAGAAGAAGACTTTTTGTGTCGGCGATGGGAAACAAATAGGACTTGTTTGTGTGGGAAAAGGCATCTAGGATACAGGACACTGACGAGACATACGAACACAGGCCGTCGCTCTCTGCACATCCAGAAGCACACTTGCTCCTCGTGCGGATACCCCGCTGCTAAGACCCGCAAGTGTACGTTGAAAGCAAATTAACCCGTCTCCTCCCTCGATGATGATGATGAACCCGGTGGATTGACTTTGGATCACAGACAACTGGGGCGAGAAGGCCAAGCGAAGAAAGACCACCGGTTCCGGCCGCACGCGATACCTCAAGACCGTCACCCGCAAATTCAGCAATGGTTTCCGAACGGGTGCCCCCGCCGGCGCAAAGGGTCCCCAGGTCTCGTAAATGTGTTAGAGACTCCTTAAGCAAGGGAATCGAGAGTTGAAAGGGCTCGCCGAGGTCGAAAATGAAAAAAAGACTGGAGCATGGTTCGGCGGATGCGGATGACGGATGATGGATGGATGGGTTTTTCTCACACAATGGCAAATGGTATTGCTCGGGGCGTTTTTCATCATCTCACCCGGTTGCTTTACGTCGCCCCAGACGATAGACGTCGACGAGTGTGTGTGACGCTACGTCTGGGGTTTTGTGGCATAACTTATGGAAAATAAAAATTCATCATGTTCTGTCACGAATGAAAACATGATTTCCTTCATACAACAATCACGGCGTCTACTGCAAATGATGTCCCTTCACTCTCGTTTCGACAATGACTGTGCTCTCGAAATTACTCATTTTTCTCTAGGTATTATACAAACTTTCCCGTAATATCTATTAATCTACAGAACACTCCATGTATCTAGTATGTAACTTTTTTCCGCCTCACCATCCAGAATTCCACCCATCCCTCCATCAACACCACACTCCTCACCACACCACACCCACCTACTCCCCCCCATTCCCCCTCTCGAAAACCCTCACCCCGCCATCACCGCCCACCTTATACAAAAACTCCCTCCCAGTCCTCCCCTCCGCACCGTCTCCTCCCCCGTCATCAAAGTCCAACAGCCCCTCGCCTCCCGCCCGCCGCCCTCCCCCATTATCCGTAACCCTCAGCACGCCGCTCACGTCCCTCGCGACGCCCGTGTCCAGCACGCGGCAGCTAAGGATGCGGGCGCTCATGTGCGCGGCCTTGACGAGGATGTTGTGCGCGGAGATCTCGAGTGGTTGGGGGGTTGGGGCCGAGGGGGCGAGCAGGGCGTCGTCGGCGGGGAGGGAGAGGATGATGTGTGCGTGTGCGTGGGCGTTTTGGCTTGGTGACGATGTCGGTGGGGTTGATATGGAGGGCGAGAGGAGGGCTTGCAGTTTTAGGATCGTGGAGGTTAGGGAGGAGGGCGTGAGGCTGGGGACGGTGGCTAGGAGGAGGGATGGGTCGTCGAGGATGAGGAGGGTTGTTGGTGGGGTGGGCGAAGTGCTGGGGTTTAGGTACTCGAGGGCGGATTTGACGGTCTCTTGCAATTGCGTGAGGTCTGGGGAAGTGAGCGTGAAATGCCCTGGCGTACTTGGACTCGTTTGGTTTGGTGATGTCGCTGTCGCGGTGGTGGGGTTCGTAGATGTAGGCGGCGGGCCTCCAGTTGCTGCAACTGATGGCGGCGCTCGTCCTGGTATCCTCCCAGGCGGTGCTCCTCTCGCTGGTAGAGTGACATGCGATGGTGTCCTCCCAATCGGCCTCGTTGCTGTTCCCACCGCATTCTGGCCGCCGGCTGGCGAAGTTGTAGACTTGGGCAAGAAAACCTCGCTCAACCCATCCACGAAAGCGAATCGTTTATCCCTCTTCAGTCTCTCAAGGTCGAGCCCTCCGCCTTTCCTTGCCTCGGCCTTCCAGAACTCCCAGTCCCTCATCCAGGATGCAAAGATCACTTTGACATCGTTGTTGCTGTTGTCCGATTTCTGGCCGGCATCGTGTCGGACGGGGTTCAGCGCATCGCACAGGAAGCGGATAAGTAGCCAATTCGTGCTGGCTCCAAGGGTACTTGTGACGAGGAGTATCGAGTCGCTGTTGGGCAAGCGGACGTATGGTTGCAAGAGCGCAGGAACGCGCGACGCAGGCGGCATCGTGAATGTTGCTGTTTGGAATGCCTTGGTGGGCTGGCATTGCGAAAAGATCCTTATCGATAACAAAATAACACACAATTTCGTCGTCATAGGCATCCAAGCAAAGATCAGTAAAACATCGCTGCTTTCAAATAATGTGTACCTTTTCTCTCCCAAAGTGTAATATGATTCCATTACCTATCTATATGTCGCTAGCTAATCAAGGAAAAATCCTGATATCGTCGCCCATTCAAGCTCATGATGCTGCGATCCTCATAACTCATGGCTTGGGGTGTATTCTCCCTGATAACTCATGGCATGGGGTGTATTCTCCCTGATAACTCATGGCTTGGGGTGTATTCTCCCTGATAACTCATGGCTTGGGTGTAATCTCCCTGCTCACCATGGCTTGCATGTATTCTCCTAAGCCAAGAGGTCGTCCCCGAATAGCTTGAGATCGTCTCCCATCTTGACGATGCCCTCCTTCGTCTCCACTGTGGCACTCGTCTCCGAGAGAGTGTCGTCGATATCCCTCCGAGCCTTAGTCTTTGTCGGAGCGACATGTATGGCGGGAACTGAGTGATCGTTGTCACGACCACTCGCGATCTTGCCCAGGTGGCCTGGGAAAAGCCACGGAAAGCTCATCAGTGGCATGTGGCTAGGATCCTTACTTTCTTGCCTACCGCCAACCATTCCACTCTCATCGCCCTCTTTGCGAGCTTCTTCCATCTCCCGCGCCGTGACTGTATACATTGCCGCCACGAATCTAGCCATGTTTGACTGACCCGTGACGGCGTCCTTCGACCCAGCTTTTTCCCGGCACAATTCACGGTATTCGTTCTTAAGAGTACTAACCGAACGACCGAATTCCTCTGCGAATGTGTAATCACGGGCCTCCTGGTTGTGGGACAGGACAAAAACAGACCAAGCCTCGAATTCGGTTTGAATATCATGTTTAGCCATAAGCTTTCTCAGAGAGAAATCGTACTCCGTCTTGACTTCTCGAGCCTCACGTAGAATTTTCTCATCCAAGGACGGAAACGCCTTCAAGATCCGTTCGTCAAATGGGTTATCGTACTGTGGCTTGAAGTCGACCAGTGTTACTTGGTCGTATAGTATTCCAAGTATGTTTCGGGAGTGATAGTATGGGCGTGCAGAGCGTCCATTATCCATAAAGTGAGGCCACCTCTTGGGCCTCAATTCGAGGTTCATGATCGCCGGAATCCCACTCTTTGGGTAATCAACAGCCTGGGAATGCAATTTCGCAAGCTGTATGCACTTCTCGTCTCGCACACCTTCTGCATTGTAGTCGGCCTGCGCAAGATGTGAAGTCGCGATCCGAGCGAGACTGTCGTTCTTCATGTATGTCACGAAGAAATCAGTCAAATCCCTGGTCGTCACGGGTGTATCTTTGTCAAGCGGCCTCTCAGGTGTGAAGTCCATTGGTTCCTCGTTGATGGTAGTAGGTAAGAATTTCGGATCCCACATGACGATATAGTCATCTCCATCAAGATCTCCCCCTGAGCACATACCAGCAATGTCGCGATCCCCTGTTTGCGGAAGCACCACCACATCTCTCAGGTGGTGTAAAGCTGGTTTGTCGACAGCTCGAACAATACGAACATCACCAGGGTGTAGAGAAGGATTGCGAGCGAGAATGCATTCCCCCTGGACAATCTTGTACTGATGTGGCCGAGTGGGATCAGAAATTTGAAGGAATATCTCTGGCAGGGTATCCATCTTTTCTGATCTTGTAGCGTCAGGTCGGCATTGGTCGGCGTTGAAATGGCCTTTGAGTGTTGCGGTCTCGTCTACACATCCAAGAACGAAAGCGCCCTCGTCGACCACTATCCTTGCTTTCTCCTTGAGGAACTTGATGTTGTAGGCTCGCCACAGGTGGAGGAGGCTCATCACGAATGGGTCCTTCATAAACCCATCAAGGATCATAGCAGCAATAGTAAGGGTTGTCTGGTTGAAGTCAATGTTACGCTGTAGCCGATCAATAGCCACTGCTTTGTCCGTAGTGGCTTTTTGCAGATCATCCATCATGCTCTGCTGCTTGCGAATAAACGCATGGTTGGGAACTCCCAAGGTAGAAAGGATGACAATCAATTGACGATTGAAGCAGGCTGTTGCAAAGGCCGAAGTGCGAATGACCTCGAAACCCTTGTTCTCTGCTTTGAATTTGTACTGGCTTGGGCGAATATGAATTGCGCTGCCGCTGATTTCTGGGTCTATAGCCAAGACGCCTTTGCAGCCTGCCAATCGAAATTGATATAGTGATGGAGGGTCCTCGAAGGCTTTGGGTATGCCCAATTCCTGAGCCGCCATTTTGGCAACAAATGGAGACAGTTTGCCAACGCCGTCAGTGAAGGTGTATCCATTTCTCTCTACGTCGTCGATTTCGACTACATTGATCCCTTGGATCGTATGGATGTACCTCGTAGTAGAGAAGCACTGCCCCTGTCGAGCGCCATACTTCGCCACGGACTTGATTTCATCGAAATAGCCCATAGACTTGCGAATGCTGGCCGCTGATGCGGATGGTGTAGGGGCATAGAAATAAGCACCGTTCTCCCTGAACTGAGAGTTACCGTAGGCGAGGAACTCGTAATGACGTCCTGCGACGATAATCCCATGCTCCATTGCACGGGTGACCCTTTCGAAAAGTGCATCGAACGTGCCATCGTGTTTTCCAAAAAGGCGCCCTTCTGTCTTCTCGTCTGTGAACTTGACCCGAATGAATCTATCAGCGTCGGCAGCATGCTTTCGAAGGACGCGATTTGAGGTCTCAACTGCTGGAGTGTTCACGTGCATTGTCGTTGGAGTAATCGTGACAGAACGGGCGAGAACACAATAACTTGGTACCTTTCTGGCCATTGAGGCCCTGATAGGGATCTTGAAAATGTCGGAGGGATTATAGTGAATGATCTGTCGGTCTGCAATCTTCTCCAGCAGAAGGGTTGCATCCCTAGGTTTCATGGAGACGAGCTGCTCCATGAATTGGGTAGTTACATTGTTCTCCTTGAGGTATCCATGAGTCAAACAGACTTCGAGTTGATATCGGACTTCGAACTTCAAGTTGTGGTTGATAGATGACAGCTCGTCGAAGGCAGACGCCGATGTAGCTATTCGCTCAGGCGCTCTGGTGGCAGCTTCATCGGGCAGGAGACCCCAGATCTGGGCTGGCGATCTTTGTTGGAAAGTATAACCTGGCACCTCTATAACAGGAATGCCATAATCGGCAAGAGCCCCGCAGAAATTTGACCATACACTGCTTTGCAATACCGCGGACGGAAGGGGAATTCGATATGTCGTCCACTTCCCAAGGTCAATAATTGCGAAGTCGCTGTAATGCCTTAGAGGCTCCTTCATGATCTGCGCTTTGACTTGATCAGGTACCGCATCTGTTTGCCGGTACCAAGAGCTCCATACATTCCAGAACCTCTCTTTACTGAATGTCCTGGGCAGTTCTGCTTCGGTTGCTTGCCGATAGAACTGTGGAGGTTTGTCAAAGGGGATAATCAGACTGAATGTTGCATCCGAGCTGTTCATCGATTTGTGGGTGTGTATCTTTTCAAGCTGCGCAAAGGGCATCTTGAAGAAATGCCAGCGTATGTCATCCTGCGTCCTAAGCGGAAACTTTATCTGGATCTCCTTGCGATACAAGTCCAAAGTAACGCTGACCTGCCCGTGGGTAGTGATTCTTTCCATCACCATCATTGAGCTCTCGCCAATTCTAGGGCCAAAGTCGATCATTTTAGATTGGAGACGGATGAGCTCCCTGTGTGCCTTTTCTGGGTGTACTGGGCTTGGGACCATTCGAACGTTGTGTGGCTTTATCTCCACTCTGACTGTTTTGTGACCAATGGACAAGGATTTGCTAGTGATACGTCTCGAGAAATCAGGCGGGGGATACTGGAAGAGAACAAATGCAGTTGTTGGGCCGTCCATCTCAATTCTTGAAATGTCACCGTAGCGGATGAGTGCATTGTATACATCTTCAGTCCAGTAGCCTTGTGGGATCCCTTGAACTTTGATCTTTATCTGTTCCACTTCCGTCTCTTGCCCGGCACGGTTCACCTGGTAATGAAGACGAGAATCTCGATTCGCTCGGTGTTGAGCCGAGTTGAAATTCCCGTTTCTCTCACTATATGGACGACTGGCTGGAAATCGTGAATTTCCCTGATAAGCACGGCCTCCACGTCCACCACGAGCCGTAGGAGAGAAGCCAGCTGATCGGATGGTAGGTCTTGGTGTTCCAGGTGAGCTTAGTCGTCGAGACATGGAAGAAAGTGACGGAGATGAGAATCGTGTTTCCGGTTGCTCGCCGTCATCGCCGCGATTTGACTGTGGAGATGAGTCGTCGCAGAGCGATATCTCGAACCAAGAAGGGCTATAGGGTGAGTAGACCATATCGGCAGCATTGGCTTGCTACCCGTTGACGAAGAAAGTAAGTATCTTAGTTGCTAAGGAGGTGGGATGGCAGAATGAAGTGATGTTGTACCTACTCTGAAGAGAGCGAAGACTCAAAAGTGAGTGAGAGAAAGCTGCCTACGACAAGCGCTTTCTGTGGTATCGGCTTTGGTTACCAAGTATCTGCTCGGAAGGCTGTTTCTAGGTGGAGAAGCGAAGATAGAGATATTTAGAGGGGAAGGTGCGTTTGCGTTGTTGTGAAGTTGGAAGGATCGAGACAGTCGAAGTGAAGTAAACTTACTTGCGAAACCCAAGTGAAGTTGGTTGAATGCAAAGAGCGGTGAGATCCCCGTTATAGAGCAGTGAATTGTGAGTAGTAGTGGCTATCCATATTATAATTTGTCGTGATTGCTTGTTTGTTATGAAAGCGCGACATGAAGGTGTCTACAAGGGCACTGTACAGCGAGTTAACAACACATGCATTCGTACTCTAAGACAAAGGCTCATTATGAACCTTCAAGCCGACTATACACTCGTAAAATGTAAAATGTTGTTATTATATACCTTCCGTGCTTTTCAAACAGGATCCGTGACGCTAAAACTGTCGGGACTTTTTTGCCTCTAGGCATGCAGCTGCCCGCGCCTGAAAGAGGTGATCCTGGAATAACAACACTGCAGGGACAACCGCTCGAAATAGTATTAAATGACATTTTTTCACACTTCACGCTTCACGGCTCAATCAAGAATCATTGGAAAAAGGATGACTTCATCGATGCTGAGGCAGAAAGACAGTAATTACAGTTCCGTCGTGCCTTCATCTTCGTCCTCGTCCAGAACCATTCCCATTGGACTGGCAGCTTTCTCAGCAGTGAATGGCGTCCCACTGATGAGCTCTCCTATATCAAATGATGCCTGGTCGACCAAGTTCATACTGCCTCTCCTCCTGCTAATCTTACTACTCCTTCCCTTATTTGGTAAAGTGAAGCCGACAGTGGTGTGTCGACGATTAGGGGACATGGGTTTCAAAGCCGGACGTTTTGATGGTGACAGCCTGAGAGGTTTGGATGAACTCGCTCCGTGGTCGAGGCTTGATGAAGGTTCCACTATAGGCACCTGGAACGAGGTTCGAGGTTTAGATCGTTTCGGTGTCGGGCCAAGGTCACTTGACGTGAAGGACGCATTAGCAATTTCGTCCATTGCAGTTGCAGTATTGCCTGACTTATCAATCTCATTCCTTGCACGCTCGTGAGTGGCTTGTGATTGAAGGGCTGACTTGCGACGCCTATGGCTGTGTCTTGAACCTTCTTTTGATTGGTGATTGGTGGGAGTAGGAGCTGGAACTTCTGCCGCCAGACCCATAGATGCAAGCACACGGCTTCGTAAAGACCTGAGTTCATGTAGCTCCTCGTCCTTCTCAATACAGGTATCTGATAGATCCTGAATTTTATCCTCCAAGTTTTTGACCGCGTTTCGCGATATCTGTAGGTCTCGGTAGGCTTCCTCATACAGATCCGTCGTTTGCTGTCCGTTGTGAAGAGCATTTTGTAGTTCGAGGTTCAACTGGGCACATAGTTTGTCTGCCTTCTGTTGCGTAATACTCAGCTTCTCTTGATTTTCAGTTGACAAATCCCGCATTGCCTGGTCAGAAGATTGTTTCAATTGCTGGTGAAGATGATCAAGCTTCTCTAGCCGCTGGGTGAGAGACTTCGTTTCCTCAAAGCTTGAATGCAGGCGCGTATCGAGATCATTTGCGCGATCAGTGAGACGGTGTATCACATCCCTCTGATCCTCGTTCTCGGTCTGTTTCGTGTCTAGTTGTTGTTGGTAGTTGTCTATTGTGGCTTGTAGATCTCTCTGAACCTGCTCCCAGCCGAGCTTTTCCTCAGCATTGGATTCCAACTTTTCATCAAGGCACCGTATCTCCTCATCTCGAGCCCCGATTTGTTGAACGTAATCATGGATAGCCTCCTCATGAGTCAAGATAGTGGAGTGTAGGTGCATCTCCTTGTTGTTGAAGTCTTCTTGCGCAGCACGGAGAACCTCATCAGCTTTTCGATCAGCCGTGGAAAATTCAATCTTCAGGTCCATAAGCTTTGCAGAAAGATCATCCTTTGCATTCTCGAGGGAGTCGATGTGGTCTTCGAGCCCGTCAATGCATAGGCGGCGATCGAGCAGGTCGGTCTCTAACGATTGGGCCTGCGCTCGGAGCTCAATATTTTCAGAGGTGAGGGCTTTGACTTTATCCTTCTCTACACGCAGTGGCTCCTCTACATTCTCGCAGCGATCTTCGAGATTCTGGCAGATCTGAGCTACGCACCGAACGACCGATTCGTGCTGATACGCAGTCTGCATTCCCATTTCCGACTTGAGACGCTCTTTCCAATCTTGTTGATGCGAATTGCTTGGAGTGCATTCTTGCTCAAACAACGATATCGCGGGTTGCGCGACAGTCCATACGTGAGAACAATGCTGTAAGGGTCCAGCGAGCTTTTGCTGTTTGTTGAGAAGTTCAATGGCCAACTGATGCGAAATGGTTGGCTCACCAGGCTCAGTCAAAAGTGCTGTTGTTAGCAACATTGCGATAGTGCTCGAGAGAAGTTTCTTTCGCAGTTGACTGTTGGAGGTTTCGCAACCAAATCCGTGAAAGTTTTGATGATTGCTCGGTTTGATTGAATCGAGAAACGTGCGAAGGCTTTCCTGTACCTCATGAAATGAGAGCGCTTTAGCCATTTTTGCTCTCAGCACGGGCGATGAGGACAAAATGGAACTTAAGGACGGTATCAATGCAGTATAAAATGTCAGATTGGCAAGCGAATCAGGTGTGCTACCAGCACGTAGGACATTCGTTATGAAGCCACACATAGTTGACTCGGATAATGTTGACTATAAGAAATTAAATAGTGTCCTCGCAACCGTAGGCTCTTGGGTACGGAGCATCAAAAGGAAGTACTGACCGCGAATTGTGGTAATGCAAGTGATAGAATTTCAGGAGTGGTGGTAGTGCCAACTCGCACCATTGAAACGTTTAAAAGACATGTCTCAAATTGAGCTACAACCTCTTCAAGGAGATTTTTGTCACCAGCGATCATAGCAAAAAAGGTCAAAGCCTGCACTGCGAGTTTAGAAACGATTACAATCGAAAGGGTGACACAAACAGACCTCAAGTTGGATGGCAACGTTTAGATCTTTGCCTACTAGCTTTGCAGGAAGCTTTGGAAAAATGTTTCTTGCCAAAGCACTTGAAGAAGGCCAGGATTGACGTGTCTCTTGATCGACAAATTGCATGGCACGAATCGCGATTCGAATACCTTCCACAGCTTCAAGATGTGAGACACCTACGTCACCTTTGACTGCCCAGATTACACTCAAATAGGTCAAGTTTAAGGTTTTGTAGAGTCCGCTTTTCGATCCGAAAAGCTTGCGGCCCGACGCAGTTCTCCACTGGCCATACTGATCGGTGACTTGCTCAGCAGAGCAAGGGCGTTCTGCGGCAATCACTATTCCAAAACACCACAGGAGTAACATCGAATTTTGACCCGTTGAGTTTGACGATAGAATTTGACAAAGCTCCCTATCGAATCCATGTCGCAATTCCGGTGAAAGTAAGTCAAGCAGATTACTACAGGCGCCATTGAGCATACGATAGACCGGTCTAAGAGATTCGACAGTGGGATTCTGGGTCGCCTTCTCGAACATGCGTAAGAAGAAAGAATGGGCACTCAAGGGCAGAGGGACATTTTCTGGAAGTGCTCTGGACAGCAGGCAAATGCAGACTTCATTATGCTAGACTCGATGTGAGCACTTGCAGCATGCAATGTGAGTTAACATCAGGTGCCCCTGATGCAAACGTCTATGTACTCTGCCTTACCTCGCCGAATTCCTCATGCACGACATTCGCCTTGGCCAGGAGTGCATCAGGAAGTCCAGGGTTTTGTCGAAGCAGCTCGTTGCTAAAGTCAGCCGAGCGACCTGTCAACTCTTGATTAGCGGAACGGGGGTGGCGAAGTGGGCAGATATGCGTAGTTAGGTCGTCACGTACATAGCGAATGTAATAGAGATAGAGTGTAAGGCCATAGCGGCAAAGCTGCTGCTACGATAGAAACTAGCCTGGAAATCTTGCAGGAGGGCAAATCCAGTATTGCTTTTTGGATGGTCTGGTCCGAGCTGTGCAGAGCAATTTCGGCAAGTTTCTACGATATTCGAGTCAAAGAGGGCACCACGTAGTTGTGAAACTTAATTCTGGGGTGCATAAGAGGTGCATCATTTGCTGTTCTCCGTTGTGCGACGTCTTGGACAATAGCGCGTGGTGACCATTAGGTTACAGAGTAAGGCGACTCACTGTCAAAGACGCCGGGTATGGACACGAAATGATGCGTGTCAGCTCCCGTGAAAGGTCGTCCATGGAGCCAGACATTTCGTCGATGAATGTGGAGGTTGTGCGACTTATCTACACCGGTAGTCGTGGTATAGCAGTCTGTAAGCAACTATTGATGTTGGTGTAGTCTCTCTACGCGTATAGTCACTGAGTGCGATGCTGCCGATTGTTTTTCCGAGCCCGCTTCCCCGGCAACCAACGATTCCCCAATTGGGATTACAGCACAACTCAAATACAGAGCTGATCCATCTACGGAGTACATACTCGTACCTAATCTCACCCAAGGTTCATTAATTAACCCATCACTTCCACCGATACGATGTATAAAGTAATGTACCTGGTCGTCGAATGGGATTCACCGATCATGAGCTGCAAGAAACATTGACGTCAGCTTCCCCCTGCTACTGGCAGTCCGCGTGGTGGCATCCACGTGCGGAATGGTGATAAATTCGAGGCAAATCGATTGGTGGAGATGCAAAATAAGCTTATTTGCTTTTGGCAGCTGTTCTGGCAAAGTCTAATTCAATGGTCTTTGGTTACATGGATTCATCGGTCCTATGCAATATGCCAATGCTCGTTCGCCTCGCTCACAATTACTCCGCGTCCACGTCGGATGGAGCATAGAGCCAAGATGGATACGACGTATGTTCGACCTCTTATTACTCGTACAGTCTGCTCTCCCCCGGAAGAGAATGCGGCATTTTCATCCGGAACCGTCTCCAGCAACCCATGCTCGTTTTGGTGGCACTGCTCGCGACGGCAAGTGATGGCGTGCAGTGGCGATGGAGGCGTCTGTTGGACATGCATGTATTCAGTCAAGTGTGGGATGACCCAGCCGTCCCCCACTCTCAACGCCTGGGCGACATTCCAGCACACTGTGCGTTCTGCATAGGCCATGCTCACGTAGTTTTGAGAGGGTAATGTGTATCACTGGCGATCCAATTGATTCTTACGAAGCTCTGTCTATTGCTCACCGCTATCCGTGGTCACTTTGCAGAAATTGGAAGGCAATGGTGTTGTGGTGTCATGTTTGTAGGTATGTTGCATTGTTTTTTAATGTCACTACAGGGGTCGGTTGTGAGATCTTCAACCTTTCAGGTACGGTACACATTGCACAGCCAATCTGCCTGAGCGCAGTTTGACAGAGGAGCCACAAAGAGCCTTACGCATGAGGTATTCAACGGTATTCCAGGTCATTGTCTTGCCCTGGCAGATGGCGGCTTGCCCAGGTGCGCCGCTTTCCTCCTCCGAGGGAGTGGGCAGACTCAGGCTGCCTGTCGAAGCAGACACGCATCCACATTGTGCTTGTCAAGAGCCATATCCAACACCATAGCAGCGGAACACCATCTGCGAGTGTTGCAGTCTTGCACGACGCCCCCTTTAAAGTTGTCACGCGACCCAGGTCTAGAAACCACATAAGGAGCTTAGCATCGTGACCAGCATCTCGCCTCAGCGTTTCCGGTGCATCCATCAGGTTTGCCATGGCTTGTCTTCCCCGCAATTGCTTTTGCTTCTTCGAGGGGCCCCTGCAGCTGATCATGCAGCCCTTTTCCTTGCAACTTGATGCACGAGCCGAAAGAGTTTTTTTCTTTCCTCTGGAGGAGGAGGAATCACTCATCCGACCATAGTCAGCCCGCTGCAACGTCAGTGGCCAGCTGATGTTGAGCGGACGGGCAGTTGGGAAGCTTTGTCGTGGCTCTGCCACTGCGTTGGCCGGTGATTGCAAGCGATGCCATGGGGGTGGAAGACGCGCCAACTGCGTTTAGACACAAATAACTCGTCCGCTCTCCGATGCATCCCATTTTATGCTATCTAACTTCTTATACCTAATTACTACAAAAGCGTGGGAGCGGGGCCTGCTCTTGTTCTGTTACTCGTAGATACTCCTCACCAACACCCCCTCCCTCGATCCGACGACCCACGGCAAGACTAATGGCTTTCGTGGGCGCATATAGAGCCTATTCTCCCTGTAATTTCCCGACAGTCTTCAGTCAATCTTCTTGTGCCCCTGCCTACCGTTAGTTCGGCGTCATGTTTCGATTTCCAGCAGCGCGATTGAGGCAGCTTGCTTCGCCTTTGTTGAAGCGGGGTGCCCGCCGGACGCAGACAAGCGGAGCCGAGCATGCTCTTGGTCCAAGGAACCTCCAAAGGCCTTTCTGGACTTCCGGCAAAGTGCTCCTCTTCTCGGCATTGACAGGTACGACGACATACTATTACGGCGCCACAGATGCTCAGCATCCTCGATTTCATATGCCATGGATGAATTACTCAGGACCACGCTATGCGTCCAAAGCAGATATGGAAAAGGCATGCCCTTAACAAACCGTTGCGACTTTTGAGAGATATAACATTTCTAACCAATTGGATAGGCGGTCGGCGAGTTGCGATATGCGCTCGGAGAGGATTCAATCAGCACCGACGACGAGGACCTTCTTTTGCATGGATATTCAGAATGGTCATCGATCAATATCGATCAACTACCTGTGGCTGTGGCTTATCCTAAGTCTACTGAGGAAGTCTCCAAAATCGCCCAAGTCTGTCATAGGTACAAGATTCCAATGAGTACGGCCAGATCTTGATGAAAAGCATGAACGACAATATACTAACAAACCCGATAGTACCCTACTCCGGGGGTTCGAGTCTTGAGGCCAACTTCTCTGCACCATACGGAGGTATGAGTATCGACTTCTCTTTCATGGACCAAATCCTATCCCTGCATGAGGAAGAGTAAGCGACACCCACGATCTTGGGATTGTTGAGCTAGGTGGACTGACGTGCTCATTTTAGCATGGATGTTGTAGTCCAACCATCTGTTCCTTGGATGAGTCTCAACGAGCAGATCAAGGGATCTGGATTGTTTTTCCCCGTTGACCCTGGTCCGTCTGTAAGTGTATCTTCGGATATCCTAGAAAGGTATTCCGGATCATACGCTCATTGCGCAATAGGCTAGAATCGGCGGAATGGTTGGGACCAGCTGCAGGCAAGTGTTGTTGTTTCAATAATGATGATTTGGCAGGGTCCTAACAGAATTACAGTGGCACCAATGCTGTGCGATATGGTACGATGAAAGATTGGGTTATCAATCTAACTGTCGTCCTCGCTGACGGAACCATCATCAAAACCCGACGTCGACCTCGGTACGTGACGTTCGACTACCAGATATTCTGCTCAAAAGGTTCCATAGTCTCTAATACCTACCCAGTAAATCCTCTGCCGGATACAACCTGACGAATTTATTTGTTGGCTCGGAGGGTACATTAGGGTTAGTGACGGAGATTACCCTCAAACTCACCGTGATACCCCAGGACACAAGTGTCGCCGTTGTTACTTTCCCTACCATTCGCGATGCGGCGGCTGCTGCATCTACGGTAATGCGAGCAGGGATACCCGTGGCTGCGATGGAGATCATGGATGAGGTTCAAATGTCAGTGATCAATAGGGCTGGCACTACCGCTAAGAAATGGAACGAGGCTCCAACCATGTTCTTCAAGTGAGTTTTACACACCTTGTTAAATATAGATTCTGGATAGATACAGATGCTAATACCCGTTGGCAGGTTTTCTGGCACTAAGGCCGGGGTGAGCTGAACCCTTGAGTGTTGTTCAATTACCTGATTCGGAACTGACCGCATGACAGGTACAGGAGAACGTCAAGCTAGTCAAAGCCATTGCAAAAGCACACAAAAGCGGCGATTTCGAGTTTGCGGTCGATGCAGAAGAGCAAAAGACTCTATGGTCAGCTCGGAAAGAGTCACTTTGGAGCATGCTTGCACTGCGCAGGGAGGGTGATGAAGTCTGGTCGACAGATGTCGCAGTGCCATTGTCTCGATTGCCTGACATCATTGGTAAGCTACAATTTATCGATGCAATAACTTCTTCTAACAACTTGATTAGAGATTTCCAAGAAGGAAATGGACGATCTCGGCCTCTTTGCCAGTATTCTTGGCCACATTGGTGACGGCAATTTCCACGAAAGCATCATGTACAACAGCAAAGACCCGAAAGAACGAGCAGCCGTTGAAAAGTGCATCAAGGATATGGTTGATCGTGCATTAGAGATGGAAGGCACTTGCACTGGAGAGCACGGCATTGGACTCGGCAAAAAGGATTCTCTCATGAAAGAGCTCGGCATCGACACGATCAACGTCATGAAGAGCATCAAACAAGCACTGGATCCATATTGGTTGATGAATCCAGGGAAGATAATGGACATACCAACATGATCTGTCTGTCTATATTTTGCGTCTGGATACCAATCGTTGCAATGGCTCCATTTCGGGAGCATCAAAATAGCATTTTGCATACGGTGGTCTTTTTCATTATGCACGGCAAAAATGTTGGCCATTTGTTTAGATATCAGTAGTCTCTTGTTTGCTTCGGCAATTTTTTTCTACCAAAAACTTCTAGTTCTATAATTCATTTTGTTTGCGCAAAGTATGAAACTTGATGACATAATATACTGATATCTTGGTGATCATCTATGAAAGAGTGCAAGCACGACAGCTGCAAGCTACGAAAGATGCGTTGTCTAGATTACCCTGCGTTAAAAAAAGTACTATATCTACGCATCCAATTGTCCTGTCGAAAGCATGAGCTGTGTAACCAACGGGCCTGTCGGAGTTGTGTCAACGTGCCAGTTCTTATTGGAGAGGAAGCGAGTCCATCGATTGGTGGGGATGGCTCGCGACTGAGAAATGTAACAACCAGCCTTCAGAAAAAGAGAAAGTCATGTAAATCATTTGTGCGATAAATGCAATGAACTCAGAAGAACCAATTATACTTTCCTCTTCTATGTATTACTGTCAATTGGACTGGCGTTCTCGAAGTGCGCCTGCATCGGTTGCTGGACTTCGCTGAAGTTTTGTAGAACTATCCCCAGACAGGCTTAGCGATGCCAAGACACTTAGTAATGCCCACACTTGCGAATTATCGAAATTCACCACTTCGTCGCGACCTTCCAACTAACCACACAGGAACTCTTCTCAACCCCAATCCTTTGTCAATAACGTCAAAATGGGCCGTGGACCGTAAGTCACTCTCCATCTATTGCGACAGGTTTCGATAGCGCTGGATCAGCGATTTGATCCTGCCGACTCCAGAAGGAATATCGTCGATATCGTCGAATTCGAGCTGACCTCGAAAATAGAAAGAAGCATCAAAAGCGCCTCAGTGCGCCCTCGCACTGGCTCCTTGACAAGTTGTCTGGTATGCAAATCTTCCCAAGCATTGGATCTGGCAAAAGGACAGCATTAACAAAATTCAGGTGCCTATGCCCCCAAGGCTTCCCCGGGTCCTCACAAGCTCCGTGACTCCCTTCCCTTGATCATCTTCCTCCGCAACCGCCTAAAGTATGCTCTCAACGGACGTGAGGTCAACGCCATCCTCATGCAGCGCCTCGTCAAGGTCGACAACAAGGTCCGCACCGATGTCACCTTCCCCACTGGTTTCATGGATGTCATCTCCATCGAGAAGACCGGCGAGAACTTCCGTCTCATCTACGACACCAAGGGCCGTTACACCGTTCACAGGATAACCGCTGAGGAGGCTCAATTCAAGTTGGGCAAGGTCAAGCGAGTTCAGGTTGGCAAGGGCGCCATCCCCTACTGTGTTACGCACGACGCACGAACGTAAGTTTGTTGCCTCGATCAGCCGTTGGGCACAGTTTGGGCAGGATGCATGAGGTGAAACTCGTGCATCCGGCATCAGACTTGCCTTGCGGCTGGCAGAATTCTGATCTGAAAGAAATTTCATACTAAACATATTCCAGCATCCGCTACCCCGACCCCGCCGTCAAGGTCAACGACACTGTCAAGATTGACCTTGCCACTGGCAAGATCGTTGACTTCATCAAGTTCGACACTGGTGTCATCGCCATGGTCACTGGTGGACGTAACATGGGTCGTGTCGGTGTCATCACTCACCGTGAGCGCCACGACGGAGGTTTCAACATCGTCCACGTCAAGGACGCCGTTGACAACGAGTTCTCCACCCGTGAGAGCAACATCTTGTAAGTCGATACTGCGCTTAGCCGTTTCCTGGAGTCATCTGCTAACGATATACACAGCATCATTGGCCAGGAGAAGCCATGGATCAGCCTCCCCAAGGGCAAGGGTGTCAAGCTCACCATCGCTGAGGAGCGTGACCGCCGTCGCGCTTTCGCTCTCGCCGGCAACTAAGCGCCTGGCTTATAGCGAAGGAAACCAAAAATACGGGATATATGTGTGATGCATGTAGATGTCGAGGGTCGCAGTCTCTTTCTATAACAAGACGCGAATCTCTCTGTCTCTCTAAAACCAGGCGTTGGTGCACTTGTGGGGAAGCAAGCAAGCAAGTTAGCTTGAAAGGGGCCTGGGGCATTCTGCATATCAAACGAATACCAAAAGAGAATCTTTTCCAAAGCAAATGAATTTCATGACCCAAGCTTCTAAGGACCTTTGTTGACAATAAAATAAAACAGTGCTGCTACTTGAGTGGGTCTCCCTCAAGCGTCAGGCGCGCGTGCGGCCGCATTTGCGTGGTGTGCGTGCGTCGGGGGGCGTCGTCGATCAACCGTTTCCTGATACACTTGTGGGGGCCAGCAACCTGTGTAGGTAGACTACGGAGCATTCTCACATCGATCCTGTTTCACAGGGCCAGAAACCGTGAATCTATCTGCCTAGGTTATCTATTTCTGCTAGATTATGCTACCGATAGCGGCGGTGGGTCTTTTTTTCCTTCGCGAAGTGACCATTCCACGATCTGTGTTGTGATTGCTTAATTTGATTAATTCTCCCCTTTGAAGTTTTGCACGATGTACCTCTTGTCTCAAGACGAGCCTGCCAGCCTCAAAATACCTACACGCATCACATAATATCCCCGTGCGTATATTTTTGTGTGCTCGAATGGACTGATTTGCCTTCCCCTTCCCTCTCTCTCTTCGAGCCGGTGAAAGCAGTTTCCGTTGCAAGCTCTCGGACTCATCCTACCCAGGGCATCTGGCAGACAAGACAAGACAAAACAAGACAAGATAACTAGACAAGACTCAATGAGACGGCTTGTAACTCTTGTCCCCTCATCAGTCTCATCGACCCAGTACCTACTAATCTCCCACCGGTCGTCTCCCCAAGCGTGCCAGTGACCGCGATATGCGCCCGTTGTCTTCTGTACGCATGATATGGTAAACCAAATCAACATTCTTCAATCCCTATCAAAGTATCCGCTATGTCTAGGTATACTGTGTATGTAAACAATAAACTACGGGGTGGAAATACCTACATCATCTCACATTGACCCCTATCAAAATCCCACAAAAACGACACAAACGTCGTTGCAGGGTATACCCACACCACGACGAATGAATGCTACAGCGACGATTACTACAACAGCACACACAGAAACAATGTCCTAATGATTTCCTTCAAGTATAATCCTAACATACATAAACACCTCCGTCAAGAATAGAAAGGCGATGTGCTATCTATCTTTCTTCGAAATTTTGTTGGCTGGCTGGGGTCCGCATGGCGCACACAGGGTGTTTACGCGTGTACGAATATTGTATACGCGGGTACGCAGTACGAACTTGCGCCCACACGGTGGGGAGGATGATTTTCTGATAGCACGGACTGTAATTGACGATCTTGGTGTGTGTGTGTGTGTGTTTGTTTTTCTTATACGGAGTACTGCGTAGGTAGATGTGTAGGGCAATGCTATTAAATAGGTAAAACAGATAAACCAAACGATGCGAAAGGTAACTAGCGGTGTTGTAGTTGATTGATCATTTTAAGGTCACAGTAGTGTATCGCCCGGGCGGTGCGACATAGCGGAGGATGAGGAGGCCAGGCCATGCGACGCGTGTCTTTCTTTCGTCACCTACCCGCCTGGCGCTCCGTTGCGCTTCCATGACTGACTGACTCTAGAGTCTAGACAGTGTGATGGATAGTCAGACAGGAGGCGAGGCGTGGCGCGGAAGAGAAGAAATAGAACGTCTCTAGACGACGTTGAGAGACAGGCACGGCGTGGGAACAAGGTGGTACCAGTTCGCAGCAGCCGTGGGACACAGAGACACACGGGGCGCGGGGGAGAAGGAAGGGAGGGGGGTTCACAATGCATGCAAATGCGACCGGAAAGGGGAAAAGAGACCTGAGAGATGGGCCAATTGCTACGATTGCGATGGAGGCAAGGGGCGGATTTCTAGATGGAAGATTGACCTGTTAATATGTGCATGCTAATAATCTAAGTGTTGCTTCTGTTAATTATTTGTTGATGACAGGCGATGTCATGCCATACCGTTGCTAAATGGTGTGTTGGAGGTTAGTCTCTTATTGAGTGATAGTCCGAGGTCGCTAAGGTTGATAAGTGCGAGTGCGAGTGCGAGTTCTTGTAGTGACTTGCAGTTCCTTGAATCGATACGTTCTTTGATACGAACCGTTCGGTATTACTTGCAGTTAGTTGAGTGTTATCTTAAGGCGAAGGCGATGAGATATTATAAGTAATACGATATTATTGTATCTCGTTCAGAGGGAGATGAGTTTCTATCTCTGGTAAAGTCCAACGTTTGTGGCTGTAGGGTAAAGAGCCACTAACGGGGGGAAGAGGAATGAGACGACATGATTGGCTGGCTGTCATGGTTCTGGAAGCACTAGTGTCATCACGGCTTAGCTCCGTCCCCCCCCTCATCAACCAGCATTCGTATCAGCGCGAGTAACCTCATTCATCCCCCGACAATCCATCACCTTCATGCTCTTGATCCATCATCCATCATCCATCATCCTCATCCTCTTTCTAGGTACTGCCTCCCAGTTCTCGATGAATGCATTGTTTGTCTTGTGTTTCCCTCTTTGCCTCTAATTTGTCCGCGAACGAACTATCTACTTTTCGGTCTTGTATATACACTACTGCCCGCCTTGTTCTCGATTTGCTTCGCCTACCACTTCCCCGCAAGCCAACAACAAGCCAAACCTGTTACTTGCCTCAATAGTCGATATCTAGTCAAGCAGTAGTGCCCATCATCCAACTGCTGCTTGATATGGGTACTGACCGTCGCCCTCTCTTCCTCTCAGCTAACATACATTGACATCTCTCTCTCTCTCTTTCACCTCACCTGCAAACAATCAAAAGAACAATCCAAAACCGTCAATTCCACCCCGGTCGCTGCCCCCATGCCACTTGCAAGCATTGCCTGGCCCTGCTGATCCCTCGCTCGCTCTCCTGTCGCGCCGCGCGTGAAGGCCCCGTTTTCGCTCAGTTTCACCACCGACCGCTTGCGCTACCACCTCTCCACCACTCCCACTGTGCACACACCGTGACACCCACCCCCAAGCGCCGTTGCGAGTGTCAGCGCCAGCGCCATTCTCAAACTCTCACTTACGCCTCGTCGTCGCTCGTCGCTCGTCGCTCGTCGCTCGTTGTCCGTCCTCCGTCTTCAACCTTTCTATAACCTCCTCCTCATCCAGAGTCTTGAAGACCGGTCTCGCGAGCCGGCTCTTCGCGCAGACTCCCTCCACACTCCTTCGCCATTATGCTTCGTCCGGCCACCCCCTTATCCATCCTCTTCTTTGCCGCCTTTGTTTTGCTTCTGCTGTCCACTCTTTCAACACCGATCATCCGCGCGATCCCCATCGCAAAGGTTGGAGATGTCAATTTCGGCGTCCTCGGATACTGCGACAAGGAAAAGTGTGATGGGCCCTTGGTCGGATACAATACTGGTGAGTGGGCGAACATGGTGTTCTCAAAGTTCCCATCTCGTCCCTATCGACCATCATTTCTCACCAGACCGGAACCAACTAACCCAACCCTCAATTCTAGATGACTTGAACATTCAGATCTCCGATTCGGAGTTCTCGCTCCCTTCAGCGACTCGACATGCCCTCTCCTCTATTCTCATCGTGCACCCTATTGCCGCCTTCATGACCCTCGTCTGCTTCTCCCTCGCTGTCGCAGCACACTTTCATTCCCCCGCGCATTCCCCCCGTTACCTACTGGCGCTGCTCATCCTCACCTTTCCAACTCTCCTGGTTTCCCTCCTCGCATTCCTCGTCGACATCTTACTCTTCGTTCCGCACTTGTCATGGGGAGGATGGATTGTTCTGGCGGCCACCATCATCATCGTTGCAAGCGGTATTGTGACGTGCGCTATGAGGAGGACTCTCGTTAGCCGTAAGGCCAGGAAGAGGCGGATTGCAGAAAATGCCGAGATGAACGGGCAGAACTATTATGCCAACCGGGCAGCACCACCCGCAGGCGCCATCGATACCGGTGACATGCTCCCGAAAGCAGAGTCTCCACCCCCATTGTCTGGCGACACAATGACCTCAGGAAGGGACAAGCTCCCCGAATTCGCGACCTTTGAACTCCAGAAACAGCCCGCTTCGGACGATATGATACCGCTCAATACCCGTAATCCTTCTCTCAAGACCGTCAGCAGTAATGGAAGAGACCCATCCGAGAGGATGATGCCTACTCGTGGACCCTCGGGACGGGGTCGCCAACCTATCGACCAATATGGAAACCCAATCGGCCCCGGTCCGGATGATGCCTACATGATGCAGAATCAACGTCCGGGACCACCACCGAACCGAGGAGGCTCGTACGGCCGTGGCAGAGGAGGCTATCCGCCGAGGGGCGGATACGGACCTCGTGGCGGTTATGGGCCACGAGGTGGCATGCGAGGGCCACCACCACCAGGTTGGAATGGCAATGGAAGAGGAGGCATGTATCCAGGTCCAGGTCGAGGACCACCACCTCCTGGATATTCCAATGATATGTATGCACAAGGTGCCCCGCCCCGTCAGCAATCACCATATGGCCAGCGAGGTCCTTCTCCATCTGGAGGTATGCAACCGCCCATGCCCATTGGCCAGGCGATCGAGATGGATTCTCGCACTGGCACACCACCTGTCAATCCAATGCCGAACCAAGAGCAGCATCAAAATTATGGCCTTAGAGAGAGCGATGGTGATGTTCAAGGCATGTTGGCATTGCAGCAAGGTGGTTTCCCAGGCCAATCAACGTCGCCACCACCACAACTCCGTTCGAAGGGCCCAAGTCCAATGAGCCCAACGAGCGACTATTCGCAAGAGTGAGCTTACTTACCAATTTTGGTATGTTAATTTATAGCGCTAACATATTCCAGCGAGCAACAATACGTGCCAGCTCGGACTGCTTGGAACAATGGGTCCAATCAGACCTTGCCTACAACTAGCAGCAGCAATAGTCGGGGACTTTCGCCTATCATGGATTCACCAGTAGAATTACCAGCACAATTGTCCAACGTTGCAGGACCGACCTCGAATCCCAACAGGAGCTCTGATTACTACGAAGATGTAGATCCCAAGTTCGCAGAAACTAATGCCGCACCTCCAGCCTTACCTTCATCATTAATGCCTGGCCCTTACACTCCCTACAATCCGAACCAGGGTAGAACCCCACCTCCCCAAAACCTCAACATCAGCGATCCGAATCTGGCCCGTAATCCATCTTACGAGGATATGCAGGACGGATCTCGTTCCCCTGCCGCGTCGGAAGCATCGCATTTCACATCTGTGTCCCAGCGCGGGGTTAACCCTAACTGGCGCCCACCGCCACCTGGTATGGGCGGACCCCCACCACCTGGGCAATACGGACCTTACGGTCGAAGGCCCATGAGACAGGAAGATGTTATCCTTGAGGCAAATGCAGCAAACCCAGACTTCGCTGTACCCGGAGCCGAATTCGGACGAGGTAGAGGTCGAGGGAGGGGTGGCCGAGGCGGCCGTGGAGGTCCCATGGGTCCAGGCATGATTCCCGGAGGCAGTATTGGTAACCAGGGCAGATACCCTGGAGCCAATGCTATCTAGTAGATTCTCTTGGATCAATCGATACGCAGCTAGCGACCATTCTGGGAAAACCGAAAAGTCATCGACTACCTTTTTCACTTGCATACACCACCTTCTCTGTTTCGGAAGACCGTTTTTCACTTCGCTTCATTACCTGGTCGATACCGAGCAGTACCTTGGCCCGGTCTACCTTTTGGATCTTGTCACTTTCAAGCCACGGCTTTCACGATTTGCATACCATCTTGTACAAAAGTTACCCTGTGCGGACACGAGGGCTTTCGACTTTGCGGTTACACTTCAATTCCCCATTCAGTTGGGTTTTCCATTGTCCGTTTTCACAACGGCAACCTTCTCTGATGCTACTTTCTCATTGGATCCTTGGGATCCGTAATGATAGGGAGCGGACAATTCTTCGATTTTGCATTTTGCATTCGATGTATTTAATTTCTAGTCAGCAGCTGGCCTCCAACGGTGTGGCTATCTGCATTTCCCTTTCTCTTTGGGACGGTTGGCATTTTGTTTTCCCAGCCTCGAACCCTTTCTGGCTGGTCTTTTGTGGGCCTTACGAACACACGCGCGATTTTCATTTCTCTTTTTGTCCCTTTTCCTTTGTTCTTTTCTTTCATACCATTCAAAGGGGGCACATACGATACCTCTTGAGCGCATGATCGTCGCAGGCTGGTCCTTGTTGAGGATGAGCAAGCCTGGCGAAGATGAGGAGGGAACCCGACTGTGCTCAGCTGGATTTGGAATCAGGGGAGATAGGTGTTACATGGTACTGGTAAATATACATACGTCCAAGTCGAGTAGCGACTGGTAGGTTCCGTGAGCATCAATAGGTGTATCGTGCACCGATATCTCATATCAACGGAGCTGGGAAGCAATGAAATAAATCTCCGAATAAATTACGCTGAATCTGGTCGTGACTTGATGATGTTATACGCATGGTACCAGTAGTGTCGCAGGAGTTGTTGGTGGATGACGCACCAAAACAAGGCTATCGCGGACATTGTAGCCGGGCTCCGGGATCGCACGTGGGGTCCTGTCATGCAGGCGGTCGGAGGGTAAGTGGGTGGGTGGTTGAGTGGTCACTGGTAAGGCAGAGGTGGCCAAGAGTGCCCGCGGTTCTTACACGTTCAAACATACAATCCCCCGGTTGCTACAATACAATACAACAAACTCGACTTTTGCCCTTCTGACCGTAGACCTTGCACAAATGGGCTTGCGGTCAGCTTCCGGGCTACTTCCATTCTTTACCAGTAGTTGAGCAGCAATGAGCTTGTCCGCGTTCCTCGTTATCTACGTACTCGGCGGCATCACCTTTATCCCACTTGTCCTCTCCGTTGCATTCCTCCATGCCTACTTGACACAACCACAGTGGACTGGTTCCAGCCCCAACGCGAATGCCTCCGACAAGAATGAACACCATGTTCCGGATAGCGACGGAAAGCCCAGCGCGGCCGACTTCGAAGGTCTTCCAAGTGAGCTGAAGACACGGACACACGTCCCGGACGTAGCAGCCGGGTACTTTGCTGTCTGCCGGGAGTACGTGCCAGGAGGAATCAATGGGAAACCACCAGAGAGGACTACACCTGCGGGAGCGGTCGTCGCATCCGAAAGCCCGAGTGTATATCAGTCCATGTACCGGTCCATCTTCGACCGGAACAAGACCACGTCCCCGAGCATAGAGGCAGCAAACAACAAAAGCAAGAAGGCGCGGAATGTATTCTATGTCGTCCTAAGGTGAGATTCTTGTTCGCGAATCATGGCGTCGTGACTGCTGCTGCTGCGCGCGGCTGGGTGTGTAGGAGGATCATGCTGACGTTGGCTAGATTGGGGCACCTAATGTTATACGACGATTCGGAACAGCTCGAAGTTCGCCATGTCATTTCACTCGCGCATTACGACGTCGACATCTATAGTGGTGGGGAGGCGATACCAGAGGGGGAGCTGTGGATCAAGCGCAACTGCATACGGCTCGCGTCACGCCGCCAGTCGGACGGAACGATACCGGAATCTAGGAAGCCATTCTATCTATTCTCCGAGAATTGCTCAGAAAAGGAGGACTTTTATCATGCCATATTGCAAAGTCAAGAGCATCGCGCCGGTTCTAGTCAGCCTCAGCTCACGCCTCTGAAGTTCGATACCCCAGATCTTGTGAAGCTTGTTCAGCAATTGCATGCGGATGAGGAGAATCTAAACACCCGTTGGATCAACGCACTTATTGGGAGGCTATTCCTTGCCCTCTACAAGACAAAGGATATCGAGAATACCATATGGACAAAGATGACGAAGAAGATCGCACGAGTTCCCAAGCCTGCTCTCATCAGTAGCATCAACCTTGTGAAGGTGGACATGGGAACGCTACCTCCGTTTATTACGAACCCGAAACTCAAAGAATTGACCGTTGATGGCGACTTGTTAATTGAGGCCGACGTCAGCTACAAGGGAAACTTCCGCGTCGAAATTTCAGCAATCGCTCGTATCGATCTGGGAACTCGATTCAAGGCTCGCGAGGTCACGCTCGTACTTGCGACCAGTCTCCGGAAACTAGACGGACACATCCTGGTGCGGATAAAACCACCCCCCAGCAATCGTATCTGGGTCACTTTCGAGACTGCACCGAAAATGGAGTTCTTCCTTGAGCCTATCGTCAGTTCGCGCCAGATTACTTATGGTGTCATTCTTCGCGCCATCGAGAGCCGGCTTCGTGAAGTTGTCAGCGAAACGCTTGTGTATCCCAACTGGGACGATATACAATTCAGCGATACCATAGCGAACCAACTCAGGGGCGGCATATGGTCAGACAGCTCAAAGGACCATTCTAAACACAACATCGCCACCAAAATCGAGGAGGAAATAGCTCTACGAGCTGCGGAACATCACTCGGATACAGAGGAATTGGAATCGACTGTGCCAATCGTGCCGAAGAATGAGCCTCCAAAGATATCACGCAAGCCTACCGCATCAAGCGCTGAAAGCTCTGACACGCAATCTACAGCATACAGCTCTGCAGTTGATAAGACGCCCATCAAACCAAAGGCGATGCGATCTGGGTCTTTCGCCAACGCCGCCAGTCCTACCGTTGACATGAGCCCGACCTTGGCTTCGGCGACGAAAAGTGAAACTCAAGTCGATGCGGCCTCGTCGATGAAAACAACGATGTCCAGATCACAGCCCACGACTCCCGCGGAATCGCCAGTGGGATCTCTCGAACAGCCATCAGTCATGCGGAGTAGAGCGCGGGGAAGCGCCTCTTCGGCGGATGTATATACTACGGAGGGGGAAGAGGGACTTTTGAGCGAGCCAATGCACACAGTCTTGGATGCTGCTACTTTCCCAATGACCTCATCAGCATCCATGGAATCAGCCGACACTGCTTCGACACGCTCGTATGGGAAGCCGGGGCATAGGACTTCGTCGTCGTTGCCCCGGAATACTTTTGCATCTACAGACAAGCGCCAGATGATCAATCAGGGTTTCAACACTGCAACGGCGGCAGCCAAAAAGTGGTTTGCTAAACAGAGTCAAGAGGCACCTTCCCCTAAGCCTTCAACATCTCGCGAGTCACTGCAAACGGTAGACGACATCACGCAAGACAATGACAAAGATTCGATCTCTGGCCTCAGCACTCTATCGACGGCAAGGTCACATGTAAACGCTCCCCTAGGTTCGCCCGCACATCCCATAGGACGAGGCCAACCGCTACCGCCGCCTGGCACACCTCTTCCTGGACCGCAAAAGCCAGAGAAACGAAATGCAGGCTGGAGCGTCCCAACCGCCGCGACCTTTGCGAACCTCGCCAAACGCAAACCTGTCCCGGTAAAAGCGCAGTCACAGCAACAATCAACAGAGCCATCACCTCCAAAAGAACCGATCTCACCACCTCCTCCACAGCTGCCAGCACGCCCGCCCCTGGCACCCATGCACTCCTCCCACTCCCACTCCTCATCCCACCACAGACAAGCCAGCGTCGGCACGGCAGCCATGGGCGTCCGCCGGAAATCCACATCAAACCACGCTCTTTCGCAATCGACCGCCCGCCGACAACGCCGCTCCGTCACCGACGCAGCAATCCGCAATGGAAACGGGAATGGGAATGGAAACGGACACGGCGAAGGCAACGGACACCACGACCCGGGGATGCTCGTCGTCGAAGCACCCATCCTCGACACGAGCGCCCCGACGACACCCACCGGCATCGACTACCCTTCGACGGAACCGAGAAAGGACCTTGGACATCGCGGCCGTGGCTCCAGCAACGCTACCGCTGACGACAGCGTCAATTTGGATCCCCCGCGCAGGAGCATGGAAGACGAAGGTGTTTTTCAAGGCATGGAGGGCGTGTCGTAACCCGAGGGGGAAAAGGGGGCAACGGAATGGAATGGAATGTATAGTTACTGCTGTCGTACACTGGAAATAAAGGCAAATGTCTGCCGCATAATGATACTCCCGTACTGAAATGTCTGCCTTAACTGCTTTCGTGCTACTGAAAAGAAGGCAACCGTCCCCCTCCAGCGATTCTGTGCTACTAGAAAGAAGGCAACCATCTGCCTCGAGCGACTTCTGTGTTGTCGACAATCGACTGCCTCCATCGACAATCGACTGTCTCCATCGACAATCGTCTGCCTCTATCGACTCTCTGTTACTGAACAGAAGGAAACCGTCTCCCTCCCACTACGTCTCCCTTCACTGCTTCTGTGTTGATTGAAACGAGGCAACCGCCTGCCTCGAGCGATTCTGTGTTACTGAAAAGAAGGCAAACGATTTTCGTGCTACTTGAAACGAGGCAACTGAACGATTTTTGTCCTACTTGAAAGAAAGCAGCCAGATTTCGTGTCACTCGAAACGAGGCAACCGTCTGCCCTCATCGCGGGGAAGGAAGACGGAACGGCCCGCACCTAACCCTACTGCACATCCCCCATACAATGTTCTCTTACTCTTCCTCTTACTCACGAACATTCCAATGGAAAAACAAGAAAATCCAAACAAACCCCTCCCATTCCCTCCCCTCACCCCATCTCCGCCTTCTCCCTCCCAACCGTGACGAACCTCAGCCTCACGCCGCTGCCAAGCTCGCTCGCTCCCGCAGTGCAGTTGCAGTGCCACCGCCATCGCAACACTGAACCATGTAGTCCCACCCGCTCACCCGCCTTTGTACATACTCGCCTTACTCTGCCTTATCGCCTTGTTTCGACACAAATTCACTTGACTTGCCGCATGAGGTAGGTTGGCGTTTGGGCTGCGTTTTCGTGCTTGTGATTGCGCTTGTTCGACCTGTAGGATGCGCTGCTTTGGTGGGGACACTGCAGTGGGAGGGAGTACCCGTCGGCCGTTGAGGAGGTTGCCTTCTGCCCTCCGCGATTGATTTGCAGTGATGTGCCTGGGGTCATTTTGCCTTCTTTTTTTTCTCCGATGCAGGAATGTGTTGGTCACGCGTTACGAGGGTTGCCGGCATTCTTTGCAAGTCGTAGTGGTGTGGAATGCCTTCGCCAGCCTTGCTCGGCCATGGATGTTACGCAGGTTGCCTTCTCTCGAGTAGTAGCACACGATGCCTTTCTTATGATGCCTTCTTTCAGGTAGCACAGGAAGCCTTCTTTCCTTTGAGTCTCGTTCTGCCTTCTCCGCGATTCGTGGTGATGCGGACTGCCTTCGCAGCATTACTCGGTCGCGTTACGCAGGTTTCCTTTTCCTTTCGCAATCGTCTGCCTTCTCCGCAAGTCGTGGTGATGCGGGGCGATTGCCTTCCCAACCTTCTCCCCCTCGTTTGCCTACTTTGTTTTCTCCGATGCAGCACTGTGCGATCACGTTACGCAGGTTGCCTTCTTTCCTTTGAGCCTCCTTTCTCCCTTCTCTGCCAGTCGCAGTGATGCAGACAGATCTGCCTTACTCGGTCACGTCACACACGTTGCCTTCTTTCGAGTAGCACAGTCTGCCTTGTCTCGTGTAGCACAGGCCGCCTTCTTTGGCTTAGCACAAGTATCAAGCGACGTACAGCACCAAGAAGCGTTCAGCTGGCCGTACACCACGGTTTTGGACAGATTGGGTAGGAAATGGCAATTGTCGTCGATTACACCGCGCGAGTAACTGCACGCTTCCCTGCCCATTGCGTATGTCGACCCGCGGCGTACTACATCAAGAAGCGGTCAGGTAGCGACTGATTACCTAGATAGGTAGGAATCGGTTTTGTCGTCGAACATACCGCGCGAGTGCAATAGGAAAGGGCAACCGAGCGATCAGGCAAAGGGGAATCAAGCGGTCCACGTGATGATGGTGTGAAGGGCAGACAGACAGACACGAATGAGAGATGTGGCAGCAAAAGTCAATCCGAGCGCGGAAAAGGAAAAGGCAATTCCGTGTACAGAGTACTCCGTACTCCGTAACTTCTTCGTCATCAAATTAAGATCAAAACGTAAATTGGCACACGTGATCATTCCATGAGATGCAGAGAGGGTAGAAGGCAGAGGAGTAGAGGGAAGGCAAGACGAGGCGAGAGAGAAAGAAGGCGGCCTGCGTAACGTGACTGAGTAAGGCTGCGAAGGCAGATCCGTCCGTATTACTACGACTTGCGGAGAAGGCAGAGGGAGGCTCGAGGAAAAGAAGGCATCGTGTACTACGCGAAAGAAGGCATCGTGTGCTACTCGAAAGAAGGCATCCTGTGTTACTTGAAAGAAGGCATCTGCTCGAGAGAAGACATCGTATCCTGCATCATAGAAGGCAGACTGTCAAAGGCGGATAATGCTACTCCGTACATCACTGAAGGCATCGTGACCTACAGAGTACATCGAAGAAAGGAACACTGTTGCTACGTGAAAGCAGGCAGACTGTGCTGCTCGAGAGAAGGCATCGTGTCCGACATCAGTGAAGGCATCGTGAGAATGGCATTGTGAGAATACCATCGTGAGAATACCATCGTAAGAATACCATCGTGAGAATGGCAGTCTGAGAATGGCATTGTGAAAATGGCATCGTGAGAAGGCAGCCTGTGCTACTCCAAAGATGGCAGACTGTCAAAGGTATCCTGTGTTTACGGAGATCGATTGTGCTACGTGAAAGAAGGCATCTTGTGCTACATCAATTCAGGCGAACTGTGCTACTCGAAAGAAGGGATCTACTTGGAAGTAGGCAGACTTTGCTGCTTGAGAGAAGGCATCGTAACGAAAGGCAGACGGTGCTACTTGAGAGAAGACATACTGTGTCACTACACACGAATGGTCCGGCCTACCTCGTACCAACAGAGGTCGCGAAGACGACCATGGCGTGCGGCGGGAAGCTGCTGATACTTATGCTGCGAACTGAGAAGGCAACAGAGCAATTAGGCAAAAGAAGGCGATAGATTGATCAAGCAGAAGAGGGTAATGGGTAGTAAGGCAAGAATGCGAACAGTGACATTTCCCCGCCCCGTCCTCCGTATCTCTGCCCACATGAAGGAAAGCATACTGTGCTACTCGAGAGAAGGCATCGTGTACTACAATGAAAGAAAGCATCGTGTGCTACTTAGAATCAGGCAAATTGTGTCCATACTCACGAACGGTTCGACCTCCTAACAGAAGTCGAAAAGACGACCATGGCGCGCAGCGAGAAGCTGCTGATACTTATGCTATGAATCGAGAGGGCAGGAAAATCATCAGGAGAAAGAGGGCAACAGGTACTCCGTAGTTAGGCAACAAGGCGAACAGTGAATCCTTTTTCCCACGTACTCCGTCTCTCTGAGAGAAGGCAGACTGTGCTACTCGTAATCAGGCATCATGTCCTACATTAAATCAGGCAAATTATAGTACTACACACGAATGGTTCGATCTACGAAGTGAAGTTGAACAGACGACCATGGCGCGCGGCAGTAGGAAGCTGCTGGAAGTCGAGAAGGCAATGGAGCGGGGGCATCATTTTGACCCTGTGCGGATTGTCTCTGTGCTACATGAAAGAAGGCATCCTGTGCTACTCGAGACAAGGCATCGTGTGTTACTTGGAATCAGGCAACCTGTGCTACTGCACACGAATGGCTCGACCTACCATCAGAAGTTGAACACCATGGTGCGCAGCGGGAAACTGCTAGAAAGAAGGCAATGGAGCAGTCAGGCAAAGGAAGTCAACGGACTGATCAAGCAAGAAGGTATCCTACATGCTCTGTACGGAGTATTTCTGCCCTACGTCAAAGAAGGCGAACTGTGCTGCTCGTAATCAGACATCGTGTCCTCCATCAGAGAAGGCATGGTCCGACCTGCCAAAGACAGCCATGGGGCGCGGGGGGAAGCTGCTGGAAGCTGAGAAGCAACGGAGCGGGCATCGGATTGACCCTGAACGGAGAACCTCTGTGCTACATCAAAAGAAGGCATCGTGTGCTACTCGAAAGAAGGCATCCTGTGTTACTTAAAAGCAAGCAGACTGTGCTACTTCAAACTAGGCACATTGTGCCGCTACGTACGGAGTACGAATGCTGGAAGCAAGCAACCACTCCAGACTTACTCCGTAGAAGTTGGAAAGGCAACTATGGCGCGCGGCGGACAGCCGCCGATATTTGTATTAAGGACGAGAAGGCAGGAATGTCGTCAGGCAAAAAGAAGGCAACAGAGAAAGGCCGTCAGGCAAAAGAAGGCAAACGAGCGAGAAGGCAAGAACGCAGACAGTGTGCATTCCGATGTACCTACTCCGTAGCGTAGCGTAGCTTTACCTTCTTCCCATCACGAAAGGCAACAGGTGCTACTCGAGAGAAGGCAGACCGTGCTACTTGAAAGCAGGCAAATTGTGCTACTGGAAATCAGGCAAATTGACTCACTACTCCGTACATGCGAATGGTGCAACTGAGCGACCGCTCGATGCTCAGGAATGCAGAAGGCGGCCATGGCGCGCGACGGGCGGCTACAGATATTTGTGCTAGGGACTGAGAAGGCAGCGAGCAGTCAGGCAAAAGAAGGCAACCGAGCGAGAAGGCAAGAACGCGGACAGTGCCTTGGAGTAGCGTAGCGTAGCCTTGCCTTCTTCTCTGCTCCGTACAGTGTGCTTCTGTCCCGCATCAAAGAAGGCAGATTGTGCTACTTGAAATCAGGCAAACTGTGCTACATGAAAGAAGGCAACGGGTGACCTCTGCCACGTCAATGAAGGCAACCTGTGCCACGTCAAAGAAGGCAGACTGTGCCACACCAAAGAAGGCGACCGATGCGACGGCATGCGGATGCCTATCGCCCACTCGATACTCAGAAGTCGAAAAGGCAGCAAAGGTGATTAGGCAAAGAAAGGCGTACGTACAACCTTACCACTTGAGTACTCTACAGATGTCGGAAAGTCGACCAAGGTGCGTAACGGAAAGGTGTTGATATCTTGTACAGAGCATGAGGTATCAAGGAGGTGGAGGTGAGGCAATGGGACAGTGAGGCAACGTCACGGTCAGGCAACGAGATGGTCAGGTACCGGGACCGGCAAGCAATGGGTCAGTCAGGGGGACAGTCAGGCAACGGAGTGATCAGGCAAGAGAAGGCAACTAGTGACCTACTGTTCTTCCGATGTAGCGTAGCGTAGCTTTCCTCTGCCTTCGTGCCTCCGTCCTACATCAAATAAGGCAACAAGTGCTACGGAGTACTTGGAAGAAGGCAACCAGTGCCGCGGCAGGCGGATGTGTAGACCGCCAACCACCCGAGGCTCAGAGGTCGAGAAAACGACCATGGCACGCGGCGGGAAGCTGCTGATATTTGTACAAGCGACAGGAAGGCAGCGGGATGATCAGGCAAAAGAAGGCAACGAGATCTGGCAACGGGGTGATCGAGCAAAAGAAGGCAACGAGATCTGGCAACGGGGTGATCGAGCAAAAGAAGGCAACGAGATCAGGCAACGGAACGATCGAGCAAAAGAAGGCAACGAGATCAGGCAACGGGAGCAGGCAAGAGAGCGATCAGGCAGTGGGATTGTCGAGCAAAAGAAGGCAGCCTGTGTCACTTCAGAGAAGGCAACGGGACGATCAGACGAAAGAAGGCGACGAAATCAGGCAAGGGAGTGATCAGGTAGCGGGATGATCGAGCAAAAGAAGGCAACGAGATCTAGCAGCAGAGTGATCGAGCAAAGAAGGCAACGAGATCTGGCATCGGAGTGATTGAGTAAAAGAAGGCAACGAGATCAGGCAATGGGAGCAAGCAAGGGAGCGATCAGGCAACTGAATGGTTGAGCAAAAGAAGGCAACCTGTGTCACTTCAAAGAAGGCAACTGGTGTCCCGGCATGTGGAGGTGTAGTGCACCAATCACTCAAGAATTGTAGATCGAAAAGGCGACCATAGCACACGGCGGGAGGCCACCACAATAATGGCAATGGGGAAGAAGGCAAATAGTATCACAAGATAGTCCGTACAGTGTGTATCCTATCTACTCTCTATACTCACAAGTTGAGAAGACCACAATGGTGCGTGGTGGGAGACTACAGATAATTACGCCAGGAACAGAGAAGGCAACAAGGTCGTCAAGCAGAGAAGGCAAGCGGACGATCAGGCGAGCAGGTAGTTGAGTGCTCTGGGAAAAGAAGGCAACGGGGATTCAGGCAGATAGTGTCACGACGCCCGAATGTATAATGCAGATGTTGAGAAGACAACGAAGTGATAAGGCAAAAGAAGGCGTATGTACGACCTACCAATCTCTCAAGATATTGAAGTCGAAAAAACAACCATGGCGCGCGACGGGAAACTACCGATATTTGTGCTTGGAACGAAAAGCAACAGAACGATCAGGAAAAAGAAGGCAACGGACCATCAGGCAAAGAAGGCAACGGAAAATCAGGCAAAAAAAGGCGACGAGATAATCAGGCAAACGGTGCCACGACACACGAATGCACAACCCATCGACCACTCAGGACACAAGAGTCGAAAAGGCAAAGGCAAAAGAAGGCAAACGATACTCCACACGCGAATGTACAGCCAATGAACCACTCGAGACTCCGCCAGGAACGAAGAAGGCAACCGAAGTGGTCAGGCAAAAGAAGGCAAAAGAAGGCAACGGGACAAGGGAAGGATCGGGCCACAGGACGATCAGGCAAATCAAGGCGAACACTGTCACAACACGCATACCACAATATGTACACACATTATGTACATGCACTCCACCAACCATTCTACACCCAGAAGTCAAAGAATCAACCATGGCGCGCGGCGGGAAGTCACTGATATTTATGCTAGGGAGATGAAGGCTACCGTGCGATCAGGCAAAAGAAGGCAAACGAAAAGAAGGCAAAGAAGGCAACCGATCGTCTGCCTCGTGTCTGATTGGTGAGCTGTGGATTCGTTTGCCTTCTTTTCCTGACGGTCGATGTTGTGCATGCTTTTGCCTTCTTTTCCTGACAGTCGATACGGAGTACTGTGGATTCCTTTGCCTGCTTTTCTCCATGTTCGACGATGTAGGTACTCTTGCTTTGTTTTTCTAATAGACGATACCTTCTTCGCCTGTTGGTAACTATATGCCTTCTACTACTACCTTCGTCTTATAGTCACCGTTGCACGTTTTGGTATTGAATGTTGAATGAGCGAGACAACTTCATTGACGCCCACAGCTAAAGCTCTTCATGATACTGTCCAACAGAAGCCGAAAATCTCTCCAACATTGTCTTCGAGTCGCAGAACCGCAATCCTCTAACTCACCAATCTCGGCAATGCAAAACCGTCATCGCCGTCATCGCCATCATCGCCATCATCGCCATCATCGCCTATATACGACGGGTCCACCTCGATGACATTGTTCTGCGTACGAGCAACCACTTTGTACTGTACGGGAGGAATGACCTCCTGAATCCCCCACACTCTCCTATTCACCTCCTCGATCCTCTGACTCTCAACTCCAACACAACCCAGCAAACACAAAAACCTCAGTCCCGTCAATCCACCAATCCAACCCAACGCCTCCTCATTCATCTCTCCTCCAACCCTATTCCCATTCCCATTTTCTCCGATAACCCCCAGAACCTCCAACCCCTTCCTTTCCTCCCACTCCTCCCCAATCCACCTCCAACCCTCGACGCCCAAATCAACACACTTACAAAGCCAAAGCTCCCTACAATTCCTTGCGCCCGCCAGCAACTCCCCCAACTGCTCCACCCCGAATCCAATCGCACCCTCGATTTTCACAGCTCTCACTCGACCTCTCCACCTCGCCGTACCGGCCAGCAGCATCCACGCGTCCTGCTGCTCCTTCCTCTGCTGAATGGCACGTTCCCTGGGCATGGCGCGGACATGTGGGTTACCCTCCGTGCGGAGAGATAGTGTGCGCAAGGCCGGGAGGGCAGCAATACCCGCAGCGACCGGAGCCGTCATGATCCAGAGTGTCAAGTCGAGCGTGGTGAGCGCGGCGCCGTGACGGGTAAGGATGGACCACGTCAGCGCGGTGTGGAAGCGTAGAAGAATGTCGCTTGAATGGGAGGCGGCGAACGGTATGAGCACCGCCACTTTATACGGGTCGTCTTTATCGTCGCTATAGTCATCGCGGTTCGGAGGAAATGTAACCGGCAGAGTCAGCACGGGGATAGACTCGAACGCGGAGTCTCGTCTCCTTTCCCATTCCGGAATCCTGGACGACGATGCAGAACCACGCCGTGAAGATGCAGATTTGCTGCCAGATGTGGTGTCGAATGCCGACTCCACCGTCTTCGGAATCGGACACAGCGTCGCGCCTAGCATGCTAATGATGCCGGACACCCTGCTCGGATGGATCCCCAGCCTTAGAGTGTGCAGGCTCGATATGGCGATAGTGTGGGCGCGGCGCGAGGTCCGCGAGAATGCGAGAAGGGACCTCGTAGGTAGGAATGAGAGGATATGGATCAGGAGTTCCGGAGGGAAATCGAACAAGGGGATGGTGGACTTGGGCGTAGATGATGGCATGGTTGTACGGATAAGTTGATGTGTTGGTGTCGCTTCGTCTCTTTCTAGTGAAGACATGCTTGGTGGTTGTTGAGGACGTTTCTGGCAACGTCCCGGGATGCTGGGTAGGTATGTATATATGTGCTAGCTACGGAGACAAGAAAAACAATCGTCTTCTGCGAAGGTAGTAAGTGCGGTGCTCTACGCTCGCTGCGTATGTGTATGGTGGATGTAAGTATGTATATATGAGTACCTAGGTAGACACTATCCAACACAAGCCATGTGAGTGTGCTCTCGTGTATGTATGTGTGTGTGCGTGCCGTGGTCATCCATCCAACTTACCATCCACTCAACAACTCAACCATGCAATTCCCTTTTGTCTCGTCGGATCGTTGCGTTTCCGTTTCGAAAGCTGAAGCTGAAGCTGAATCCTTCGTTTGGCCGGGGGAGGTATAAGTCTGTTATGCAGTGATATGGCGTAGTTAGACACACGCTCCACTCGAACTGGCGGTGTTGCGTTTCGTTTGCCTTTTTTTGTCGATCTAGTCGATAAGGAAATGTGAAATATTGAATCTGAATCTTTGGATGGAGTTTTATATGCAAAAACCAGCCTCGTAGGCAGCAGGAAGATGCGATCAGTATAACGATTCAAAACATTGTTTTTTGCGATGCGCATACCGCATTCCGCGCTCACCTCCGCTCCCCCTCTCCCGTCGCGAATCACAAAAGAAGGAAAGGGAAAAGGCATGGTGAAAAGAAAGACAAATCAAAAAAAGGAAGAAAGAAAAGAAAAGAGGAGCCAATGAGGATCGAAGAGAAAAAAGCCCATCCCCGCATTTGGGAGGAGATGAAGTTACACGACATGCACATCGTCATCGTTATCGTTAACCACATCGGATTTCCAACGCCGGGAGGCTTTTTGGTGGTCTTTTTGTTTCTTTCTTCTGCCACCATGTTTCATTTTTGTGAGATGAAAAGATGGATAGTTGGCCGGTGGGCCGGACGATCGTGACGTGGCAGAAACGGCAGAAACGCCTGAGTTTCTGGTTTACGGTTTCTTTGTTTACTCATTTGTTGATATGACGCCTGGTGTTGTTCTTTTTCCTTCCAAGGGAAAAAGAATAGTGTTAGAGGGAGGAACATCTAGGTAAGACGCCGATTCAGCCTGGCTGGCGTCCGCCCATGGCTTGCTTTGGGGGCTGCTGACGAGATACTCGCCTGCTTTCTTGCTTGGATTATGGTTCTCAGGATCAGGATCAGGATCGTGGTCGTTAAACATATGCGGGCGCGTGGGGTAGTCGTTCATATCAATCGTATGCCAGATGAGGAAGCTGAATGAAATGTAGAGGGGGCGGATGTGCGAATCATTGCGATTTTTACTCCATCGCATTCTCATGCTCTCTTTTTCTCCGCCATGGCTTTTTCTTTTTCCTTGGTGTTGACGTTGGTGGTGTTTTTTTAGGAGATTTGGATATCAGATTCGTTGATAACATGCGTGCATGCGTGCATGCGTGCCACAACTGGGGAGATCAAGATCGATTTCCCGTTCGTGTATCTCGACCTGGACTACTCCGTAGATCGATGATAAGTCAATTAACGAACGACGGAGATGGTCGGGCGATGCATGGATGCGAAGATAATATCACATATAAGGCTGGCTGCCTTGTGGGAATACGAGTTCTGTGCCACATGCCCACAGCCCTACGAAGCGCAGCGACGTACCCTTTGGGTTAGGAAGATAGAGTTTCTCAAAGCGGCAGGTTTTTTTTTTGATGATATCGCTCTTAGTTACTCGCTAATCTGTTTCATCGCGATGACTCGGGGGTTGGGAAGCAAAGTGAATACTGAGGTGTGTGAATGCAGCGTGCGAAGGAGTGAGGCATGTTGGTATAGAGGTAAGAAGAAGAAACAATGTACATAGGCGAGTACAGTCATCACGGACATTGAAATGCAATATCTGTTGCCATGTGGTTCGGTTGGGGTTCATGTGCCGGCCACGTTTGAGACAATATCAATGTCATCAGTTGTGATGGTTGACAGAGGGAGTTTTATTCGATGTGATCATGTTTGGGTGTGGATGTCATGTGTGATCTATAACTCTATTCTGACAATGCGCAATTCAGGTTATCAACTGGAAGATGTCTCACCCTATGTACATAAATGTCACTGCGAATTTCGTTTTTTCAATTAAAACAAACTTGATGGATGTCATGAGAAAAGTCACATGTTCACGATCCATGAAAAATGTTTCTCCATTGACCGACTTCCATTCTGGGTCTTCCCTCACCGCCCGGCTACTGCTATTTCTCCATTCCAAGTAACCACGACATTGTGAAAAAAAATCCAATTAGCCACATACGACTTGCTCCATCATCACAATAGCCCCTTCGCGTACAGATTTTTCCCAGTCCTCGCTGCAGCTTCGATAGAGCGGGACACTACTCCGTTCCCAAATGAATACTGGCTCAAAGACGCAACTAATGGCCCGCTGCATACTTCTACATACAGAGCCCCACCACCAGACTACAATTCTGTCCTTGATTCCGTCCCCTGGGTCCCGTTCATCAGGCGGTGAAACCACACTGGGTCCTGCAGACCAGCAGGGACACACCGTAATACTGTACCTAGGATATGGTTGCCCGTCTTGTCCTTCTGGAAGGACGCCAGAAGGATCGTGTCGTCAAGCGTATACACCAACACCGAACGGTCAACGCTAATGCGAGTGCTCCTCCATAGACGACCCGTATGATCAAGGGCTGTGGGAAGTACGATTAAGCAGGTCGGAGCAACACCAGCCCTAGTCACCAGCTCAGAGTTTGATTTGTCCATCTTGGATCCTGTCTTCTCTTCGCAGTGGGTTCGTAACGAGGCATCTATTGATTGTTACGACGCCTCTTCCCAATACCTCACCGCATCGACATAACTATCCCTTTCCAATAATGCAAGCCCAGCCGGAGGAGAGGCGGGGAGGGAGACCAAGAGTATCGTGGTGGGAGCGACAATTGCCATGACCTGGTGCAGTTCTCCACGCACCAGTGCATGTCCACACGACCAGCTCGAGTCAGCAACCCCAGGCCATGAACCCCAACACCTACCTGGTAAAATCGTGAGTGCCAATGATCCACGCGACCAGCGCCCTCCGAGTCACCTACTGACGGTTTTTTTGGTCGTCTTTTGTTTGACACCGGCCGGCGGCGATGCCTCTTGGCAGGTGTCCCGATCTTCGAAAAGCCATGCAAGCACCTAGATGGTCAGACACCACGAGTCCACGACACACTTATCATGCACGTGCGGATCCAGTCCATGCACAGGAATGGGGTCTGCAACGAATTCAATGGACAGGACAGGGCGCCGGGATGCATTCGGGCTAAGAGCACCAAATCCCACTAGAATGCCCAAGAGATCGAATAGCCATTATGTAATCCACCTGATGCCCGGCAGTGTGCTTCTTCCTCAGTGGTCTGTTCTTACATCGGAACTTTGCTCCGTCATCTTCCTTCGACGCCCTGCGCCAATTTTCACCCCTAACCTTGTCTATCAAGGGTGTCCCAGTTCCGACGTCGACACCATCTGCCGACCCGTGTTGCCCCCACCAGGACTATTCGTAGCCTCACCTTCCGAACCCTTCCTCACCAGAGCTGCATCCATGCCCAACTCTGGTTTACCTGCCCTGAATCCAGCAAACAGCTCCGACAATTTCCACGCGACAGTAATTGCTGCGCCTATGGTAAAGGGATCATGGATCAGTGCATTGTCCACTAACGCTGTGCCGATTACGGTCGTTTTTGGACGCTTCGATGCCCATATCGAGCCATGGGGCGCATCGCCAACCACAGTCCATCAATACCGAGACCAACACCCAGGGTTCTTGGTTTCCAGGATCCAAAGATGCATCAAATCGTGGAACAGCACGATCCTCAACTCGGCAGGTTCGATATGTATGCATGGTGCTAACCCTGCCGATGCGATACTCTGTGTGCATATTTCGCAACTCGAGGCGTTCAGCGGTCAATCCGCATCAGTTGCCGTGACTTTGATTCGCAAATAACTATACCATATGCGATGCCAACCTGCCAACTTGCGCTGAGCACAGGAAAACTATCAAGATGCTACTCGTGGAAAGCTGACTCAGGGCATTAGACAGATCAGCAGCGGGAGATCCCATTGTCGAACAGACACCCGACGGGACTAGGGCCTGGTCTGGATGTCGTCCTCCAGATGCGGTTCCATGGTCTGGAAACGGGGTATCCCACGTTTTAACTTTCTTGGCATTGGCATTGTATCCTCTTTCTCTACACATCATCCATGTTTATTTCAACGTTTTGCGGATCTCAAACCGCGCAATATAATGCGGTACAAGTACAAAGTACAAGGTAAAACTAATCTTACACTTGCACTTACAGTAGATGATCCTACCCATGCTAGCTCCCCCCTCACTGTGCTACACCTGGTAGCTTCGAGAAAGACAGACCATTTATCATGTCATATTTCTTTCCGGTGGGATTGGAACATTGCCATTGGCAGCACTTCTTGGAAATGAAATGCAGCTCAAGCACGAGCACGAGCACACTAATCATAATACTGACTCGTCAGGCTTACAGCGTCGGCGAATTACAGCTCAGTCCAGGGTTGGAAAAAAGACGGCGCATCCGATGTACAGTAGCTGCGACAGTGCGACTGCAAGGCATTTCTAGCATTGCAACGCTAGACCAGATCAGTGGTCATATTATGATCCGCGCGTCTCAGTCTTTGCTCAATGACAGAGACCAGCGCATTTGAAGACAAATGATAGACTGCTAATTCTTGCCCGATACTTACTAGGTAGATCAGTTTTAACTCACCAGGCATGTTTTGGCAAGTTGCGACTGGGATTGGCACTGACATATCGCCCCCTGTCTTGCCTTGCCAACCAAGCCTCATCTGATGACGACCATACAAGTTACATTGACATGGCAGATGATGCATTGCCAAAAATTGTAGTTATTATGCTTGCACTGTATACTTTGACGTGGCGTACACCACATACGCAAGCATACATAGGTAGACAGTGTGCAAAACGTACCACTTTGGACGTCGACCTAGCTGCGGTCCACCGTCTGCGACCCCACAGCTATGTACCACTACACTTCATCGCGGGTGGTTTGGCTACTCGTACCCTAACGAATCACCAACGATGCCTGCGGTCGCCTGCTTAGCAGCGACACACAAAGTCCCTCAAAAGTTCGAGATGCTTTTGCCGTCATCATTACGCCTATGCAACATGCTTACCTCTAATTTGATCTCCAGATCTTCGGACCCTGCAGGATTCCATGCAACCATCCCGCAAGCCACTCAGGCGCCACGAGAACATCCCAATTCATGTCTGGATACAACGGCCTCTGCGAGCGTGTATTGTACTACCTGTGCATGCAAGCAGGCTGCAAATCAAGGTTACCATTGAGCTGCCAACGCAACTAAAATCCCAAAAGCACAGGCTCGCTATCTATCCAATGCAAAAGTAGGTTTGGGCGATGCACGTATGAACGTGGTTCATTCACATGTGCATGGCTCCCATGGCACCAATATCCCCGCAATACCCAATAATAGTTGCCTTTCGCTGTCATCGCCAGTTGCCGCGCCCAGGGTGCGAGACAACTCCCAGTATGCAAAGGAACAATAATGTTTGAGGGCAAGAAATGAGGCTTTTCACAATGCAAAGTTTACTGCAAGGACCGCAAGGATCGCTTTCCCCGATCTTGGTCACCGGCCGGCGGGCCAAAAACGTTATCAAGGGTACCTTGTCCCCAGCCGGTGCACCGATTCGATATCAACGTGCGATGATGCGCGAAAGGGAACATGATGTGATACGATGCGATGTACCGCATCTGCGCTCCGATGTCGATCAATATTGACAGGCCAAAGTTTCAATATTACGGTACCTATTCAGAGAAACCACCCGGATGTTGACTGTTCATGGTCGCGGGGGCTTTGTTCAACAATGGTTCGTGCGCTCAGCCAATCCAGCACCCAGCGGAATGATCATCCCGTTCAATAACATCGTTCGATTTTCTCACGCTGTGAATGTCGAGTCGTGTCGAGTCGAGTCGTTTCAATCGGAGCTGAAAGATGAAAAGAGACGTCCCAAAAGGGACATGCACGCACGCACCGCAACACAATGCACGCACTCCAGGTATTGTAATCTGCGTGCGGAGCATCTCCGCTGTTTCTCCGCTGCTTCATAATCACATTGGAAATCAACATCGTCATCGCCATCGTAGGAGGAGCTCTTCTGTGATCGAACGGTTTTCGGTGTTCCATTACAATAATCATCAAATCGGCCCAGGATTCCTCCGCCTCAATGCCTGCGTCACCGCACCCGCGTCCACCCATCCTGCCCTGCCCAATGATGCAGATCTTCCTCTATGGAAGTCGCCGCCCCGACAAGGGAAGGGTAGGGAACCACAGCAAAAGCATGGCGCCTATACTTTCCCTCTTTCGTCTAAGTACATCTTATCTTCCCCGTCCATACAGTGTTGATAGAGGCCATACAGAATTGCGTATCCACTTCCCACGAGGCAGGCCGCAGAAGAGCTAAAGGCACTCGTCATAGGGTAACGCTTTTGTGTATTCAAAGGGTAAACTATAGTAAACCAACGTGGTATGCACTTACGAAAGCTAACCGTAACCATGACCACCGAGCGTTGCCGCGATCGATCAACGGTAAAAAACCACTATGGAATGAGGCTTGCCGGCTGGCTTGCTTCCGTGCTTAAGTTGTGTAAGTGAGAGAGTGTGTGTACGTGCACTGCGTAAGTCGATCTCTCTCTTGCTTGCTCGCAATACTACCCTAATTGTTGACGAGAGTTGGACGGACGGCGGGCGAGCTACACACACAGCCCTGCTTGTCCACCCACTCCACTGCTACAGTGCTACTGCTAGCTCCCACCAGCTAGTTTGCAAGTCCATTTTCTTCATTTTCAGGGCCACAGCACAGCCAAGAACATAGGCCAGGGGAAACCACAAAACGCAAGACCGCAAGGAAGGGAAAGAAAGGCCTAAAATGGTTGCTACTAAACGGTCGTCCGTGAGATATTCCGTGCAATACACCCTACGGAGCATCTCCAAAGCTTACTTGGCCATCTAACTTCACCAACATCCTCCCTATTACTCCAATCCTCGTACAATACTCCGTACTCGTACATACGAGTACAATAACTTACGAACATCATTACTTTCGAGCTTGACTTTTTGGTCTTAGTGCCCACCCGTCCCTGTCCCTATTATTCCTATTCCTGTCCTGACCAATCTTTCATTAGGAAGAGCATAGGACCAGAGCTCCGACCACCCACTACCACCCACCACCACCAAAAAAATCTAAATCTTGGAACCACCCTACCCAGCATTCCGCCGAAGCGACGCCGAAGTGTTCGCGGGATGGCAGTTAGCCTCAAAGCTCGAGCTTCTTTGGATCTAATGCTATGGAACAAGAAGGCAAGGTGTATTTCCAGTCTTGTAGGGGGATGGTGAGAGCAGCAAGCAGCACGGATCTCCTAAGTTTGAGAAGATTCCAGGTAAAGGATTTTTTTTAAAAGATATGGATCCATTCAACCATCGATCCATAGATACATCCCACGTCGGTTCGACAAATCGACTTTACACAGTAGGTAGTTAGAGATAAACAAGGGTCCCCCTTCGGAGGGACAGGATAATGGGATTGCGAGCGAATGAGGACGTGGGAGAATTCCTTCTATGCATTTGCATTCTTTCCTTCTCTCTCTACTCTAACTGGTTTAGTGGTTTGGTAGTTCGATGTATTACCACCAGTAGCAACCATAACGTTTAACCCATGATCGTGTAGTTACTGGTAGAGTGTAGACAGTGCGTTGGAGTTGCGTTGCGTAGCGGAAGCCGCACCCCTCCCGAAAGTCCACCCCCCTCCCCCCTTCTACCCTCTACCTCACGGAACTTACCTTACCTGTCTGTACCCTGCCCTGCCGTATCTAGTTATTCGCGACCGTGACAAATACCTGTCCAACTCTTATTTCTCGAGTCCGTCCTTGACACTTTGTTGATGTCTGTGATGGATGATCGCCGCGAGGAAATGATTTGATGTGGAAAAGCCGAAAGATGAGCCCAAAACCCAAAACCCAAAAAAAACACCATAGTTGTGCCCAAACCCCCTAAAGTCCGATAGATACCCCCAATCTAGTAAACCATTCCTGTATCCCATGCAACCCGATCTATTCCTTTTGCCCAAAAATAAAAAAAAAACACCTTGTTGTGCCCATGACTTGTGCGAGTCGAAACAGATGAACATTGAAGATCATGCACTTTCTATGCAAACATAACACCACCGTGCCCAAAAATAAAAAGATACAGAACAAAAGTACGGAGTAAAGGTATACCCAAAAGGAGCCAACCAATCCGAGAGCGAGGAAAGTGATATCAATTATGCGAGATGCAACAAGAAACGTGCGAAGACGTTGGGTAGCTTCAAGCTACCCACTTTGGGTCTGACATGGCAGGATGTTCGAGACACATCCTAGTTGCCGTCTTCCATCATCAGAAACAACGGACAACGACCGGCGCTCGTGGAGATGGCGTTCATAACGATCCCCCGCAATCGAACTTGTGAACTGTTCCACCACACACCGTTCGTCGGCCATCGCGTGGAGTATCTCACTGCAAGTAGCCCATCGGTCTTGGTCCGCATTAGAACGATAAAGCCGACATCATCGGACCGATAATGTGTAGGCGTAGCCGCGTAAGTGGTATGTTCTCAACCAACATTACTCCGCTCATTGGTGCGTGCACTCGCCCGGCAAAATCACCGGACCCGCGGTGGTGGAATGTTCTTTGATTGACATACGATTCTGTCGGTGACATGTTATACGATAGGAGATGCCTCGGGCTATTCACACGTTTAACCAATCTTAGGTTCGACCAATGCATGTTTGCAAGGCTTGGAGTTTGGTGGATATATCGGAATTGTTTCAGATGCTAGACTCGTATCAGAATCTCTCCTCTTTAATGGAAGAACCGCCTGAGCAAGGATGGGTAAAGCCCAAAACCTAATAATCAGGTGTTCTATCTTGTAGCGGCCCAAAGCGCTGTGCGTAGCGAAATGATCACACCAGGTCCGTCCTAAGCAACAACACAGTAGGTGGGGGTTGATCTGCAATCCGCGTGACTGAAGCCTCGATTTGAGGACACAGCAAAGCCGTGAATGTGACATGATTAGTGAATATCCAAACTGGAATTGATGCATACTGCACGTGTATCTTGCATCTAGAACACCCAATCGGTATAATGGGGAAAGTGAATTGGTAATACAGGGCCAGGTCCTCGGGTGAAATTGATCCATCACCGACATCCAGGGTCCAAGCCGTAGGCATACTGGCGCCATCACAGGGGGACCGTTCTTGCGATTGCAGCGCAGCGTTGCCCATTTGTCCAGGATTAATCTCTCCATATTGTATGACAGGTATGTCAACAGGTGTTTTGTCATGGTACTGAAGGCATGGCATGGCGGGTAGAACGCTTAGCAAGCCATTACTACGTCCCGCACAGCCACCTCCTAGAGACCGAGAATGGTCATGGCTCACTCGCTGTTTGCATGCACAGCGTCCGCAGGCATAGAGTTTGTCCAGCCACTCCAGTCTTTGTCTTGATATTGAACAGTGATCTTGTCAAGCGGGAGAAATGCTTGCAACATTCCATTAGATGCCAGGCTTGACATTGGCCAAGTCTACTACTGTCTTTGAACTCTTCCTCTTTCAACTCCCAAGGGGTTCTGTTGCTAAGGTTACTCCGTAGTAGCGAAGAAGGGCCGATCCAAGCGATGTCCATCCTCTTTTGGCCTCCGATTCCTAGTTCCGCCGAAGATGCTCCAGTGATCGGTTCCAAGTGTTTGGTTGCACTACACGTGTCGTTCAAACCGTCACCCTGCATATCCGCCGTCGTGATGCGCCCTGCCATGAGCCAGCCCTCCACGACCGGCACTATCATGAGCATACATGACCGCTGGAACACCTTGCATCTGACCTGGGGCACTTGCATCTTCCTGCTTGAACACCATTGATGGATCGACAGGAAACCCCTGAACAGTGAACCTCGGATCATAAGCGTTCGAATTGACACTAAGGTGATGGCTTTGCATATGCTGGTGTGGATGGGAAGAAGTCACTTGAACTGGATGGCCCTGTGCCTGCAATTGCGTCCGTGGTTGGCTCGGCGATGGTTCGTAAGGACCTGGAGTTGCCGACTGGCTTGCTGGAGCTGACCCCGAAGAGTTGGCGCTGTGAGGAGCGGATGTATCATACAGTGAGAGGTCCTCAACCCGGGACGAGGGTGCCTGTAGAAGTGGTTGTTGGGAAGTGCTCAAAGGGAGTTGGGCACCTGTCTGGGCTGCAAGTTGGCGTATCAATTCGTTAGATGGGTAGGAAGGAGACGACACCGACGGTATCGAAGAAAGATCATCGTTGACGTTGGATGGAACAGATCCAAGTCCAGGGTTAAGGCCGATCGGCGTAGGGAGGTGAGCTATATTGAGGGAGCGGGGAAGCGGAAGATTTGGAAGAACGTCGGAGACCTTGGCCAAGAGGAGCGGTAGATAGCGGGTCTGTCCACCCCGGAGGGCAGAGAATAAAGTGAGGAAGCGTGAGACATAGTCGCGAGGACCAAGTGCAAAGGTGTCCGGAGAGAAAGGTATGCATGCAACGACATCAGTCAGGCAGCAAGCAACGTCAAACATCTTTTCGATCTGCACCAGTATTAGCAGGTGTGGTAGCCCAAGCTACAAGACAGGGAATGCATAGTAAAGGATGCGAATGCAATGGTGAGAGCATAGGGAAACGCGAAACACGGCGCGAGGCGGGTGAGGCCTAGCCCCTCGACGGCGGTGTCTCCAAAGGTTAGAGATAGACGTTGCGGGGTGTGTTCGTCTGAGCTCGAGTGCAGCATGCTTGCGCGTGTTGCATGCGCAGGTTGTTTGGTTTAGACAAGCGAGCCACAAGACCAGGTACTACAGGGATTGCAGGTCCAAAGACACACTAGGAAGACTAGGGAACAAATCGGAAGCAAATTGACGCAAGCTTTTTCCTCCTTGTTGGAGAGGGAGCAGGAAATTGAAATGAGATGATGTGAAACGAAATGACGGTAGGGGAGAAAAGAATACAGTGCACTTACCAGACCAACACCGTGCACCTCCATAGCCTGCTGTGAGAATTGGTGGGCCAGGGACAAGAGCTCCCTAGAGATCTCGATTGGATATTTGAATGTCATGGCACTGTCCGCAGTGACACTACTAACCAGTCCTTGGCTTACGCACAGTTGCCAGACCATAGTTCGCAGCCATTGCTGAGTGATTCGTAAGTCGACCGCCTGGATCTCTGTGCATTCCAGGTAGTTGGGGAGCGCCTCTGATAGCTGTGCTTGCAATTGTGCTGTCCAGGTAGGATTTGCACTTGCTCGAACTTTGTTCCAGATGCTGAAAAATGTATCGTCAAATGGTTTGTAAAGGTTGACCATCAATTCGATCCCAGAGGCAATTGGACGATCTGACGGCGGGTCTTCCAATGAAGGAGGGTGGATGGTGGGGTATAGAGTGATTGGACGATGTTTATGGAGAGCGTGAGTTCTGCACACAAAAGTTTGGTCAGTCAAATTATCAGAGTTTCCGCTGAATGCTGTTCTGCACAAGTCGAAAAATGTTGTTGGTTGCCGTTTGCCTTCATGTGCGGGGGAAAGGAAAAATGCTTCGAGCATGGCGAGGGTGGTACAGAAAAGGGAATTTAGTTGCGCCAGCTGCGCTTTCCCAGTCAAAAACGCTCCCACTTACCTTTCTGCAATAAAAAGTAGCCAATATAAGATCCGCCGTCTCGAAATATCCAGAGGATCGTTCTTGTACGTTTCTTCATCGTGCATTCCCAGAAGTTGTGCTTGTGTTGTGGCTTCCCGAAGATTTGACCAGGCAGTGTTGTCTCGTCCCAGCCCGAGATAGCATCCATAGAAGAACCATGAGGTCAAAACAGATAAATGTGTTGGACTTTCCAAGTAGTCAAATCCTTTACGGACCCGGACAGCCTCCTCCAACAGTATGTGCCCAATGCTAACATTCGACATCTGGGCCATGTCTGGCCGTGGCAGTATGTTCGGAGGAACGGTCGTGTCGGATTGTATCATGACATACGCGCAGAGGGCCACGAGCATACAGTAAGCCTCGGTAGAATGCTCGGCGCTGAGGATGATTTCTTGCGCTCGTTGACGGTGAAGGACGGGTTGTGAAGGGTACACTGTGTGGAAGTAGAAGTCCACGCAGCTCTCGACTAGAGCTTGAGGCAAAAGTCCTGGTGTTCGCGCAAAAGCTGCGGATAAGGTGCGGCCATCGTAGCTCAATTCGGGTGGAAAGCCTGCAGCAAGTTGGGACTGACGCTGCGTTTCCCTCAATTCAGAGAGAACCTTTGCGCGGCTGCCCTTAGGACCTTTCTTTTGAGGAATTGCATTGTATGTACAAGCAAGCCCCGCCGAAACGCAGTTCTTGCACGGATTCGTCCCCTCGCCAATACATTTGACTTTGCGCCTGTGACAACTGTAGGATTGATAGTCAGGTTAGCGGCTCGGTAGAGAGGATGCCTGGTAAAGATTGAAAAATAAAAGCATTTGCAAAGCAAAGCAGAGAAGCAAGGGAGGAAATGGAACCAGTTCCACATTCGAATATTCCAAACGGCGGGGCAGAGACATACCTATCGCAGGCTCGTTTGACAGGAGTGGTAATAGACGTAGTTGACATGGTGAATTAAGGAAGTGGTATGCTAGGGAAGGATCATGGACACAGACGAATGGAATGGAATGGAATCTATTGATAGGACAAGGTTAAGACATGATCCTCAAAAGAAAAGAGAGACCTGGAGGAGCTCATGTAACCTGCTCCGGGCAGAGGCAGTAGTAGTAATAACAGAGATCGAGACATTGGTCTCCGTGAAGCGGACAGAGGACTTTCGCATGTCTTGTGTCATTGCGAACGCCCAGTCCAAAACTTACTAACCTGGGCTTCTGCAAGGCCCAAGCCCTCACAGCCGCATTAGACTATCCAGCTAGTATTTGCGCGAGCGATGGGTCCCCTAGAAGGATGGTCCAGGGTGGTCCAGGATGGAAGTCCAGGATAGGACCCGGAATTGGATCAAAACCAATGGACGGGCGCGGAGAGATGCCCTGACCCCCTGATTCCGCCGACCCAAGAACATTGTGTGTGTGCAGGGAAAGGGTAGGCGGAGGGAGCTAAACAACATCAACGCTCGACTCCGGCCTGTGGGCGTCGCAGGCGTTAGACACAGGCGTTGCAGACCTGCCAGGCTGCATAGGTATGCAAAGCATGTACGGAGTACACCCACGACTTGAATTCTGCTCGGGCGGACACTGGAATGATTGCCACAGATCACTGGATGGTCGAGCGGAGCTCCCATCAATACACTTCCCTGGCCCCCCGCCTTAGGGTGTTATATTGTATGCTGGCCCAACTGCGATGCTTTCGACCTCACTGCTTTGGGAGCGTTTCGGACCAAATTTGGGTCATTTGGGCAATTTGACGATTAAGCAAACAGACAAGGCTTGTCCTGCTGAGCGACCACTTCAGACGACGGACGGGCACCAAACAGATCAAGAATGATCAGAGGGATGGCGCCGGCGCCCGTTCATTCGTCCCAGGCGGTCCCCCTCCCCCCCAAGATCTGCATCCTACTCTCCACTCACTCTATCTTGGAGTAGTTGGAGTAGGTACACAGTAGGTAGGTGGTGGTTGGATCACCGGACGCAGACGGCCGTGGTTGTCATTTTGGGATAATCGCCCTTGACCCGTGCTGCTGCTCTGTTGTACCGTTGTATTGTACGCCATTCGCGTTGCATACAAACAAGCATGCGAGTAGTTTGTCTTCGTACAACCACCAATTGAGCGATCTGGTAACGGAAGACTCCTGGTGCCTGCAATTGTACGAGTAGCAACGAGTAGCAACACCGCCATGCTGCGCGCTTCAGAATAGCCTACCCGGTAAGGCGGTATGCTAATCTAGCCGATAAAATCCCGACCTCATGCGCATATGTACTGTGTATGTACGAGTCGTTCTAAGTGGCTCCCAAATTGGCTCCACTAAAAGCCTTCTTCGTCACTCCCGCTGTCGCCAAAAGGTAGGTTTGCCGCGACACAACCCCCTCCCTCTTTTCGTCCACCACGGTCCACGATCAAGCAATGGACCAGGCATCTCTCCGTCGTGTCAGAATCCCGCAAGTGCAGCGTTGTATCGACTAAAGCTCGAGCGTTGTGTCTGGATATGGCTCATTTATGGACGGCCAAGCCTCTTTGCTGGCCTTTTCAATTGGGTGGGAGTTTCTGATATGGTGACGCAGTCGGCTTCCTCCCAGGCTATCCTTCCTTCCGTACAACGAGCAATTAATGCCAAAGCAACTTGGGCAAACAATCTCTCCTTGCCCTACGCGGCCATGTGTAGCCTGTCCCCTCCACGTTTGCGGAAGTTGGGCGATGCATTCCTTTCAAAACCAGGGACCGACCAATTTCGTTCGCCCGGACTCTTCTGCACTTCGCCATTGGCTGTGACCACCACAAACGGCTTCTTCCGGTCTCGCTATGCTCGCTGCCCGTAATGGTGATAGTGGTGAGCGTAGTGTGAATACGAAAAGTAACGATACGAGTAGGGTGAAGTCATGATGTGTACGGAGTAGTGTAAGGGGAGATGGTTGCCAGAGTTCAAGTGTAGTCATGATGATGATGTTCCAGGTTCCAATGTGGTTCCAAAGGTTTGGGTATTGGCCAAGTGGTCCATGCGTCCATACAAAGATGCCTTTCCTGTATTACTCCGTACAACTTCGGATTTCCCCCTCATCATTCACCATTACGAGTATCATCAATGTCTGTCTGTCGCGAGGTGTGACGGCCCATGTCCAAGTCCAAGTTCAAGTCCAAGTCCAAGTCCAGGTCCAGGTCCAACTCAAGCCAAACTAGTATTGAATACACAGCCCATCATCATTCGTAATCCCATTGCTGTTGAACTTTCGTTCCGTAACATAGTCGTCGTACGGGATCTCGCCCTCTCAGATTGGAAATCGTTCTCGTTGCAATGTATCGGCCGCGGTATAGATGCTTCCGTAATCCTCCATGCCTGTCTTCAAGGGCAAGTTAGCAGAGCCACAACTGGGCTGGAATGGGCACAGCCAGCGATTCTCTTGGCCGGCTTCCCCATTTCCTCCCTTCTAATCATCGTGAGGCACAACTTGACCCCATATTTTCAGATCGTGGAAAACCTCGAGGACTGGCGGAAGAGGATTTTTCGTATCGCTTTGGCGGGCACCGTCCCGCGACAGCCGCGGTCCTCCAGGTTTATATTCGTCGTAAAGGCCCTTCTACGGCGAACCCCTCCGAGCCTGTTCTCGCCGAGCACGATGAGGGTGTCCGAGAAGCTGCCGGCCTGGCCATACACTCTTTACATGATGCAAGGCCTCTGCAGAGGACAGCTCAAGAATCCACTTGCTAGATGCAGTGCCGTCTCCACAGTTCCAAGTGCATTCTCGCCTCAAACGTGCCTTGCCCTGCCAAGCTAACCCATCTGTCTGGCCCGCCAGTTCGTGGGGCGTAATAAGGCGTTCACTCCAGATTACCGCATTCGGCATATTCTCACATCTCGATTAAACGCCACATTTGCGTAGTGACATTTGATATATTATTATACACATGCAAAATCCTAGAAGTAAACACTCGCTCCATTTATATGAACATAATTCCGACGCCTTCCATCCCAAAGATTCCCAAATTTTCTGAGCCCTTGTGAACGAGGCATCTTTTGCCTCCTTCAATCGTTAATGCTGAACTAAACACATTGAAAAGTAACAAAACAAGCGATTCTTGAGACCATTATCATCATGAAAACTCTACTCTACTGCCACCTTGACGAGCCTGCTTGGCTTGCGCTCTCTCCGCTCTCCGTCGTCGGCGATTCGAGTCATAGGCACTGACATCCGTCTCCGTTCCGTATGCGTTTGTCCCCGGCGGGCTGCTTATCATGCTGCCACCCGGAATAGGTGGAGGCGGTGGATATTGCTGCCCAGGCCCTATGGTTGAGGTTCCGCTCATAGGCGGAGGTCCTGGGGGCGGGGGAGGGATCATTGGCTCCGGCATAGGGATATGCGTTGTCGAGGAGGGAGCAGCCATTTGCGCTGCTTGTTGCGCTTCCAGTGCCTCTGTTCTGCGCCAGCGGTCGTTATCAAAACCACTGAGCGAGCTGGCACTGCCATTGCGTTTCTTGCGCTCAACCTTTCGTCTAGCTTCTCGCGCAGCAGCAGCTTCTTCTTCGTTGAGTCGGCGTAGGGTCACATGACGACCATCGTTGTGCATTTTGACTTTGACAGAGACGGGCGGCGACGCAACGCTATCGTCAAGATCACTTCGCTGTCTACTGCTATCCCTTCCTTTTCGTACGGGCGAACCAGTGGACGTTGCGGCTGCCACCGCCCCGCTAGCAAGTGCCGTAGACCCAGCACCTGGTGTGCGATGACGCCGATGATTACCACCTCCTGGTGAGGTATAGGCCTCTGAACCTGAATCGCTCAAAACACCCCCAATGGGTGGAGGTGGTGGGATAGTAGACGGGCCTGGGGCACTTGAAAGGTTGGTCGTGCTTCTTGGAGGTGGAGGAAGATTGCTTGGTGGAGGCGCAAGGTTAGGTAGCGGTGTGAGGCCTGAGATGTCACTCTCCGACATAATCGTGGAAGGTGGTCTCGTCCTCCTTGGTGGCCGGATCCCATCTCCTGTGTACTTCCGTCGATTACTATTGGCACGAGCAATTCGCTCCTCGTCCATGTCTTGTTGTCTTAGCTCCTCTACGCGTTCGTCCTCCTTTTTGTTCCTGCGCTTGTTCCATTGATGTTTAAGGAATCCGGCCACGCCGAGTGCTGCAAGTCCGTTGCGAAGTCCATGAGACTCGTTACGTCGTTCGACAGTCTCATCGCTAATGCTGGTCCGACTATCGAAAGAGTCGATGGATGCACCACTCCGTCTGGGTTGATGGCCTTTTCGTAGTGGGCTGCCGGCCATTGCCGCTGCCTGAGCAGCCTCCCTCTCTTCTGTACGGCGCCACCTATCGTTGGCAGGGGATTCTGGCGCCCGGCCCTCTTCCAATCGACTGAGATCTGTCTGTGTAAATTCAGATTGACCGACTGGTCGGCTGTAGCTGACTTCGCTACCAGACTCGGTCATAGCGGGCTTCTTATTGCGGTTGAATAATGACCTGACAGCCATGATGCCACCTACACCAGCTGCTGCACCGAAAAGACGGTCTTTCCACGTAGTTCCCTTTCTGCCAGCGTCCGTGAACTTTTCGTCTGCATAAGAGTCTGACATCCGAGAGCTATGGTGAGAGCTCAGAACCTCGTGCCGGCTTCCACTTGGCCTTCGACGGGTCCTGCTTCTGCTCCTGGAGCGGCGTCGAAGCGCTGCCAGCCCGGCTCCTGCTGCTCCTGCTGCTGCAAGTCGTCCAAGACCATGGCCACTTGAAGTTCTTCGCGTGGTTTCAGTTCGATCAGTTATGTATGTGCCTCGGTCGTCGAAGCCCATTTCCGGCTGGTTTCTATAGCTGAGGACGAAACAAGCAACCGCGAGGATGAAGGTCCAAATAGCGAATAGAATGAAGAGCACCTTGGGCGAGCCCCATAGGGTAAGCCCTAAAGCGACCTGAACGACTCCTAGGATGGCAATAGCTCTTCCGACCCATTGATGAAGCTATACAATTAGTATTTAAACTCGGTATTTGGAACATCGTTGGACTCACCATAAGCTTTAGTGGAATTTTGTATCGCTCCTTGCCCTTCTCTCGGCGGTGAATGATACATCCAGCAAAGGCCTGGACAAGGATAAGGGTGTATAGAGCAACACCAATGCCGTGGTGTGGATTTGTCAAGGATCGTTTCAACCCAACTGCCTGGAAGCCGAGGATAAAGAGAGCAGTGGATAGAAATACGGTCAATATCTGTAGCCAAATGTGAATTCGCAATGCCATCCGTGGATTCCGATGATAGAAGCGGGCTATGAGGATAGCTGCCGGAACGACGAATAGAAAGGTAATCGCCGCGAGAATGCCATGTCCCATGATCACACCGCGATAGCCGGCCATGTTGCGAAATCGATTGCCCATGCCTGCGAGAGGTTAGCGAGATTGTATTTCTCTTTCCGTTCGAGCATACCATTGTATTGAGTAGTAGCTAAGTTCAATCCTTGCAGATTCGGCAACAGAAAGGTATTTCTTGAAGAGTCCCATGTACCGTCACCGACATACATGGTGTCAGAAGAGTAACTGCTGCTCCCCGGTGGGGAGAACTGGTTCCCGGACATTATGAAGGTGTACACCGCCTGTACTCGAAGGGACGCAAGACCACGATTTCGTTCGGCTTCTTCCTATAATGGAATGGATGAAATTTCGAGTAACAGTCGTTAGGGGTATCAAAAATCCAAAGAAGATCCGAGAAAAGACAGGAGCGGGAGGAAATCGTGACGTCGTGGCAGGTGTAACAATGATTAGGCTTGTTCTGCTGTCAAGCTTGAATGCGTTGGCAAGGCTAGATGATCGATGCCTCGCTAGCAGAACATGCCCTGCGGGGCGATGAGATGGTGAAGGGAACGTCAGTCGGTTTGCGCTTCGATCCTAAGTCTGTTCGAAAGACAGAAGTGTGAAAAGAGAAACGAAGGTGGTAACTTTTGGTTGAGTCGACAAAAGGAAGAGCTGTCGTCGAAAGGTAGTAGTCTTGGGCAGCTGCGAGATCTCACTAGCGTATGTTTATCCGTGGTGGTTCCGCGGGGCAACGGCCAATCGACGCTCGACACATCCCTGCTTTCAGCTGACGTCGTCCTCATTTCTTCTCCCGTACTGATCACTCGACACTTCATCCTGTAATTGATTGGGGGCCCTGGAGCATTTGGTGAAGTACAATGCCGACTGCGCCTCACTCCATTCTAGGAATTTGTGTAGATGGGTCCGCCACACCTAGACAGGCACGACAGGGCTGCGCTAATCTCTAGCACGCATTCCACGGCTCTCCTCAGTCGGTACGTTCGGGTGGTACAATAATGTGGACAAACTATTATGTGTGCTGTGAACCATGATCATGGTAATTACTCGAAAATGCATCTATTAACCATGGGGTATCTCATCCCTTTCTGATCCAACCCATAACGCCTGCGAGGAAAAGAAAGATATTAGTGCCTCGCGCCTCCATTTTCATCTTCAATGTCGAGCATTTCTTTCAAAGCTTGCTCTGAAGCTCGCAGCCATCTTCCTCTCTCTTCCAGCTCATCCCCAATTCCGCCTCCCTCTTCTCTTCGTCGCTTCGCCTCTTTCGCAGCTGCAACAGTTCCCTGTTTCTGAGTCTCCAGAGGCTTCAACTCTCGCTCTAATTTGTCGAGCTCTTGTGCGCGTCCGGGCAGTTGAGCCTGCAACGATGCAAGTTGGGCATTCAGAGCGGTCAGCTCTGCTTCTCGCTCCTGCAATAGGCGCCGCGTTTCGGGAAGAGGCAGCGCCATTTCCGGATTATCGGTCGATGGAATCTGCTCGTGCCTAAGCCGTTCTATGTTCACTTGGAGATTGTCGATGTCGGTAGGAAGTTGCGTTAGCCGTGCGGTGCGCAGCTGGATCCCTTCGTACCGCAGCGCCAGCTCTCGACCCTTCTCCTCTAACTGCTTGATGATTTCCGCCACTTCCAGTTTCCGCTCCTTCAGCTCTGCCTTAGAAGCCAGTATCTCTGCCTCCTTTGCTTCATTTTCGTTGTTCTCTACAAAACGAGGTGGGTTGTCCGTGATGTTTCGTAGGAATTTCTCCTTTGTAACCTGTTCGACATAACTGAACCTAAGTTTACTGAAAAGCTCCTATCTTCTGTCAATTACGATTCCCTACTCAAAGTTGACAATTTGAGCTACCTTGTAGTGAGTCAAGTCTGCCTCTAGCGCAGCAGGGTGTGTATCGCTGTTCTGTTCGCTGTCTTCAGACACCGCGGAATTTCGTTTTTGAGACACCTGTGGCAGGTCTTTGGGTGATAATGTCTCGGCAAGGTCTAGTATCTTTAAAGAAGGAGAAGAATTCAGCTGCTTAATAGCAGATGATGTTTCTTCCGCAGTCCTGAACGCCATTGTGCTGGAAGTGTTTGTAAGTAAATCGTGAGGATAGAGGCAACGCGCCGCGGGGTGTTTGTTTATTCCGGGTGGGGCATCTCCTTCTGGACTAGCGGGTCCTCACGCCGACCGACGTCAGGCCCTGAGTTCTTGAGTGAACCACAGCACGCATGTATATGCAACAAGCGCACGCACGCAGGCGCAATGTCCACACATGATATCGATGATGACGACTACGTTAGAAGCTTGCTGAAGCAGGATGCGAAGACGTCGACGAAAAAGTATGAGATGGTGGGTCTCGATGCCTTCAATCCCCTGAAGTATGTCGCGGTCAACTTCCCCAGGTGTACCGACCTCTATGGAGTTCGTGTACGCCGTCGTATAATGGATTTGATTCTCACTTCTCCCCAGGTCAAGGTCGGCTGCGCCGAAACCGAATACCAGATTCCTCCGCCACATCATTAAAGAGACGGACACGCACAATGCAGCATTACTAGCAAAGGAAGCCGAGGAGTCGCGGGCGCGTCTTAGGCACATGGAGAAGGGGAAGAAACTGTTAGAGAAAAGGAACATACGGAGGCACGATCCGGGAAGGCTGACACCTGTCGATTTCAGCGGTGAAGAGACAGGGAACAATGCGCGGAAGCGCTCAAGACAAGACGACAGCGATGATGAGAGGGATCGAAGCCGACGGAGACGACGGGATCGCGAGGACGCAGGACACGCTAGATCGGACAGAAAAAGACAAGGAGATGGAAGTCGGAGGAGAGAACGAGAAAGATACGATGATAGTGAGGGGGACAACGCCAAACGTAGCTCTAGACACTACGACACGAGCAAGGGACTGGAACGCGACCATCGTCACAGCAGCAGACGCCATCATTATGATAGCCACAGGAAGGATTCGTCAGGACATAGGTCCCATCGAAGAAGGTCTCGTTCGCCCGCTGCATCTCGCTCTCGTTCTAGGTCACGATCTCCTCGGAGACACCATAAATCATCTCGGCGCCATAATTCCCGCTCCCGAAGTCCACGATCGCGAAGTTCCAAGATCCATGATGACACAAAACATCGCACTCAAAAGGCGCACTCGCGACGAGAACCATCCCCTCGTAATGGCTCTGATTCAGACCCACTGGAAGACATTGTCGGCCCACTGCCACCATCACCGGCGCAATTAAACGTGCGATCACGGGGCCGCGGCGCTCACAAGGCAAATTCCATGGCGATGGACGCACGATTTTCTTCTACGTACGATCCTCAATCTGACGTGCACCTCAACTCAGATGTCGAGGATGAGTGGGGCGACGCTCTCGAGGCCCTGAAGGATCGCGAAAGGTGGAAGCAACAAGGAGCTGAACGTTTGAAGGCCGCGGGGTTCACAGATGATCAGGTGAAGAAATGGGAGAGGGGAGATGAGAAGACGGAGGAGGACGTCAAGTGGTCTAGGAGAGGAGAAGATCGAGAATGGGACAAGGGAAAAGTATTCGATGCGGATGGCGATGTTGGATTGAAGGCGGAATGGGGAAGACTAACGTGATACCAGGTTAACAGAGGCGCCCAGGATTAATCGTAGACTCGTAGCTCGTACCCATGGTTAGGTACTTTGCGGCTTTTGGCCAATTGGACAGTAATGTTATTTCAATGCTCGGCATCTCACTGTATCCATGCACTGCACAGCGACCTACCAATGTCTAACAATGCCCCCAATCTAATGCCTGCGACTTCAGACACTTGTCTGGCCGCTCGTAATGATGATTTAATCTATGCTCGCAATGTCTCAATTGAGACTTCCTTCAAGCATGCGCAGAAGCGCGCATAGCAGTATTTTGTCGATAAATTTGCCACAGATTAAACGGACTCTGTATCATATCGCCATGAAGTGCAGAGATGGACGGGTGAGACGTATCGAAGGACCCTGGAGTGGAACGGCTGTTGAATATGTGATTGGCGTGAAGTCAATGGGTGGTGCATGACTCGAGAAGGTGACCTCCAGGAAACGGGGTCCTTTTGGTCAAGGAAGACACGAGGGTGCATAACGTTGTCCTCAACATTAGCCACAACGAGAGAACGGTAGAGTCGGTTAGAATAGCAACTGTTTCATCAAACAAGGTGGTCATGGGACGTGGACATGGCAACTGGCGCTGCCTATAAGAGATGGCAGTTAAGGGGAAGTTGTTCTCGAAATGTGAATAGAATTGTGAAATGGTCATTGTTCCTCGTATGCTATTGGACAAATATGCTCATTTCGGGTCGCAATGATGTCTGATTGGCCATTGCGGATTACCGCATTGACATCTGCGCGCATGAAAAGGAGAGAGGATGCGACGGGTGAGGGTTGTCATGGCATGACATACTGGTTGATAGAGGTGCCATTGAGGGTGATTTGTGCATTGTCAGGATACTATGGTGTCATGGCAGATACTTGAATAGTCTTCAAGTAAGATATAGCAACATATTGAAGGAGAATAAAGATATTCATGGGGTGGATTGGAGATGTCTTTCATGTATAAAAGTGGAGTGGAGTGACGTCTCTCTGGCCACTCAAGCTCTCCTGTACTTGGCGGTTCATCTAGTACAGAAGCGGTTAATCAACTCTCATTTAGTGCCAGGGAACAGGGGAGGAGTGACTGGAGTGACTGAGTGATTTCCTCTTTGCTAGTTATTTGTTCCAATTGTCCAGGGCACCAGCCTCTCCTCTCCACCTCCTCCACTCCTCCATTGCTCTCCAACATAATCCATTCCATCGCTCATTGTCGCTGACACAAACGACCAGAACCATTGCCATCATCAATTGATTAGGTGCCGCTCGTTGTAAGTGCGCATTTACATTATTTACCCTTGAAACCGCGACACCGTCTCTGTGGTGACCTGGTAAACAAACGCGTTTCAGCTGATCCTGGTCCCAAATCTCCCCCCCAATATTTCCCACGTTATGACCACGTTCCTAGCCAAAACCTCAACTCTACCTGCGCAACCCTTCTCTACCTCTCCCTCCCCTCCTCCTCCTACTATTTTGCTGTAACTAATCGGGCGTCCTCGAATTGCAGCCATGACCGACAAAAGCCAAAACAGTGGTGTTAGGAACCTGCGGGCTATGTTTGAGAGCCAAAGCGCAGCTCCGTCTCCTGAACCCCGCGGCCGTCCCCAACCAGAACATAGAAACAGCGGCGAAGGCGACAAGCCTACGTCCAAGATCAGAGCTTCGTTCGTCTCGGTCGAGCCCTCCGCATCGATCCCACGCGATCTTGGTACCTCCAAGGGCACTGCCGACGGAATCAACAGCATCTCCGCCCAGCACAGGCAGAGCTTCAGCGTGAGCACCGAGTTGGGCGAAGAGGCAGTCGCAGATCTCAAGAAGGAACTCACCAAGGAGAAGGAAGCACGCGAAAGCAGCGACGCCGTCAACGAGGTTGTCCCTGAGGAAGCCGTCGACGCGCAAGAGCTCAGCAGAGGCCCGCCTCCAATCCGCGAGACCGACAGCACGATGCCGAACCTCGGAAGCATAATGAAGGGATCTGACTTCCCAGAAACAACTGCAGCCGCCCCCAGTAAGCCTGATGCGGGAGAGGTTCGTGAGGCTATCTCCAATCTTGAACCAATTTCCGATGACATATCCCAGAAGCTGGCTGCTCTGTCCCTCTCGGACAAGCCTGTTAAGAAGTTGGACGAGCCTGTCAAGAAGTCGGGCAAGCCCGTTAAGAAGTCGGACGAGCCTATCAAGAAGTCGGACGAGCCTATCAAGAAGTCGGACGAGCCTATCAAGAAGTCGGACGAGCCTATCAAGAAGTCGAACAAGCCTATTAAGAAGTCGGACAAAGTTGTCTCTAGCGTACAGGAAGAGGCGAAACCAAAGCCGGTGGAGGCAAAAGAAGAGAGCGCTGAGCCCGTTAAGGCGGAATTTCCTCCACCTACGGAGTCTTCGACGGCTGCAGACACTCTAATTGTCCCAGAACCAAAAGCAGACGAGGCTCCAAAAGAGCCAGAAGTGGCTGTGACGCCAGAGACATCCGCAGTCCCAGAAGTCGAGGAGACCCCTGCGGCTCCCAAGGTCGAAGAAACACCAGCAGCCCCCAAGGCTGAAGAAACACCAGCAGCTCCCAAGGTTGAAGAGACACCAGTAATCCCAGAAGTTGTAGAGGCACCAGCAGCCCCGGTCAAGCCAGAAGAACCAGTAGTGTCAGAAGAGCCGGCAGCGCCAGAAGTACCAGCAGCTCCAGAGGCACCGAAGACTCCAGAGCCAGAAGTTCCAGAAGTACCCGAAGTTCCAGCAGCTGCCGTAGCACCTGAAGTCCCTGAGGCTCCCGTGACTGCGAAGGACCCCGAGCCCACAGAAGCCCCTGCAGCTCCCCAGGTTGCCGAAACCTCAGCAACAACTGAAGCACCAAAGAATGTCGAAGCCCCGCAGATCCCCAAAGTCAAAACCACAGCTACCCCATCTAAGGTTGGAGGAACAGGGCGAACAACAGAGGCTAGCAGCAAATCTTCGGTGAAGAAGCCTGCAGCTATATCCACCAAAGTCCCCACCTTGAAACCAGCTTCAGCAAAGAGCCCCCTTCCCAAATCTCCAAGCGTCACGCGCGCCCCTAGGACGCCCACTACTCCGAAAGCCATTCCTGCTGCTTCAACCGCAAAGTCCCCGTTGCCCGGCAAGGAAAAAGCCAAGTCGACAGTTTCCAAAGACCAGCCTAAAGTACCGGCACCCCGGACATCTCGACCATCCATGCGACCATCTATGGCCGGAGCCCCATCTGGAGTCGCCGCTAAAGATAAGACCGCACCGGCCGAAACCAAGAAACCGGTCCCCAAACCCACGAGCACCATACCCGCTCCTAAGACGACCAAGGACACAGAAAAGAGCACAACAACTTCTCCTGGAGGCTTCAAGAAGCCGAAGCCAAGGGAGCAGACTAAGCCTGTGCAGCTCCCTTCCCATTTGACCGCACCCACAAGGGCATCCGCTGCCAAACATGGCGAAGAATCAACCGAGAAGCCGGCCGTCCGTAAAACCGTGGCGGCCCCTCGCACCTCTTCGGTGGCTCCAAAGACTGGTCCTACGACCAAGAAGCAGCCTGCACGAGCTTCTTTGGCACCAAGCACTGCTCCCACTAAGCGCCCTGAATCCCGTGCGTCAACGAAGGGTGGCTCGGATGAAGGCTTTTTAGCAAGAATGATGCGCCCTACCCAAGCTTCTGCCAGCAAGACGCATGATAAACCAGCATCCCCTCCTCGACGAGCTGCCGTCACTCAACCTACTGCAAAGCCAAAAGCACGTGAAAGCACTTTGACCAAAGGCAAGAAAAAGGTCGAGCAAGTTGCTCATAAAGCGAAGGAAGCAGTCACTAAAGACAATACCGAAGCTCAACACACCGAGGATACAAATGCTGGTGCCGAGGAAGAAGTTTCAGAGATCTACGAGGCCGAGCCCGAAGTACATGCCGCTCCTACGACGGAGGCCTCGCAAAAAGAGCTAGAGGAACCTGAAGTCGCCGCAGAGCCTGAAAAGCCTGTTGCTTCAGACGAGCAGGCAGCAGCTGTTGAAGCACAGCCGACTAGCTAGAGTCACGACACATCCCTTGATTCTATCCGGAGGGTAAAGAGCCGAGAAATTGCATATTGTTATCACAAAAGTACAGTGTGATGGTGGAATCCCTCGCAGGGGCTGCATATATGTTTTGAATAGCCGAACCTTTTGTATTTTCTTTTCTTATCAATCCTCTCCTTTAGCGTTTCATCAACTCTTCTGTCCTCTATCAGCATTTGCAGGAGCATATCGTTAGAGGAGATCTATATCCAATACTGGGGTGCTTAAGCGGGCTATATCCATACGAGGATGACTTCGTATGGTGTCTGTCGTCCATTCAAGCGATACTGAGCATGTCGTTGATTAAAGCCCTTGGGAACTGTCCATGTGTGTCTCAGGGCTAGGATATGCAGTATCGTCCACTGTCACCCAACATTCTAGCTAACACAGGTTTGTGTTACACGTTTGTATCTTCATTCACGAGTACATTAAGTCTGCATCCTACTCAGTTCTTAAATAGAAATATAGTAGTATAATTACTAGCTGTCCGCAAGGCTTGATCAACCCCAGAATGTGGGACAACTGTGGAACTTGGGGATAACTGACGTCACGTGATGAGCGCGCTTCGCCGACTCTCCGATCACTCAGGGCCCATGGACTGATCTAAACTTTTTTTAGGGTCCCGTCCACCATTCAAACAGCGGCAGATTACGCTGTCATTCTTCCTCGTGGAGTTTTTCTTTTCTTCCCACTGCCACCTTTCGTTTTTCTTTTCAAGATGAGGGTGCAGTCATTTGTGCGAGCGCAATCGCTTGCAACTGCTTCTCTTCGTACCTCCGCCCGATGCGCCTCGAGGTCGTCTCCGCGCTCTGCCTTCTCCACAGCAGCTCTCCAACGAAGCAAATACCCCAATGGATCTGCCATTGGAACCTTCTTGAATAACAACAATTCAAGTGGACAGAAACGGTGGCAATCCGTCGCCGCTGATGTGTAAGTACTTGAATTGTGACCAATTGCAAGGCATCCCCAAAGCTGATGGTACGATTAGTCTCAAGAAGGCAAAGGAAGATCCATCTACTTTGACACAAGAAGCCATTGTCGAGAACCTCGATCCCGTCGAAGCGGCGCGACTATCGAAAGTGCGAAACATTGGTATCGCTGTGAGTTTCAGTCGCTCTGGCGTCGTTCGAAGGCACGAAAGCTAAAGGTTATCACCCCACAGGCACACATCGATTCCGGAAAAACCACAGCAACCGAGCGTGTCCTTTACTACACCGGCCGAATCAATGCCATCCACGAAGTGCGCGGAAAAGACGCCGTCGGCGCGAAGATGGATTCCATGGATCTTGAACGTGAGAAGGGTATTACAATTCAGTCTGCCGCCACTTTCTGCGACTGGGTGAAGAACGAGAATGGAAAGGATGAAACATACCATTTCAACTTGATCGATACCCCCGGCCATATTGATTTTACCATTGAAGTCGAGCGAGCCCTGCGAGTTTTGGACGGCGCAGTCATGATCTTGTGTGCTGTGAGCGGAGTGCAGAGTCAAACGATCACCGTGGACAGGCAAATGCGACGATACAACGTTCCTAGGATTTCCTTCGTTAACAAGATGGACCGAATGGGCGCAAACCCGTGGAAGGCTGTCGATCAGATCAACCAGAAGCTCAAGATACCTGCTGCAGCGGTTCAAGTACCCATCGGCCGAGAGGACCATTTCCAAGGTGTCGTGGATCTGATTGGAAGGAAAGCGATCTACAACGAGGGAGAGAAGGGAGAGGTTGTAGTTGTCAAGGACGAGATTCCCGAAGATTTGAAAGAGCTCGTGGAGGAGAAGAGGCAGAAGCTTATTGAGACTTTGGCGGATGTTGACGATGAGATCGCCGAGCTTTACTTGGACGAGCAGGAGCCCACACAGGAGCAGATCAAGGCTGCTATTCGACGAGCGACCATTTCCTTGAAATTCACACCTGTCATGATGGGATCAGCATTAGCAGACAAATCCGTTCAGCCTATGCTTGACGGAGTTGTGGATTACCTCCCTAACCCCGCCGAAGTCGAGAACATGGCCTTGGACGCACGACGAAAGGAGGCACCAGTCAAGCTGGTTTCTTACAACTCCTTGCCCTTCGTTGGTTTGGCTTTCAAGCTTGAGGAGAGCAACTTTGGTCAATTGACATACATTCGCGTCTACCAGGGAACATTGAGGAAGGGCATGAATGTCTTCAACGCTAGGTCAGACAAGAAGGTCAAGATTCCTAAGATCGTTCGTATGCATTCGAATGAAATGGAGGAGGTCCAAGAGATCGGAGCAGGAGAAATTTGCGCTGTGTTCGGCGTTGACTGTGCTTCTGGAGACACATTCACTGATGGCTCTCTCGGATACACCATGGTAAGTCCACTTCGTCGTTTTCCAGATTATACAAACTAATCTCTGTAGTCGTCCATGTTCGTTCCCGAGCCCGTCATTTCGCTTTCCATCAAGCCCAAGCACACCAAGGATACCCCCAACTTCAGTAAAGCGATGAACCGCTTCCAGCGTGAGGATCCCACCTTCCGTGTCCATGTCGAACCCGAATCCCAGGAAACCGTCATCTCTGGAATGGGTGAACTCCACTTGGATATCTACGTCGAACGCATGAAGCGAGAGTACCGCGTTGAATGCGAGACCGGACAGCCTCAAGTCGCCTACCGTGAGACCATCACCAAGCGCGTTAACTTCGACCACACGCTCAGGAAGCAGACCGGTGGAGCCGGAGATTACGCCCGAGTCATCGGATGGTTGGAGCCTAGCGAAAATCTTGCCGAGAACATTTTCGAAGATCAGATTACTGGTGGAACTATCTCTGAGAAGTTCTTGTTCGCCTGCGAGAAGGGCTTCGGTGCCTCTACCCAAAAGGGTCCGCTCATGGGCCAAAGGGTCTTGGGTACCACCATGGTCGTCAACGATGGTGCCACCCACGCCGTCGACTCTTCCGAAATGTCTTTCAAGAACGCCACACAGCAAGCCTTCCGCAAGGCCTTCAAGGAGGGCGCTCCCCAGGTCCTCGAACCCCTCATGAAGACCACCGTCACCGCGCCGAACGAGTTCCAGGGAGGCGTCGTCGGCATCCTCAACAAGCGCAACGCCATCATCAACGACACGGAAATCGGCCCCGACGACTTCACCGTCTACGCCGACTGCAGTCTCAACAGCATGTTCGGCTTCTCCTCCCAGCTGCGAGCCAGTACCCAGGGCAAGGGAGAATTCTCTATGGAGTTCAGCCACTACAGCCCCGCGCCACCACAGCTCCAAAGAGACCTCGTGGCCAAGTACGAGAAGGAGCAGCGGGACAGGAACGCTTAGACAAATTAGAAAAAAACGCACATTACGCCCCCCTCTCTTTGGCACATACACACGTTTAAAACGAAACGACTTCGCGTTTGATAGCTTTTACTAGACATGCTTTCTTTTGGCATATCTTCCAAGACACACGGCGGGATTGGTTGTTTTTCCCCGCCATGCATATAGACGACTTTTTCTGGGAGGAAACATAAAATGGGCTGGGAACGTGTAAAATTAAGTGTATTATGGTCGATTTGTATATGATATATAATCAGAAGATATCCCCTCACCTGCACTCATTTTCCCTCTACTCTGTGTTGTGTTTGACCAGTTTAGATGGCTTTCGCGGCACTGAAGGAGCTTTGCCAATACGTTAGCCTGACAAGTATTATGGATGATCCATGGGCATGACAAACTGTACCACAGCCAACGGAGGAAGCGCGTGAAGACAGCGCAGATATCCGTTTCGGCTATCTCTAAGCCAACCAACGCAGATATGCGACTTGCTATTCAAGCTCTACGATATGGGGCGCGCGGGTGTTCCCTTCTATTTCCATCCTATTGGGTTCTAAAAAGAAGCATAAGAACATCCGCAGCGTGGTTGCTTCCAATGCCTGCTTTGCACCAATCTTTACTTACAGCAGAGCAGAAGGCTGCAGCTGCACATGCTATCTCAGGATCATCTGGTCTCGTCTCGCCCCCCTCCTTTCTGGTGCACTTCGCCGCATCGCACCGCCCTTCGATACTCAATCATCTTAGCCACCACACCACAGCCAATCGAGCAGTAATGAATCAGCCAGCTCCTCGATCATCTAATGATCACGCCGACGCAGATTGCACATTACCTCCACGCCCAGCTAGTAACAGCTAGCAGGGTAGCCAGTCATTGCGGGCGATGGTTGGAATGCTGCCTGCGTCAGTGACGCTTATAACTCCACTGTCGGGCGTAGCAGCGTCGCCGCTCAGCCTGCTGTCAGTTACTGCTGATCGAGTGTGACTTCACAGCGATAGATCCTCCTCTACGAGCACATCGATTGTCATCAAGACTACCAGATATCTGTTCGTATTTCATCTCTGGAAAAACCCACTAAACTGCTGCTAAGCAACTCAAGCAGAATATGTGTACTTCGGTGACCTCCACAACGAAGTATACCGGATGCCCTTCATCCTGTAACACCATATCCACCGACCTGATCAAATGTCAAGTCGCACTCGAGTCGGGTACTACCTGCGCAAACCCAGCAACGAGTACGTTGGCTGCCACTACTAGTCGCAATCAGTGTCCCAATCATCGGGACGAAGGAATTTCTCAGCGCTAGGAGAGCGCAATCTCCGCGATATGGGAAGTGATTGCTCTGGTAATTGATGGCGGAATTGGTGTGGCAGGATATATTGCCTAGCAGACGTTGGATATGCTGGACACATGCACTGAAATAGTCCTTCGTTTGTAGCACACTCATTACACCAAGCCAGCGTATCTTTCCCATGGTACATGTCGCCAAACGATGTACGCAGAAAGACGTAGCATATTGACTACATTGAGTACATGTAGCGTCCTCTCTTTCCACACTGAAAAACGGAGTAGACGGGCATTGAATCGAACATGCCTTATGTTGATTGGCATTTTTCTGATGAGCGCCTCACAAGTTCAATGATCATCTTAGCCGATTCAGCTTCCTGTCTCCAACACAGTGCAATGATCTCTGCAAAAGGTACCTCGCTCAGTCCTGGGAATACTCCATTTTGGTACAGTTTCTCCACCTGATCTTCGTCAGTCAGCTCTTCGTACGGCTCGCGCCCGGTGACGATGAAGTAGATCGTCGAGCCTAAAGCGAAAAGGTCCTCTTTGATCGTCGTCCCACCCAAGCTTGGCAGCCTATATCTCACACCAGGGGCGACCGTGGCCTGCGAGCCATCCAAGGAAGATCCGCCAAAGTCACAGATCTTGAGGCTAAGATCGATATCGAGCAGAAAATTGTGCGGCCCGACATCACCCTGAATAACGTTGTACGAGTGTAGAAGCTCAACCCCCTCAACGACCTCCATCACCCACTGCTGCCTCTGAGAGGGCGATACCCCATGCCCATGCTTCTGAACGTAGTCCTTGAGATTGCCGTTAGGCATGTATTCCAGCGTCAAGGCATGGCTGACAGGATCCCAGTGTTTGAATTGCACCAGTCTGGGGTGCGCTCCAAGTCTCTCATATATTTGCGCCTCAATTGCCATCTCTTGCCTGCAGTCTAGTGACGTGGGACGGCCCGTCCAAGGAGACTTGATCACATCTCCCGAAACAAGACGTTCTACAAGTCCCGTCGCTCCCCCGCCCAGGAACTCGCCCTTCCCCTCGATAACATTGACAATGGGGACCTGAGGATTGATATCGGCTTCGCCGCTCAATCCGTCTAGGGGAAGCTCTATACCTGGCAAAACTGGTGCCTCCGAGGTCATTTTTTTAAAAAAAAAAAAATATAGAGTTGTTCCACAATTTACAGTAAGTATAAGTGAAGTGCAGAAGAGGAAGGGCGGCGTATTTAATGTTGTATAAGCAATCATTTCCTGTAACGCAAGGACACGTCAGGTTAGTTAAGAAGTGACTAGTGGCGGCGTAATTTCTCTGATTGGTGCCCTCAGGCGTGAACGACCACCGGATGCAGAGGGAATTAAGGGTATTACGGCTGCAAACATACGAGTAAGGCAACGACCTCGAAATACCTACTCATAAAAGCAAAGTATTTAGTCAGTAAAACTAGTATCAGATAAGTTATCCCTAACAGCCAAAGATTCATTAAATTTCCACATCCCGAACCTGACGCCCGCGCCTGATGCGAACTCGGAGCTGTGCTATACGAGCGACTCGAACAGTCGCGTGGTGATTCATGTTCAACGGTATTGCGCTATTATGGCAGAGACAAGTATGGATTAACTCCAGAGTATGCGGAGAATGAGTCATAGAGAGAATACCGACGCAAGGCACGTCTGACAAGCAATACACTACTCGCACGATAGGCTGAACAGGCAGCGCAAGCATCGGTTTTCTGCCATCAGAACACTATTTTGCATGAGGATATAATTTGCAGTAACGCCTTTCTTGAGGGAGAGTTGGGTCTTGAAATAGGAAATTTTGCTGGATCAAGATGTCCGAGGAAGACCGCAAGAACCTCCAGACGATGATGAGGATTCAGGATCGACCTTGGTCTCTGCCGAGGTTCTCCCATGGTGATTTGAATCCGTTTAATGTTCTTGTTTGGGGGTTCTCGGGGTGGTATCCGCCGTATTGGGAGCATACGTCGGCGTGGTTTGGTAATGCTACGAGGATGAAATGGCAGGGTAGGCTGGATAAGATACTCGACCGACCACGTTCCGAGGAGTTCAAGATGGAAGAGGTTCGCAATAGTTGATTGGGCCAATGGGGTTCATTTGATTTTCGCCTTGGGTACAGGTTCCTGCGGAAGCTTCGTACTGGGAAGCGTATATGTTTCTGACCTTGCTAATTGCTTGCTTAGGGCACGGTCTCCTTATACTCCAACGTACGGCTTCGGTTTCAACAACACTGCAGCTTAGCAATAGCCACCACTTGTAGTTTGGTTTCCTAACTACTCTTTTGCAAGCGCGTTGACCTTCTGCCAGTTCAATGCGGCACAGCTTTCGACAGGAAGTTGGGGGTTGTCACAGGGGCAGTAGTGAAGGTCGAAGACCCAAAGCTACAAGGCTAACGGACGATCATATATGAATGGACTCCGACGAAGCCACGAACTATCATTTGCCTCGCCCTACCCACCGGGCCTCCTCATCTTCCCCCAATATCTTTGCAATGGATCCGAACTCGGTCGGTGTTTTGTGTGCCTCTGATATCAGCATGCCTGGTTTGTAGTCTCAGCATATGGAATCTGGCCCATATTCGGCTTGACTTTCAGGTTTGTCACCATCTTACAATGCGTCAATTTGTCGCTCTGGTATTCGTATCAATGGTTATCCAAGGATTGTATTGAAAATTTCATGGATGGGTAGGCTTACTTTCGAGGTGTTAATCTGCGGCGTCCTTAGACGAGTTCCATGAGGAATGTTACAGGTATCCTCCATGTGCCGAACTTACGCTGCCTAGCTTAGATATATTTAAAAGGTATTCCATTCGCTATCGGTCATCTTCTTTCTCTTCATGCAGTGGGCCTTTCCCTTCCGCCTGCTGCCAATAGTACCATAGAAGCTTCCTTACCGCACGGGGATGATTTCGTGCCATGTCGTCTGAGCATGCGGTGGTAATTTTCATGAACAGTAAGTAACAAACGAGAGGCAACCTTTCCTATCTGTTGTGATCTGTTGGAAATTTAATTGATAGTCATTGGTATCACTCATGAGGTTGCAGTCGGAAACGGATGCTTGCATCAAAGTATACCTGGGTTACCCCGCGGCTACACCCCTGCCTCAACACAAAGTCATGTCTGCGACACGAGAGATTGAGAAAGCCAAGGTGTCGACACGTATAGAACTTCTGTTTCTCTGGCGGATTTGATTGAGCGCCATTGCGCGCCTCATGAGCCGCCTGCTCATTGTCCGTATCATCGTTGTCTACACGGAATCCTCTAAAGCAGCCAACGTCAAGATGTCCATCCGCTCAGGGTTCTTGTACCGACTAGAAGAACGACAAGTTGTTCGCCTAGTGGGAATCAACGAGGTTGCGTCCGCAACGCTTTCTGCTGAACTTGGACTCGGCAAGATCGGCAGCATCGGCGTTAGAGGCCTCAGTGCCTGCACGGTGGTGATAGTCGCCTCCAGACACCGTGCAATTCTCGCACATGTTGCACCAAACGAGCTAGAGTCTCCCGAGGAAGACTCCTACATCAAACTCGCACATAGAATGATGGATGATCTCTTCGAGGCCTATCGGAATCATTCCCAGTGGTTTGCCGGAAACACCAGGACGTGGGTAGTCTATGCAGTCATAGGTAGCGACGTTGCCACACCGGAACAAAAGGACATCATCACCTCTCGAATCAAGGAGATGAACCTTCCAGAACCAATACAAATCGCCCGGCCGTTAAAACCATTCGTGAGCAGCTCTCAATCTGAAGGCACTGTGGTGGTTATTGGTAGTGCAGACTCTGCTCGTCTATTCGTAGAAGACAGAGAAATTGCAAACGAAGAAATTGGTCAACATACGGCAACACCAGCTCACACGGTTACTCGTTCTGAAACCACGGCATTAGCATCTTCCTCGTCCAATATATCCACAACTGGGCATTATGGCTCAGCTCAGAAACCTGAGTACGTATGGAATGACGGCACTTGGGGCCCCAAACCGGCCGCTACTGCAGCTTCTTCAGTAGCACCTCCAGTATCTACAACACCCACAGGAACGCGCTGGGACGGGCAGTATCATGTATCAACTGCGAACCCGGCGTATGCTTGGATCAGTGGTGCCTGGGGTCTCAGGCCTGGACAGAGACCGTCTTCGTGTGTAGATAGAATGGCATTCGTCTCGATGGTATAAAAGTTGAATGATCGTCTAAGAGGCGGATAAGAGTCATCTAGACGGCAAGCAAGGAATAATTAAGTACGCTTTCAAGTGGTTTCTTGAGGAGCATTTTGTTGGCCCTTTTTCCCAAGAGAGCTTTTTACTCCAAATGGTTAGCATGGTCTTGGCCAGGAGGAGCTTCGATCATCGCAGTCAGTACTTCACCAACTACATCACTAATTCATACATACTATGAACCGCGCGCTCCGTACTCCGCAGAGTCCGCACCATGCATTTACCGTCTTAGTAGTCTTCTTCTCCTAGATAGCTCAACGCTGCCTGCGTCCAATATCAAGGTGCCTTTGGCATCTTTCCCTCCCACGTCACCATGGATAGTCTCCCTGATGACATACTTTACATGCTCATCCTCTGTCTCGTTCATGACGTCGGTATTCACGAGTCACTCAAGCTTCGATCGGTATGCTGTGAGTGGTCAGATCACACTCCTGCGGTGCGTACTCACGCAAGACAGCTCGATTTAGCGTCGTCATTGAGGATATCATTTATGCCTTGCCGACATTCGAAAAAGAAGATGATCAGAGCCCACCCCATCTGAGACGAGACCCACGAATGCCGAAAGTGATGGTAGCACAATTAATTCAACGAAAGACATACATGCACAATGGTCGGAATCGAAGTATTTGCTTATCGATCCGAAGGGCCGAAGATCTCCTGGCTACGGTCTCGTTAGACAAAGAACGCACCGCCCTTGGAAAATGTGCACAAGTCTTAGCTACGACGGCTTCCCATACTCTCTATTTTTTTGATATCATCAAGCACCTCAAGGTGGCCGACAAGGCAGACGCCTACCCGGAAGAAACTCCTCTTGAGAATGCCTTGATTGCTGCAACCTGTATGCATCAAGTCTCGACAGTGAAGACGCTAGTTAAAATGGGAGCAAAGTCAACTGCGATGACAAGGTTTTTTGGAGATGCCATGACAGCTGCTGCCAGATTCGGTTTCCACGATATACTGGTCCATTTTCTCGACCATTCTTCTATCACGCCGTCCCCAATTAGGTTTCTTACGCACGCCACAGCGCTCGAAGCGGCCTGCGTAGCAGGAAACGAGCAGGCTGTGTCTATGTTACTCAGACGAACACCACTGCATCGACCACAATTATGGTTTGATACGGCTGCCCAAAGTGCTGTCCGCGCCAAGGATGAGCCTATAGCACTGATGATTTTGCACAATAGACAACCACATATCGACGAGAAGGAACCTATGTTTTGGGTCAATCTTCTCAGAACAGCTTCGAAGACCGCCTGCAATACTGTAATAGAGTTTATTTTCAAGTCGAGTAAGACAGACTTCGACGAAGAGCACATTGCCTTATCAATCGAGGATGCAAGCCAATGTGGACATGTTTCTACAGTGCAACTGCTGCTCACCAGATCGCCGAGTCGCATGAAATTGACAGGTGCCGCCTTTCTCGCAGCATTTCATGGCCGGAAAGAAATCGTCAATCTGCTTATTGCCAATCTCGGCGATTCTGAAGAATGTATTGTTGCTGATACTCTCGCAGGCGCTGCCCTCAACGGACATGTAGATCTGATTCGCCATGTGATGCGGCGGGTAACAGGGAAAACCGACAGCATTCCAAACTTTGGAGGCTCCAAGTTGATGATTTACGTCTATGCAATAAACTCCTGGCTCGATCTTCGGGTCGGGCGTCGCCAGTGGAAACCCTCTTTACCGTCTGCCACGTCCGATCAATCCCTATGGGAAGCCTGTGAAGAAGGGAGAATTGGAGAGGTTAGGAAACTAATCTCATCCGCACGTAAACGACGTATGAGTGCGCTTTGTTCTGCGGCGGCAAGGAGGCGTCATCCAGGTCTTCTGCTTTACCTTAGTCAGTTCGTTCCACCATGGGTGCTACCTGCAACCGCTCTCGAGTCAGAATCAAGAGCAATATTCGAGGTATACTTTTCTCTGGGTTGGAATGTGAATGCACCACTCAGCAGAATTACACCTCCACTACTTGGGTAAGCCCTCTATATGGCGTACTGGAAATCATCTTATGTGTAACAGGTACGTCCTTGACGACGAGTTCCTCGTACAATGGCTTCTTGATCACGGGGCAGACCCAAACACACGATGCGATTGGGATTTCACTCCCATGTCTCGTGCTGTCTCGGTGGCATCGTTACCCGTCCTTCGTCTGCTTTTCGAACGAACCGAGAGTATTCGGCCCGGCCAACTCATTCATTTTGTACTCGACCGGAAAGAACCTGACGTCAAGGATATTATCGATCTGCTCCTTGACCTGGGTGCTTCATTACATGCGATACAATATCAGGATGACCCCGCATCTTGGGCTGAGATGAAGTACCTTGGTTTAGGCACCCCCCTGCACGGGGCGATTCAACTCGGAAGGAAGGATCTGGTGTCATATCTGATCAAGAAAGGCGCCGATCGTATGATCAAAGATTCTTTGGGGAGAACCGCCATTGCCCTTGCCGAGACTTGTGGCTGTGAAGAGATCATTCAACTTGTCGGAGACGATCAAACCAAGCCTTCGAGTAGGTAGCCTTGATCGCCACTCGGTCGAAAATCTCCAGTAAGATACCTCTATTTTGTACTTTGTAATATTAGATCCTGCTACAACCCGTACCCCCCATTACGTGGCTGTCCAAGCAGAGTTCTACTTGCCAATTGCTAGGGCATTTGATTTCCTTCAACTCACTCAAGGTTGATCAGCAAGAAATGGCCAAGGTATATGGCGGCAAATTGAGAATTGTAACATGAGATCTCCCAGGACAGTCATGCTCTCGTGAAGTCGTGTATTTGCGCTTTCATCATGGCAGATACTTACTTGGCCTTCTCAGTGGGAATAATCAAATAGGACCGCCGCCGCTTCAGCCTTGTACGGCGTATCAACTCTGCAATAGCCCTTCCGCTCAAGTTGAATAATATCACCCTTTTCACATCCGGATAAGTTGCCGTCACCAAACGCTTCACTCCTAAACTCCGTCTTCTCGGTCAAGAAATCTTCAAAATTATCATCATCTTGAGGAATGTTCATTCAGCTTTGGTTCCGTTCATGGTTAGCGCGCTGGAGTGCTTCCCGCAAGAATCAGCACTAACTAAGCCCACATCCTCACACTATTAACTAGTGACTTCAAGTATGTGGAGGCGCATACCAAGCCAACGGGCCCTTGAGATCGAACGTGTTAGAGTATTATTATTCAAAGGATCATGGCTGCATTTGGCACCCAATATCGTCGTACAATATGATCACCATTCTTACTCGCGTGTAGACAAGACAGGTGGGGGGACACCAACACGGGCTGAGGCGTCGATCCGCAGTGAGGGTGAGGGGCGGGAACTAAAATGGGTCCCGTGGTTAGCCAGGCACCCAGGCGCCAGGTACAATTATCAATACATCACTAGACAAGGGGGTATCATGAATAGGCTGGACAGGTCTATGCATAGGTCTATGCATCTTTCACAGTGAAAACGACGGAACTTTGTATGATAGAAAGCATAATAATACCTCGAGAACGTGAAAATTATCATAAACTCATCAACTTGGTTGTAGGAAAAGGCTTGCTTCTTAGGAATACGTTTACCTTCATGGATTCGAAGCGTTTAGACCGTGTTTCTCGTGAATATGCGATGAAGAGTTCTCGAGTATTCATCGTTCTCTTGCAATCTTGCATCCATGAAGTCAGATGCTCCGGAAAGATTCGCCAGCATCGTGAAATCATTCGTGTACTCTATTCTGAGGCCGAGGTGCACAGCCAAAATGCCAAACCAAAAGGTCGTGGCAAACATCATTGGATTTTGCAATCCGAGAGTTAGCCAGAATGTCCCAGACGCCCATGTATATCGCATTATAGCTGACAGCTTTCTAGGAGACCTGATAGCAGGAAACTCCCCCTGCTCCTCCAGCTCCTCTAGAATCCGGACGAATTGATTGTGATGAGGGTCAAAGGAAATATCATCGAGCACATCCGCGCGCTGTCCTCCAAGCCAGTAAGGAGGGTGCTGGAATTCTATGGGCCACGAACATGCGAACTCAAGATCGATGATACGCGTAATGTTCCAATCGTCGTCGACTATAATGTTGCTCCTATGGAGATTTGTCAGACTGCAGACGAAGGGGCCAGAGCGGAGGTCTTTCTGTAGCATCGGTGGCAAGACGCCTCGCGCTGCCAGAATAGCCGCCAGTTCAAATTGTCCGCTGAACTCATCTGACATGGCATTGGGCTGATGCAGCAGTCTATTATGAAAGGCGTCTAGGGTTGCAAGGATGAAGTCGTCCGCACGAGTATAAGTCTGATCACGTGGAATAATGATGGGAAAGCCCTCGTTCTCTTGCATAATGATCTCTGCGTTGAGCGGGCGGTTGTCAAGGTGGACATAGCCAGCATCATCGAGCCGGAACGCACCAATGCGGGGAAGTGGAATGGCTGCGAGTGAGAGGAGTATTCGGGCAAGCCCTCGTTTGAGGTTGCTTTGCAGGCGGTCGTCCCCACGCTTGTCTTCCCACGAGTTCGAAAGCATGCTTCCCTCTGTGTCAGGGATAGTCTCAATCACCAAGTAGCCTAATCCGAGTGTGCTTAAAACGCTTGAGTTGTGCGGGATGTACCGAGTGGGACGCTGATAGCCAAGCAGGGTCCGAAAGCGTCGCTGAAATCCATGGGACCAGCGTGACCACCACGGTAGGTGGTCTACGTGGGTTAGCTATATAGATAGGAGCAAGGATTAGTGAGCCCTCCAGTGTCGAACTATATGTGACTAATCGTACCTGTTGACCTGTGGCTAGTCCTAAACCGTATAAATGTGGTATAGGAACTGAAGGACAGTGTTCTTGAAGCCAAGCATAGGTAGCAGCTTCGCACCTGAGCTTCTCATCTGCGTTTCCGGGATGCGTTCCCTCTCCGACACGGTAAGGTAGAGGAAATCGGACCATGACGGAAATAGGAAGCCCTGGATCGGGACTGTCAACGCGAACTGGCACGCAGACGTTGAAGGACCCGTGGCGCCAATGCTCTGGAGACAAGACATCGCAATTCTTTGGGTCAGCACCCAAGTGGTGAGCAACAATGTTCTGAATAAGATGGCGATCATTCTGGAGGCGTTGGAAGAAGGCTCGTTGGAGCCTCGGGTACTCGAGCTGGTGAACCACGTTGGTTCTCCTCTGTATTGCTTCAGAGAAGGTAATCGGACCAGAAAGCAATTCGAGGGTCGCCATGAGAGAGAATGAGAGAGAGATGGAGAGAGAGGGAGAGGGAGAGGGAGAGGGAGGGAGGGAGGGAGGGATAGATATAGAGAGAGGGACAACGGGAGAGGATGGGAGCAAGAAAAAGAAATAATGTAGCAAACAATTGAGCGCGTCCACGGGTTACACTTCCTTCCTATTCAGCGTGAAGCTGCGTCGCCAAGCGCGGGGTCACTCTGTATTCAACCCGAAATGTTGCCTCGAATTGCTTTTCTGAACGCAGTTCAGCTTCATACATATAATTTTGTGTGGAGCTTGGTTCCTTTTGAAAGAACAAATCATTATGACGAGGATGAGGCCAAACACCTCAGCCTTGTTCATGCCAATTCTCAAATGGGATCCAAGAAACTGAAGTTGTCGAAAAAGACAGATAAACTGTAATGATGTCCTACTAGAGATTCATAGTCGTTTGTATCTTTACACTGCAAGAGGACACTTGATGTCCGCTGATCTCCCTCATGTGTTATATAAAAGTAGTGGAGAGGCAGGTGGCGCCCGATCACGTTTAGGATCACACCTCTACCACAAAGAAAGTGCCCAGGTTACGCAAAGGCCGCAAAAGCGGGATGAAGCGCTCCCCATACAGCTTATAAGTATATCGGCCTGAGAAATTGCCTCTACAGCAGTTGTAAGTGGATAAAGTTGCCTAGAAGCTTAATTGGTGTGCTTTTCTGCTACATAGCAAGAGCTACACTGCAGCAAGAACGTTAATAAGTATTTACTTGAATTTACAGCTGTCTTATATCCTCCTTTCTTATCTGACAATTGCCACTTAAAAAGTATATTAGTGTTGTTGCTATCATAACTTAGATTACAATAGCCATATTTAATAGCGGTGCAGGACATCTCTATTTCAGCACCAACGCTGGGCGTGCAGCATTCGACAGCATTCGACAGAGGATTTTGCTGTTAGGCCATCCTCAAGCCCTGTACTATGTAGTAGTGAAGTAAAGTTGCATTGCTACGCTGATCAGGTAGGATAATACATACAAGTACTTCCGAAGGCTAGCGAAGGTTGTACTGAAATACTGCTTATATAATCTTCAGCACAGGCCAAGTCATGGGTTCGACCAACACTGTTTATACTGGACTGCGTCCTCAACTCTTCTCCATTGACATGTCCCAGCCAAAACGCGTTGTTCTCAAGTGTCGGGAACAGTATGCCCAAGACGGCCAAGCTGTTATTAAAGAATTCTTGAATTCGCAAAATTTTGGATCCTATGAAGAACTCATCTCTTTAAATAATCTCTTTGTACATTTTGTCTTTGATCCACGCTCCCCTTCTGGCATATTTCTTGTCCTTGATGTTCATTGCAATGAATTCCCAGACGTCGATCCTAGCACTCTAGATCTTCAAGTATTCAAAGTTTCCAAACCGAACTCTTTGTACGTTAATGCTATTCCTGAAAATTGTTAGCTAACTAATAGTTATAGTATGTTTCGAGACCTTGGAGAAGCTGCTTGTAAGCAGGCGCAACCACGATCTGTGGAGATAGGATGGGGAAGAAACAAGCCTATCAGTCGGAAGAATTAGACGGCGTATATCCTTTGCACACAGGGCAGTCTCCAGGAACGTCTGTGTCTTGGACATCACGGCTTAAAGGGAGATCTCTCTGAAACCCGGTCGATGACCGGCATGGTGTGACTTGGTTTTGAGGTGCATTAGGACAATAATTGACCTCTCCACGAACTTCATGTTTTGGATTACGGGTGCAGGAGGCGTACGTTGTACAAGAAATGGTGCACATGTTGCTCAGAAGTAAGAACGAATGCGAGATAAGGATGAGAAGGCTGAACAATCGAGGCTTACAAGGCTGTTGTACTTAATATGGCGGATGAAGCCAAGCAAGAATGAACGAATCGCTATGATGACAGAAAGCAGCAGACGGGAATCGTTTGCCGCCGCATGGCTGGCGTTAAGGCCTAGCCACGTGTACATTTCTATTTCGTTATCCTCGCTAGCGATAACCTCCTTCTGAGTGGATCAACTGTGATGAAGGTTTGATAACACCACTATCCGTTCTCGACATCCTACTTTGTTAAGCCCTCTCTCATCTATCACCAGCCTAATATGGAGAACACAATACCGTGCAGCCTGCGCTCGACAGCATACAAAGCCCTTACGATGCAAAGTAACTACTCGTCTAATTCTGGTAGGGGTTTTAACATCCCTTACTCCGTGGCGAGCACAAGGCTACTTCAGGCAGCGTGATCATCCGTCTCAGCTGGTGGCTCGTTCGATCAGTTCTTACCGGGACGACTGTTCAAGTCGAGCGGTTTCAAGTCATACCTCGTACAACGAGGAACAGGCTCTTGTATTCTGACTGGTTTTGAGGTGCGTCAGGACAGTAATCCTCTCCACGAATGCAGAGGTTTAGGCACCTCAGGCAGGCTCCAATGTGTGCCCACCAAGTAGACATTTGCGAGGCATCAAGACTGTTAACTGGCTACAGCACACTCATGAATAGTAGTCCTGATTTGCAGGTTGGGGTCATCACCCGCCCGCCAATGCCTCTAAAACCGATTTCAGGAACCCAACCCAGAAACCGTTGAGACCTTCGTCAAGGGCGTATTCCACGACGTTCCGCCATAACCTCAGCTTTGAAGACCCCCGATATACTACTCGTTGCAGCATTTCCAAACTCTAAAATGCGCACCGCTCCGCCTTCGTTAGATTCTAGATACGCGATATAAAAAGAAAGCTCGTGTCCCACAATGGTGAAGCCTGGCTCCACGAGGCAGGTAGTGTCGGGCAGGCCCGCACATCGTCCTAGCTTCGCCTTCTTACGCAGACTCGCCGCCATCCATATGCTAAGCTGATACTCGGCTTCAAGCTTGTCGCCATCGGAGGGCCTAACCTCGATGCCGGAGAAGACGGCTGTGGTCTTGGTGGAGGCATCAGTCGTATGGCTGATGCACTTGTTTCCATGGTGAAGAAGGCGGGCGTAGAGAGATCCGAAAGGTGATGCGTCGTGGGAGTAGGAGAGAGTGTAGTTGGCTTTTCGGTCAAGAGCGCGCTGCTTGCCAGATGTATCAGCGGCGCGCGAAAGGAACTCAAGGTCGATATTCTGGAATTGTCTACCATATAACAAGCGTTAGACTATCAGAGTTTCTTAAACCAGGCAGGTGGGGTGCAAGTACACGCTCTGAATGCATAGTCTACCCTTGGCGTACAACCGGAGCGCGAGTCTCACTATCGGCCGGACCACATCGTCGCACCACGCATTCTCGTCGCGGCCTCTTGTCTGGCAATGAAGCGCTTTCTTGAATATCGTCTTCACCTTCTTCAATGTGTATTCCAAGTCGGTACGGGCGACAGGATCCAGATTGGGGTCAGAGAGATCCCTTGTAGGGGTCTTGCTGAAAGCGGAAGGCTTAAATCTTTGGAAGCCGATATCTGTATCGGCTTTGATTGACGTCTCGAGCCACCCAGGTATCCAGCCCTCGTCCAGCCCGTCCTCAAGCCGCGCTACCACGGCCATCACTCGCGCAGGAGGTTCTGGATCCACCCCGTCTAGTGGTTCAGTCGTGATTGGAGGCGATGCAACTCTGAGAGCAGCAATCGTCTCACGCGATGGGCTGTTACTACGTCGAGGCGTTGAAGCGCCTGTGCGGCTACTAGATGGGCTAAAGGTGCTGGAATTTCCCAACATAGGCAGGCGGGTAGATCCAGCGGCCGATACGTTCTGTGGAAGCAAGTCATCTGTATTCCGCCGCTGGCGTTTGCTAGGGCTGATATCACGATGTGCCGACAGTGTACTATAGCTGGTAAATATCTCAACTCTTCTTAATAAAATCTTGCGAATGCACTGTTGTAGGCATGAAATACCAGCAAGGGGCCTAACGTATCAACCCTTTGTAAATAGCAAAAGTAATCAATATTAGTCTAACACTAACACCAATATAAACTATAAATTTACCTAGGTAGATAAATGTATAGTTTGATAGAAGTTATAGGCATTAGGTAGAGATATTTGAGACCTAATCTTCGTCGGCTAGAAGAAAGAAGTGATATACATGTTAAAGTAGAAATCTTTGATTATCAGTATTGGATATCCCCGACCCGAAGCGCCTATCATCGGGAATTGGAACCAAGTAGCGCTGAATGCAATGACTCCTCCAGTTGATGTATCTTTTCAGATCGTAATTAACACCCAATTATGCTATTCGTCTCTTCGCAACCCCTTTGAAACTCCATTGGCAATCAAGAACACACCGCAGAAACCATCATGCTCTATCGCAATCTCATCGAGACGTCCTATTCTCGCCCGTCCGTAGAGGAGCAGAGTCAAGCTCAAGAGGCTCAGAGTTCGCCGGCATTTCCATAACGTTTGACCTGTTACAAAGAAGCAGTCAGCACAACAGTTCCTCCATCACACTCTTAAACAAATTCGAAGATCATAAATTACCTTTGGTGAGGAGATTCCGCCTCGTTATAGTGTGCGTATTTCTGTGTTGAACCGATAGGATGGTATTCCGTCGTCGGCGCCTCGACTGGATTGGTCGGTGTACCGGAATCAATTTCAGCCATTTTGGTAGCATCGGACCCTGCTCTTCTATTCCTCTTGCGCAGGAAGATAAATACGCCAATGCCGACGAGAAGCAGGCCTCCGACACCAACGCCTACGCCGACACCAATCGCGGTGGAATTGCTGCTCGATCCTCCCGAGGAAGTCTGTCCACCACCCACTGTTTGCGTCGATGTCGAAACGTTATCCACCGTCGTAGACACCTCGGTCGACGAAATTGAAGTCGTAATCGAAGCCGACGATGAGGACGGCACAGCAGAGCTCGGCGCTGTAGTCTGAGGCTGGAAATTTTTGTCCCCGATAATCGTCACGGTCCAAACATTCAGCTCTTCGAATGTGAATACCTCGTGTCCGGCGCTGCAGCTGCAATCGTCGAAGCAGCAGTAAGACTGGGGGCTATCGGTCGAATTGCAGTTATGCACCGGAACGCCATTGTTGTCAATGTCGAGGCAGTGTCGTGGGCAGTTGCCACTCTTCCATGTTTTGTCTGTGCAGGTGCCGCGGTGGAGGCGGGCGAGGGTCGAGTTGTTTGGGTCTTTGTGATGTGGATTAGATGTTGTTGGCGGAGAGGTGGAGGAGGGTTCGCGCTTCGGTACCTGAGACGCAGAGGCCGTTCGAGAGACATGCTTGGCCCTTTGAGAGATGTGAATATATGGCTCTTGGAAAATATGAACTGAGAGGTTCTTACGTCGAAACAACAGGCGGATACTATGGAGTTTGGGTTACACGCTGGGTTGAAGATTAGTTGGTGATCTGGGGCTCGCGCAATCGCAGGGAGACCGACCGGTATCTGAATCAACTGTATCACCATTAGGGAAGAAACACGACTGAGCAGATATGCTGAATGGAAAGAGTGACAAGACTGCGAGGCCTATGGGCGCAAACATGTTGGTTGTGTATTATACGAGAGAAACGGAAAACAAGCGAGTGACAAAAGGAACTGGAGTTTTGACAGCGGGACATGGGCCTTAAACTCCGCGAAGACATGTCAAACTAGGACGTTCAAAGCTTGTTGGAAGATTGGTGACAGGGCCAAAAAGAAGCTAAATCCATAAAAGTTGGGTTGATGACCGGGTTGTCAGACATTTGCATTGGTGCTTACCCCTTGAATCGTAGGAGGCTCTATGGAAATGGAAGTAGTGCAATATGCGGCAATGATCCTACAAGAACTTGGCCTATCGGCCCGTTTCCAGAGACTGGTATTCTCGATGATCGAAGTTGGAACAACTAATTATGGGTTCAGAATAAAATCCCGAAGATTATGTAGAATGGGATGGGCGGTATGCTAGAAAGAAAAATCCCCATTCACTGGTTGTTCCAATACGGGCCTCTATTCCCATCAACTATGGCTTCGGAGTGTGGCATGAAACGTTCTAACAATGTGGCTGTCCTATGTCCGACCCGCCCCATCATTCCATGTCGATAATGCATAAGTAATGGAATGAATCGAAGGATGACGGTACGAGTAATTAGTAGTCAGTGGAGTGGCAGAGTTCAACATCAATCCATTTATTCCCGTCAAATTACCTGATTGGGCGAACGCGTAGTTGCGTAGTTGGTCCATGCACGCGACGGAGCACCATCCATGATCAACTATTATTCCATCACTCACTAACTACTCAAACAACCACCAACTTTACTTTACTCACTTCACGACTTTCACTCACAACTTCACCCACATCGTCGTCACTACCACCATCTCATGCGCATGAGAGGCCTCATCACCGCTCGACATGTCGGAACCACGGCGGTCCACGAGGACGCGTGTCCGAGAAGAGGCTGCTCAGGAAGCCACTCCCACCGCCGCCCAGACCCCCGAACCTCTGAAGGAAACCCCCAGCAAGGCACCGACAAAAGCTTCGCTGAAGCGCAAAAGGTCAACAGCAGTAGTCGCGAAAGAGACCAAGGAATCGACACCTGCCACTCCCGTACCTGAAGTCTCTGTCGAACCACCCAGGCTCAGACTGCCCATCAGACTGACAGCTGGCGAGCCCTTGCCTACGCTTCCATCGCCACAACCTCTGTCGCTGCCCGCAGACGAGTACCAGACACTCCAAGAAAGGTGCGCATCCACGGATTAATGCTTCTGTGATAGAGATTTAGACTGATATATTGTGTAGTGGTGTTCTCGGCGCATCTCTCCAGGAGTCGAAAAAGAATTGGATAAGGAATAACTTCAGAGTCTTCCACGCTCACTTTCAGCCTCCGAAAAAAGTGGCAGACCGTACCGATGAGGACAAACAGAAGATTCTCAAACAGAAGGAACTCATCAGGAACTTCCCACAGATTGGCAACATATGCCAACTTGTAATCGAGCCGCATACGTTCGACATTCGACTCTATGGTTCTAGAGAGGTGTACCGCCAGCCACCGAAGAAAGCCGTTCAATACAATCAGTGGCCGACTCACAACAATCAATACACGCACTCGCCGTATCAGCATCAACACCAACATCAACACCAGCATCAGCCCCAGCATCAACACCAGCAGAAGCAACCTCAATACCACCACAATGCCCCGGCGCCGTATCAAAACCCGCCACCACCTCCACCGCCCCGCCCTCAGCCAAAACCGCAACCGCCACCGAAACCAAAGCCGCCGTCCAATACCACTAGTACGCCGGCACCCGATCCCGTGATTCACATGTTGGCACAAAGGGCCGGTCAAGATCCTGAATTGAAGGCCATCATGAAGATCGTGGCTGGGGGAACGGCGAATCCAGATCAGCTAGCTTTCTTCCAGAGGCACATCACAGAGCTCACGGAATTGCTGGCGAAGCAGAAAGAAGCTGCCGAGAAGGCTCAAGCGGCACGGAAGCAAAGAGAAGCTTATCAAAACTATCAGGCGCAGCAAGTGTCTCAGGCGCATCAGGCTCCTTCTGCGCAACAGACGACGCAGGCACATCCGTCATCCCAGGCACATCAAGCTCCGTCAGCAGGCCAGAGGGATGCAGCGAACTCCCCTCATCCAGCAAGCCAACCCCCTTCAGCAACTGTACCTCCGGCAACTCAACCTCCGGCACATCAGACTCCTCCAGCACACCAGGCTTCTTCGGCACCACAGAGTTATCCTTCGAATCAAGGTCCTCCCGCAAACCAAGGCTCCACGGCAGGACATGGTTCCCCAGCAGAACAGGCTCCTGCGGAGAATCGAGCTAATGCTGTACACCAAGCTCCCCCGGCGCATCAAGCTCCCCCACCGACCGGAACTGCGACCCCTCCTGTTCCTCCGGTGAGTTCAGCAGTACCACAGGCACCGCCGGCGTCTCAGTCTGGCTCGCAGCATACCCAGTTGCCCTCTGAGCCTCAGAATGCACCAAAATCATACCAGCAACCTCATTCCCAATCTCAAAATCAAATCCCTCCACACTCTCAAGCACCATCTCAAAATATCGGGTCTACACAACCTCCAACTCCAACTCACACCTCCTCTCAATCACACCTTCCGCACCAATCGCAGCACCAGACACAGCATAATGTCCAGCCTCCTACACCAAACCAGACACAGTCATATCAACAATCATATTCGCAACACCAACCCCGCCCCCCACTACCAGCATCGAACCAGTATGCCAATACTGCACCACCTCATCAAGGATCGGGATCGTACCAGAATCAGTATTCCCAAAATTACAATTCAACACAATACGCCCAGACGAACCAACAACAGCATTCCCACTACTCCCAGCAGTCGTACCGGCCCCAGCAGCAACAACAAAATTACCAACAGCAACATTACCAATCCCATCAATCTCAATACTATCCCAATGCTCACAATTCTCAGCAACAGGTCATCCAAAAAGGATACCGCCCACTCATATTCGACTTCGTGGAGGGCAATGGCGACAAGTTCTATCTCCCATCGTATGCTTTCATGGAGTGGCTTCCGGGCCAACAGGGCGTGAAGATGTCGTTCCTTGTAACGAAGAGGAAACCGAAGCCGAAGGAAGAACCGAAAGAAAAGGTTCCTTCGACACCCGCTCCAAAGGCGACACCTACAACCAAGATGACACCAACAGCTGCGAATCAACCAGGATCGACGCAAGGTGCCGCATCAGGCGCAACTCTCAATGCGGCAGCGGGCGCCACTGTACCGGCTCCTAACGCAAATGCAGACCCAAATACGCCGGCGCATGCGCCATCGGCCTTCGCAACAGCAACGGGCCAGACGGGACAACAAGCACCGCCAGCAACACCTGCGACCCCGCAACCAGTTATCCCACAATACGTACCTCCGCCGCGCATCGAAGACTTCGACGAGAAGACCGACATCGACAACATCATCTTCTACCAGCCCATCACCTGCAGCATCGTCTCCAGCAACGCAGACATCCTCGATTCGCTGCCCCGAGCCGTGCGTCCCATAGAACTAGTCGAGTCGTACATGGATATCATCTTCGACCGCTACCCCAAGGCAGAAGAGACGTACCTTGCATTCCGGCTGCCGAAGGAGGGCGCACCCGACGCAGAAGGCACGGAGCTGCCGACCAGAGAGCACAGCGATCGAACGCCTGCTCCCGTCGTATCGACTCCTGCGCCGGTGGTGGATACAGATGTCGTCATGGGCGGAACGGGACAGACCCCGGAGAAGAAGAAAGGTGCCGGCCGTCCTAGGAAGAGCTTGGTCACTTGAAGAAGAGAAGGCACACGTTCTCTTTCTCTACTTCTCTCATAACCTCAGATGCGAGGAGTACCAGCGCTAGGGAGGGAACGTCGGTACACGACAGGCATGTACAAAATATGTTTATATAGTCCTCCTTTCTCTCACCTTGACAATATGATACCCCCAAAAATACAATATAATTACGATCAAATCGAACGAGTCCACATGAATAGTTAAAGTAACGCTTGACTGGTTGATTGTAAAGACTTGTCTTTCATCTCATTCATATCTATCAATATCTGTCGTCTAAACCCCCTGTCTCCCACTCCTCAAAGCCCGTCGAGACGCTCTCTCGACTCTTGCTCCTCCCTCCAAATGGGCGTGTGTGGTGTATCCTGTCCGGTCCATATCCCACCATAACCACTCCCCCGACTCCCAGAACCCCTAACTCAAAAGAAAAAGAAAAAAAAAGGACGTCCTGTCCTGTCCTGTCCGCGTCTCTGTGCAGCTTAAACTAGCACAGTATATGAGCCAAAAAAAAAAAAATGCAAGCGCCTGAAAACTTGGAAATTTCCCCCTCCTTGTACCCATCATGAATGAAGTGTTCCCCCGGCCGCAATGCGTGAATAGAAGTATAAAAAAAAATAAAAAAAAGAACAAGAGAAAGAGATATATGATCCTAGAAAACGAAAGAGACCACGACGCGCCCACAACAGCGCCACAATATCTCACGAAAAATCATCATCATCATTCGAAACAATGACGCTCGGCAAGCTCGCCTTACTCCCCCTCTCCACCCCCTCCGTCGTCGCAGCAGTCTTTCCCCTAACCCCAACAAGCGCCGCCAGATCCCGCCCCGCCGTCTTCCCAAGCTCTCTGTCGCAGTCCGCGCACAGCTGCAGGAAGCAGCAGGAGCACGTGGCGCGGAACCCGGGCTGGTCGTGCAGGCACACCATGCAGGTCGGGGGCTGGAAGCGCGCGGTGTAGCGGGAGAAGGTGGCGTGGGTGGTGTAGCAGTGGAGGTGAGAGGGTTTGATGGGGCGGGCCGGGGTGGGGATGGGTTGGCGGGTTAGGGGGATGAAGGGGGGGAGGTTGTCGTCGTCGGGTGAGGATGAGGAGGTTGAGGTTTGGGAGAGGGGGAAGGGGGGGATTGTGGTGGTGGTTGAGGGTTGGGGGAGAGGGAGAGGGGGCGAGGGTTGAGAGGTGGTTTGTGAGGGGGGAGGTGCTTGTCGGGAGGTTGTGCGTGGTGGGAAGCGGGAGGACTCGATGGGCGAGATTGGGGATTCCTCGAGCGGTTCTTTGTCCTGTGGTGGCGTTGGAGGGTGTTGCTGTCGCGGTTGTTGCTGTTGCGGTAGTGACGTCTGTTTTGCTGGTTTTGGTGCTTCGTAGCTGAAGGGCCGCATGCTATCGCTTTCGGGGGAGATTGGCGATATCGGGGACTGGACGAGGGCGGCGTGGATGGTGCTCGCGAGCGTTGGCTTCTGAATGGCGGCTCCCGTCTGGATGGATTCAGTCTTTCGGGGGGAGGGAGTCGGACCAGGTGTGATGGAACTGGGGACAGGAGCAACGTTGGTCGTAGGGCTCTTCTTAGAGAAGAAATTGCTCGCGGACTTCATCGATCAAAAGTTAGCCATCGTTCGTCGGTACAATATTGCCAGGCGCATAGCACTCACGTTGTCGAGAGTGTTTTAGATGCGCTGGCGGGGGGAATGTGAGGTTTACCTTCATGATATCCATCCCTGTGGAACTCTTCCCCCGCATGTGCTTGCTCTCCTGCTTCTGTGTCTCCGAAACTTGGGTTTTTGATAGCGCTCGGGGATTGGACGGAAGACCGAATATCTTGCGAGGAGGTGGAGGAAGAGGTGCTTCCTGTCTCTGTGGCTCTTCTTTCACCTCTGGCACTGCGACTGGCACCTCGACTGGAGCTGCAACTGGCACTTCAACTGGTGCCTCGACTGGTGGGGCGTCCACGAAGGGGTTCTCAATTTTGCTCACGGTCGGCTTTTGGTTGTCCACCTCTGGTATGACTGGAACTTCCTTCTCGACATTCGGCTCTGACGGTCTACGGCCTTCTTCCGACTGACGAACAGGTTTCCTTCCACGAGGTCCAGTCCCCAGATCCGCAAGGCTGACAAACCCCTTCGATGGCAAAGGCTTCCGCTTGACGGGCGCGGTCGGTGCAGGTCGTAGCGGTCCCTGAACAACAAGCTCCGGCTCTTTCGAATCGCGTCGTTCCGGCCTCGACGCCTGCTTGAGCGATGATCTCCGTCGTTCAGATTTCGGCGGTGGAGGAGGCGGCAGCGGTCGATCTCCACTGGGTGTTGAAGTAAAAACGTCGTCCTTCGCTGGCCTGGGAGGCGCGACATCGTCTGGTAAATAGGCTGTTGATCCATTGCTCTTGTGGAGTGTGAGAGACGGCGGCTTCGAATTGCGCGACATCATCCGGGAAACAATCCTTTTCGGCTGGTCTGGTGACGACGATCCATCTGAAGAGGGCGAGCCAGGGGCTACGTTATCGTCAACGCGAAGCTGGAACTTCATCATGATCGGAGGTAGTGGTTTCTCATCGCTGGTCGGGGGAGGAGGAAGCTCCTTGTACTCTGGACTGAGGGGGTAATCGAAGGACGATGCGTCTTCGCGGCCGAAGGATGTGCCATAGTCGTTCAACAGGGCACTGATCACGTCTTGTCGCGATGAAGGAGCGGATAACCCAACGCCTGGTCGGGCCATGATATCAGTCATGATGGTCGTGGAAAAGAGTTGCTCCTGCAACTGGATAGGTCGTTGATATGAATAATAGTGCCACCTCTCTGTTGCCGTGGCACGCGTTGATGGGCCGGCCCGGAGTGGCTGTTCAAATTCCAAAGGTTACCCTGGAGAGGTGGTTGTCGAATGAAAGACCCTGTGGAATTCTATGTACTGTATCCTCACTGGTTGAGACGGATCAAGGTAACGGGGAATGTACAGTGGACCGAAATACGTGCGGTGCGTCTATAATTATGCTGCTTGGTGGAATACAATATGCTGTGCCTCTGGGGCGTGTATATGGATGCTGAATGGTAGTGTATCAGGTGGATTTGTACTGGGCTAGCAGTACAATGTTGGCTGTGCAGGCTGAGCTGAGCTGAACTGAAGCTGTGACTTTTTCCTGTGGTAAGTCTGGAATGAGTGCAAGGACGAGGCCTTTTTCGAGAAGAGAGAGTGACTGTAAGTGTAAGAGCTGGAATGAATGTGTGTTTGATAGACAAGGCAAGATGGCAAAGAAAACAAATGGCGATGGGAGGCCAGGAGGTAAAGAAATTAAGCTTGATCAGCGGAGAAAGAAAAAAACCACAACAAGACGAAGGAGCGGATCAGAGTATATTTAGTTGAATTAATCAAGTTGACCAGCAACATAAGAGGAAAATGATGCCCTAATTTCTCGGACAAATAGGTGGGCTGTCTCAGAATCATCATGGGTCCTCCTGGGTTTGGGGCACTGGCGAACGAGAGGCAGCCCGCGCGCCCGCTTGGGCCATTAAACACGTCGAGTGTTTGGGGCTTTCGTTAAGCTCTTCCTGCTTGTCGCAGGTTGATGTCCACGCCGAGGGCCTCCATGCAAGGTCAACCATTGTGTCTCGAGATGACAGGAGGTGACTGGGTCCCACGGTCCCGGGATCAAACGGCCTCTGGGCCATATGAGAGCTATGAGAGGGCAGAATTCAGCCAGAACGGCAGAGCCATGTCGTGAAGGGTTCTCTCTCAGTGGACAAATCATAGGTAGGGCTACACTAGACGTAGCGTAACATCTGGGGACGCCTATCGTTATCTCACAGAGAGCAGCTGAGGATGGGCCGGATCTGCCGTCCAGGGCGATTGTGTGGTTCGTTAGAGGGTGGATCAGCGGACGCGGATTTGCATTTTCTGATGTTCAGGGGCACACGGCACGAGGCGATGCCTTACCTTGCAGTGCGCGCTCTCGCACGTGACCGGCACTACCGTTTCACACGTCCGCAATGAAAGCGTTGACTTTTCGGTACTTGAGTCCAATCAGAGGGCACTGATGCCCATGACCCATCATCTATCGGGTCCACACGATGACGCATCTCTTCATGTTGTAATACTCCATGGACGATGGTTACTCCGGGATGTTTGGTCTTATGGCGAATCCGAATCCATGGACCCATAAAGGGTGGGAAGACGATGGCAATGAAGAAGCAATAATAATCAATCCACTCTCTCCACATAGTTGTTGGTAGTACGGAGTATAGCATTGGCAAACGCTTTTATACAGACTTGTTTAATTTGGTTTGCAACATGTAAATTGTCCTACGTTCTGTTCTTATTGACCACTCAGCTAGTCGTACCGGTCTTTATATGACTGTGTCACGTCTCCCCTCATTCATATCCTCTACTTCCCTGCATCATCCAGTCAGCCAATTAGAAAATATAGTTGCGAATATACCGCTGCGGTCTCTTGTGAGTGGGCTCTTCTATTCATCGACCAACATTCCTCCAATATACCAGAAATGCTCTGCTCCTCCAACACCGCCGTCCCGGATCGGTCTGACCATGTTGACGGTCTCCTCTTCTCCGGGATTCCGGTCGACGCCTATGGGTATTCCGCTCCTCTCATACTTGCTCCCCCTCCCCCTTCAAGCCTTTATGTATGCTATGTATGTACAGTACAATACATATGCTACAAGCCGGATCCGCCCAACAGGGTAAATTCGAAAAAGCATTCCAATGCGCCGTCGCTAATGGTCGACCAACTAAACCAGCCGAACAACAATATACGAGAATTGTGGGGAAAGTAAAATGATAAATCGCTAAATAGTTACAAGAAATATATGTAGTATCCCACCAGTGAGCCCAAACGTACGTTCGAGGTTCTCACTGGAACAGGAAGACGAAGATCATGGCGATTAAAGTGATGGTCGGCGCGAACGATGCAGTCGCTAGGGCGGGGGAGGCAGCACCTTTCTGGGGGGTTGCAGTCTTGTTAACGAACTGGGGACCGCAGGCGACTTGGATCTGCTGGGCGCCGGCGTTGTAGGTCTTGCTGATGGGCTGGGAGGTGTTGCCGGCGAAGGCGGAGAAGATGGCCATCGCGTTCTGGAGGCAGGAATTGCATGTGGGACGGGCACCTCCTGGCAGGTCGACACCGAGGGGCAGGTAGTAGGGATAGGAATCGGTGGTAGCCGACGTGTTGGTGACGGCGTTGGCGTAACCTGAACAACAACCAATTAGCATAACCGCGACCACAACAAGTACAATAACCACCATCTCATTACTCAGACGATCATCGCAACAGAGCAGACGTACAGTAGCTTCCCTCGCTGTCCCTTAGACAACTTGCTTGATACAGTGGCTCGTAAGCAATCAGCCCGTTGTATGCCTGCAGCACCTGCGGGTTGTCGTTCGAATAGTCGGTCGCGCAATTGCTGTCCTGCACCAGTTCTCTCGCCAGCCCGTTCATCGCGTCTGTGCATATTGTCTCGTTCGCTCTACATGTCGCCTCGAGGGTCTGCGTAATGCGAATATAGGATTTCGAGGCATCGAAGAAGCCACTGGAGGTCTGCAGTAGGGGTTAGTCAAACGGAGCGGGGAATCATTTGCGCGACAGGGTTTGCGCGCACCTGCAGTAGCAACGAGAAAGGATGGCATTGCTGGAAGGTCTCGTCGCCCAAAAGACGGCGGAAGAAGGTTGCGCAACCGGCTGTGAAGTTATTGGATAGCGCTGTGTCGAAAGGCTTGGGCACGACGAAGGGACTGCTGGACGCGGTGGGTTCGGTCTTTAAGGAGGCGGATTTGGACGTGGGGGTCGAGGCGGTCTTCGTCGAGGAGGTGGTCTCGTCGTTGTCATTCTGGCGGCGGTAGAGAGGCATCAACGGAATCTCGGGAGGAGGACGAGTGTCGAGCAGAAGAAGACTTGGGCCTTCCCACGTTTTTGGGATGAGGTCTTCAACGGGGACGGCGGCTTTTGGCAGCGCTGATCTTTTGCCGATCACATTCGCGTGCTGTGCGTTTACAGTCCCGAGTAGGGATGCCCAGACTAATAAAAGAATCACGAGCGATAACGATGCGCGCAACGTCGAGTTGATGGTCCGGAATTTCCTGACGGCCCTGGAGATGATGATGGTGATGGGAATCTGAATCTTGGACGAGGGGGAGCGGCGCAGTGGCAGTTCCTGTGGGCGGCTGATTTCGTTATTATAAGAAACAGGAACAGGTACCCGATTCATGATAGGGCACAATGGTGGCTGTGGTAGCTGCTGCACCTCGCTGCCATTCGCCGAGGGCTGGGAGACGGTATGGTGCGACATGGCTCCCGAGACCCGTTTCGCGAACTTGAAGGTTGCAACATCAGGTTTTACTCTGCTGCCGTTGTTGCTCTCGGGTACTTGCCATGGGGGCTCCATCTTCTATATTCGCTGTTGCGTGCTGTAGCTGTCCCGAATCGTCGACACCAACATGACCTCCCTCAAGGCTACCGGAGTTGCCTGAATGACTAGAGAGCGCTCGGTAGACGGTGGTCGTACAGGCGTGGGATTGGCTCAAAGGACCGCCTTCTTTAAGGGCACAGTCGACCGTCCCTTGCAGGAAATATCGAGCAGCGAACCGAATCGGTGCGGACCGAGGCGACAGTAGTATTGTATTATCTGATGCGAGTAACAGTACAGCAACCAACGGGGAGACCCAACCGACAAGGAGCGACGATAGTTGGAGGCGATGGTTTGGACGAGTTCTGTCGATCGATTCCAGAAGAGGCCTGGAGATGGTTTCGTATCCCTACTGCGAACTGCTGCACAATATGTATACTTTGGAGTGTGCACGAGCAGGTGGGTAGGGCGAACGGACGGTCCTCCTTTGTCAGATCGGTGGGTGGTCAGATAGGTAAGTAAAGAATTATGTCTTGGGTTCCTTTTTTTGTTAATCGTTCTGATCGTCTTGTCTTGAGAGAAGTGGCCGCAACGGCAAGCCTTAAGAAAGGGCTGTGCCACCTTCTGGGCGAGCGGCTTTCTTTATTATTATCACTGCTGCTACAACAATAGAGAACAGGAATTAGTGTCACTGTTGGCGGTTTGCGCCATGGAATAGTCTTGCGCATGCAAGCCACCCATCCCCGGTCAACATTCGACTTTGATCAAAGCGATAGAGGGGGGGGACATGGGCATTAGATCCACACCGATTTCCTCTTCAGCATGCAAATGGCGTCCCCCCCAGCACTTGGTCATCGCTAGGGCCTGGCGAGTAGGATGACGCCGCCGCACTGGAACTGAGAGACACGCTCTTTGAGAGTTGAGCTCGATAGAGTGCCATACGGCCCATACCATGCCATACCTAGGACACCATAGGCTCATAGGGTGTCATAGGCCAGTAGGGGGGAATTGGGGAATTGGTGTGTGCGAGGCAATATAATCCGTGCTGTCTAGGACCGGATCGAGGGAGCGTTCTAGACGGCGTCAGGGGTTCCTGTTCTGGCCATGCCTCTAGCCATTCCACACAAATGCCCTTCCCTATACTACCGTCCATGCACGGCATATTGGCTCAAAACGGTTCTCACGGCTTCTTCTCCCATGGACCAAGGAGAAGAAAATTGTTTCGTGCATGGCATGGCAGGCCATGGCAGTCCTCTTTCTGCACGTCGGCTGTGGGATGATGGGCTGCCGGGGGTCGCAAGCGCATGTTCAGTTGCACGACGGCCTCCACCAGCTCGTGGAGGTGGATGTGGATGTGGGATGCAGATGCGGATGACACCAAACACTGGAACGATCTACCTTCTGTACGACGGACGCAAAACGCTCGTGACATGATGGCTATAGGTTCGTAACCCTATTAATTAATATGATCATTGTTACCCTGAATTTTTTCAACAATTCCAGAAGTTTGGTGCAAACCACGTCCTCATGATCTGTAGGTTCCCGGCAACGTAACGCGAATCAACCCCCTCTTTCGTTCTTACACATGTTTACTTACTTACCGGTCGACGTTAAGATTATAGTCCAATACGCAATATTCATTAATGCACCTTTACACGCTGATAACACTCCACATACACAGTACATACCTTAGCTAGCGACGCAGAAATCGATACGGACTCGACCCTACCTACTCAATGCACCCACTGTTTCCATGCCAAGCCAATAAGCCACTTGGAAGAAATCGGTCGCCCTAATGGAAGCATCGTCAGCTGAAGCTCAACGACCCCATAGGAATGTATGGCCACCAACACTGCTTCAAATTAACTTCATCTCTCCTCTTCAATCAATCAAACTTCTTCATTTCAATGTCTCAGAAAGAAGAGAAGACTGCTACAATAAATCTTCTTCCACACAATAACCAAATGTAACCTCAACCGTTTGCTACGCTGGAAACCTCTCTCCTTTCCTTTCCGCGTCGCAGCCGAAGTCAACAACTTGACCAACAACTTGAAATCTTGTCGCCTGCCTTGGTGCTACTGCTCGTAAGCTTCAACCGGGTGGCGCCTATGCCAAATGCATGCGTCAACCTCATCTTCCAACTCTACTCCCTTGGCCTCCCACATCACACTATTATTCTGAATTGACCCGATATTACTATTGTCGTTGCCTCTCGATATCAACTAGGAAACGTCAGCAACGTCGCTTGCGCGACTCTGCGCCCAAGGCATTGGTCCTGTTTAACCACCCAACTCCCCAAGTCGGGGCATTTTATCGATTTTTTCGTTGCCTACACACAGGAATGGTCGTTCGTGCTTACTCTGTTCCATGCATTCTAGTCAAGATTATCTTGCTTTGACCGGAAGCTGTCCAGAAATTTATTTGCAATCTTTCGACCCCATCGTCCATCCCTTGGAGGAACTCACTTGTACATGCACTAGGTGCATCCCATTAACTTAATAAAGCACACCTTTCTAGCCACATGATCGCCCGATACGGCGAACTTGGTCTGCCGCCAATACTTATATACATACAGAGTAAGCGTCTTTCAAAGTAGGCACATAGTTGGTGTTGACCTCTCAACCTGGTTTCCCTGCCTGTGCATGCTAGGCCATGCCACGGAGACCGATTATTGCAATGCGTTGGCCTTTTCATCCACATAGTCACCGGTAATCTCGCCGCCGCCCTCCGACGACAAGGCCGATTAAATGCACAAATATCAGGAACCATGCAACACTGCTCGACGATAAGAACCGTGTACTATCGTCATCCCAACTAAGTTACGGTCTCCATCGCATCAGTATCGCACAAGCCTGCGGGTGGGCGATGATCTCCGCGCAAGGACGCCGTTCGTGCTAACTAGTCCACACGATCCCAGATGCAGGGAGATTAATATACGGGGCAAGCATATGATCTCGACCCTGTTCTACGTTCTACCGAAAAAGGCAAAATTCGAACGTTTGTACCTGGTTCCTTGAGCTTATTTCGAAGGACGTGAATGTTTCCATGCGTTTGCTAAGAAATGGCTTTATTGATAATATTGCTCAGGTCCCAGATAATGGGACATGGGGGCATATCAAGTATTGCCATGCACTGGGACGGGTGCGGATGTGCACCCGCGCCCTCGAGCGATTGGAGCGGATGTTTATGCTGAGATTAACGTTTTCTCCAGGACGACGGTTCGACGTTTATTCTTCGTTATACATTCGATTTATTGATGGTTTCTGCGGGTCGTGCATGCTACGAGGATATCAAAATACATTGTGCCTACCACGTTCTCGTTCGGCCCCTCATCCGTCCACATGGATGTGAGCGCCTTATGCTACCGTGCATCCTCGACATCATCCAACACCAACCATGACATACCCACGCCTCTCCTTATCTCATGGAATGGCGTCCGGTAGCCCGGAGCTCTCCTTGTGGTACCTACAAATTGTCAGTCATCTCCAGAAAGGGACCATGTGGGAAGGGCTATAGCACATCTTGAACAACGGATCCCAGACGGTGACCGCTCGCTCCGATATGCGCCCATTCGCAAGGCTCGGCGTTTCTAGGAAGAATTGTTTGTCTGTCGAGCACTCGATGACCTTGCCGAATATCGAGGCATCATCCAGGCATCTCTCATAAGCCGCCACAATCGTGCTCTCTGGAGTCTGTTGAGCTAATCAGCCGGATGTTGGATAACATGGCATAAGTCCCTCAGCTGTATTGCGGGCACTGACCAGGCATTCTGGGGAGACGGCATCGACCATCTCTTGAGGGATGATGGCGGTTCTCACTATTCCAGGACATATGCAGTTGATGGATATGTTCTCTTTCTGACACATCAATCCCGTCAGTACGGGACACCATCATCCGTTGATGAGAAACTCACTGAGCGGAGGATGCGTGCCGTCGCCCTCACGAAGTTCACCACCTATGGATCGTCAATCTGTGATTCTTCCCCATCCCATGATTATAACTCACACCAGCTTTAGCACCATCATACTCAGGATACGACTCGTGCGGCACTATCGCGGCGACGCTGCCCGTTGCAATGATTCTGCCACCGGGAACGCTGTTCTTCCTCATGAAGTGAATGGCCAGTTGCGTGCCGTAGACCACGCCTTTGTAATCAACGTCGGTGCAGAGGAGGTCAGGTTTCGGTGGTATCCTTTCTCATCAGTATGGTACTCCGAGCACGACTTTGCTTTCTGAATGGTGCCTTGCTCTTACTTGTCAGACCCCCGATGCTCGAGGATGAATATGGAACTGCTCTCGTCAAACATCACTCGTAAACTAGGCAGACACAAACACAGAAACCCACCTCCTATCCACGATGCCAGCATTCGCACACAATGCATCGATTCGTCCATACCTATCCCACACTTCCTGGAACATCACCGCCTGGCTATTCCCATCCTCATAAGTTAGCCACACGCACACGGTCATGTTTTTCCATCTTCTTCCCCTCCATGCTGTAGATGCACACACCTGTCATAGTCTGCTACATCACACCTATGGTAACTCGCGCCATCACCGAGCTCGCCCGCGAAGGTATCGTTCGGCTGGATGTCTGCAACGGCGACTTTCCAGCCGCGGTGGACGAGGGAGCGTACGAGGGCCATGCCCATGCCCGAGTTTCCGCCCGTCACGATGGCGACTTGGGGGTGGTGTGCGATCATAGTGGTGGCGGTGCAGTAGTTGCTTCACGGTATTGGCCTCTTGTTTGAAGTTCATAGGCTCAGAGAGATGGAGAGAGATGTAAAAGGGGACGACTATTTTCACATTATACATTTGCATCTATAATCGCATGCGGCGGGAAGTCGAACATCGCATGACCTCCTTCAGTCCGATAATCATGCTACTCGTACGTACATGTTGGTGGTGATATCATAGTATGGTAAGCTTTTCCGATGCCGCATAGAGACACACGCGAGCAATCGCACTGCTTTACATACTCGAAGTGCTGGCGATCCAATAAAGGATTGTTGGATGTGTTAGATGAGGGGTTGTTCTTGTATGTAGTCGGATATCGAGAGGCTGTTGTCCCGATGCGGTTAGCGTCGTTAATGGAGCATTCTGACGTCCAAATGTACGACACTCATACGAGTAGAAGATTGGATGGATACTATCTTCTCGGCGTGTGTGCATGTATTATGATAGAATACAACTAGGAATGGTTGCTATCTGTTGATCTCTGTCGGAAAATACAGGTCTATCAGGTCGAATGAGAGCATCTCGTTCGTTGGCGGATGTCCTTATCCGCTAGACGTCCAACGTCGTTATACTGATCAACACTCCCGCTTCACCTCATCACCACGTAGTTCTCCTCGGTGGCTCACTATATCCAGTGTTATTCCCGGATTTCCAAAGCAAATCATGATGGATATTCTTGTATTTTGATACTCCATGTACCAACTGTTATTCATTGGGTTTTTTTTTTGGGTCTTTTCGAACAGCCTTTCGAGTCATATTCAATCTTAGAAGTCCTACTTATCCACAAGACACATGCAAGTAGTCAACCAAAGTTAAATCCTCTCACATGACAATTCCACGCATCTACTTTTCAAATCATAGACCCCCCAATAATTTCCATGCCCATTCCATACCTACCACTTCTCCCTATCTTGTAGCCAGAAGGAAAAGCGCACCCGACCAACTCCCCCATCCTATCACAACAACAAAGAAACCCTCCAAACAAAACAATCCCCATCCCAAGGACATCTGGTGTAGTGACCACCTGCATTAGCTCCCATCCTGTCCCCAACAGCCCTAAGACGCTAAAACGAGGTGTAGTGACCTTCAGCACGCGGGGAGAACGGAACGCGGGAGAGGTGGGTTAGCGGGTGGGGATTCCGGGGTTGATGGTCGTTGGTGTGTTGTTTTCGCTGTTGACATGGGTGTCATTGGTGCGGGTCTATTGGCTGGCTGATGGTTATTGTGTTGGGGAGAAGGAGTGGAATGATTGATGACGAGGATGGTGTACAGGATATGTGTATGAGGAAGCATATATAAGTTTGAAGACTGGCCCTATCAAGGTTAAATAAAGTAATCTGCTATTTGTAGTGGTCTCTTGCGTTGTGAAATAAGGTCGGACAGATCGATTCACTCATACATACACGATCCACAGAACACTGGGGATAACTACGATATAGAAGGGAAAGACAATGGCAGACGACTTCTACATCTTCGCCAACTGCAACTTTGTGCCCGACCGGTACGACGACGTACGCCCTCCCCCTTCTCCCTATCTCCTCCCTAGATCCATCTAATCCTCCCCTCGATTCAAAATCACGCTTCTCTAACAGACCCTCCCAGTGGCAAGCCGCATACGACAAACTGGCCGAGTATGTCTGGGCCTCCGAACCCGCGACCAAGACATACTACTTCGGCATCCCGCTCGACTACGCACACGACATCTCCAAAACAACAAGCATGCTCGCATTCGAAGTGTACGCGTCGCGCGATGTACGCCCCCCGCCATCCTTTCCCCCCTCCCAATCCCAAAAAGAACAGAAGAGAAACACAGACCTGACCGAGACCGAGAAAACAGGACCTCTACGGCCCCAACGGGCACCTCTCCTCCCCCGCGATGGCAACCTTCCTCGCCGCCATCCCCGCCGTCTCAACAACCGGCCTCGACATCTCGCACTACGCGCTCGTCTCGGGATTCCACGACGCCTCGCAGCTCGCCCGCCCCGCCGGCATCATGCAGGATGTCCGCGTAACCTGCGTGTCCGCCTCCGCACGCGACACCCTGCTGTCCTCCCTCGCCACCCTCGTTTCCTGGGCCGAGGGCACGCAAGGCACGCTGTCGTACATGGCGTTTAAGAGTCTGGATGATGAGGTCGGGGTGAGGATTTTTGGGCGGTGGAGGGAGAGGAGGGATATGGAGGCGTTTATGAGGAGCGGGGAGGTGGTGGGGTTTTGGATGGAGGGGAAGGAGGGGATCAAGGGGATGGAGCAGAGGGGGTATGTGGAGAACGGGAAGGGGTGGTTGCATAGGGGGGTTGGGAGTGGGTTTGCTGGGGAGAGGAAGGGGGAGGAGAGGAGGGTGGAGGCGAGGATTTGATGGTAGTTGGGATTAGAGAATATGGATTATGTAGGTAGCTAGGTTATATACATATATGATCGTGTACTATGAGACTATGAGATGTTGATGGAAAGGGTGGATTTATACCGGGCTGTCGACGCCATCCTCGCAATTCCCGCTCGCAGTGCCGCATCGAAGCGTCAGCGTGTCTGAGCTTCCTCCCACCCAGAGACCATAGTCGCCCGACACGTTGGGCACGATCCAGTTCTGGCTGACGACGTCCCAGACGCTGAGGTCCTTGCGGGTGACCTTCAATTTGAGGACCTCGCTCTCGCCGCCGGCGAGCGTCTTCGTCTTCTCGAAGTCGCGGAGCTGGATGATGGGCGTGTCGAAGGCGACGCCTTGGGTCGGGAACTGCACGTAGAGCTGGGCGACGGCGCGTCCGTCGCGGGATCCCGTGTTCGTGACGGTGACTTCGAGCTCGTAGGCTACATCGAAGAGGGCAGGGTTGCCGCCTTGGGCGCCGCCGGAGACGGGGCCGGGCTTCTGCTCGGTCGAGTATCCTTCAGGGTAGGGGTACTTGCGGGTCGAATTGGCGTCCTTCGCGGCGTTGTCGGCGTCGTTCTTTTCGAGCCAGGAATACAGGTAGCGCCAGATGCGGTTGAAGTTGGCGGGCCAGTATGCCTCTGATGCTGGAGGGATGGTGGTTGAGTACTCGGGAGTCTCGCCCTTGGCTGGACGGGCGGGGGGCGTCGCAGTGAGCTGTGTGACTGGAGTGATGGTGGCGTTGGCAAACTCGAAGGTCGTGTAGCTGAGGCCATGTCCGAATGCGTAACGCGGCGTAATCTTCTCACGGTTGAAATGGCGGTAGTCGACGTACAGACCCTCGGTGAAGGTATCTTGCGGCTGTCCCACCTGGAAGCCCACAAGATCAAGGCTATCGGGGTAGTCGTCCTCTGATTTGGGGATGGTGTAAGGGAGATGGCCTGAGGGTGAAACGTCACCATAGAGGACTTCCATGAGCGAGTCGCCCGCTTCCTGCCCAGGAAGATGGGCGAAGAGGATGGCCTTTACTGAAGGGAGGTCGTTCCATTCTTCGAGGATGATAGGACCGACAGTGTGAACCACGACAATCACGTTGGAGTACTTGGCGGCAACATCCTTTACGAGCTTGTCGCCGTTGTGCCAGGCATGCAAGCCAGCGTTTGTTCGGTCTCCCGGGTTTCCATCAACAGTAATGTAATTCTCGCCCGAATCAGCGGAGAGGAAGACAACAGCCGTGTCACTTGGCGCCGGGTTCGAGTTGGACGGGAACGAGTCGGTGTTGAAGAATGTGTAGTTGGCGCCGCGCTTCTTGAACCCATCAATTGGCGAGTTCATGTATGGGTAGCGCGATGATCCACTGCCCCAGCCCATTCCAAGCGTGCCTTTGTTGCAGCCTTGGTCCGCGCAGGAATTGATGCCATCGGGGTTCTTCTCGGCGTCTGTTCCAAAGACCTTGAGGGTGGCATTTCGAGACAAAGGTAGGCTTCCGTTGGTGTTCTTCAGCAGAGTGATAGCATCTCTAGCCACGGCGCGAGCGACTTCGTCATGATTTCCTCGAACATTGACGAATTGGTTGACAACACCACGCGGAGATACCAAAGCTCCGGGATAGAGAGGGCCCTCGGCGTCTTGAGTGTTAGTATCGAAGTTGGGAGGTGGGTAGTTCTGGTCCTGGCCCATCTGGAACCAAGCTGCGAGAATGCGAGTTACAGAGTCATCGAGGCGATCCACAGGAATAGTACCGTTCAGAATCGCACGCGAGTACTCGTACATCCAGTATGAGTTGCCGAAAAGGGGAACAGTGTGGATGTCGCCAGGCATAGACATGTCAAGTCCAGCCAGCGCAGAAGCAACGCCAGATATTTGAGCAAGCCACTATTCAGTTGCATCAGTCCATGCTCTCGCATCATTTTGGGATATTTGAACCTACATCACTCATGACAAAACCCTGGAAGCCTAGTTCATCCTTCAATATCCCATTGATGAGGTAGGAATTCTGCGAGCAAGCAGAACCATTGACCTAAAACATGTTAGTTGGTGCACTGCACATGCATGAAAGAGCACATACAGCATTGTACGCAATCATCACTGAGCCGACGCCTGACCTCACACCCTCTGCAAAGGGCCAGAGATACAACTCATGAAGCGTCCTGTCGTCGAGATTCGAGCTGATACCCGGTTGCACCAAATTGTACATGCGGTACATCTCCTGCTCATTAGCAATCAGATGCTTGATAGTCGCAATGACACCGACGCTCTGCACACCCTCGATAGTGCGAGCACCGCCAACAGCCTGCAAGACAGGATCAGATCCGAAACCCTCCCAATTCCTTCCGCCCCGAGGCTTTCGCCCCAAGGGTCCTACAGAAGGGCCCAAATGCACATTGACACCCTTCCCTCTGAACTCCTCACCAATCGCGACACCGCGAGCATATGTGAGGTCCTTATCCCACGTCGCTCCGACCGTGATACCCGCAGGGAACGCAGTATTGTCGCCCTCGGGCATATTACGCAGGCCGAGCGGCCCATCCTGCAGACACAGCTGGGGGATGCCCGCGCGAGGCGCACTCCCCGTGTTCCCCACGCATCGTCCCATGAAAATGCCCGTCCCGGCTGTGATGTTGGTTTTCTCCGCAAGGGTCAGGTTGGAGACGAGCAGCGCGGCTTTGCGGTAGCTTTCGCTCCAGTCCGACGTCCAGCCGCCGTAAGGCGATGGGTAGTATGGCGGCGCGACATATCCTGCGGGCACAGGTATGCGCTTTTCGACGGCTGCGCCTGCGGCGAGGGTTGAGAGGGATAGGAGGGTTAAGGAAAGCATAGCGACTGGTAGGGCATGCGCCGTAACGAAAGAAAGTGTTTCAAAAGAGTGGACAGCGATAAATCGCAGTACTGTCAGTCAGTCATCATCATCGGCGCAGATGGGCGAAGCCGTGGTGAACATATAGTCATCTCCAAGCAATTGGCCCCAGACCCCGCAAAGCCGCTAAGGAAGGGGATGCGCTGTCTATATTGCATTCGCATTGGCGGATTATGCTGTTTCCCATGGCCGAGCCTATTTCGATAGTCCGCTAGGGAAGGAATTCAATGCAAAAACAAGTCCTGACCGAACGAACGTGGTGTGTGTGGTGACTTGTTTTTGGAGGCTTGAGAGAACCAGGTTAGAGGACCGATGCCGGTTAAAAACAGGCAGACAAGGTCTCAGCCCTGTTTACAACCCCATAGCAGCTCTGCGCGCGCGATCATATTGGATGGAAGGCCAGTTCGAGCACGCTACTGTCACTTTTCGATTTACAGGATTCGTCTGTTCGGAGTTGAGACAGCTCGCTAAAAGGTCGACTCTCCGTTGTTGCGTAGGTGTTGTGGTCTCATGAGCACATAGAATCCTACCTGTAAGTACGGTCGAAGAAGCATCTCTACATTGCCAAGACAAGTCCCCTGACTTTCGACTCTGGTCAAGACAAGAGATGGGGATGATCATCGTTGGACGTAGATAGCGACGCGTTCGCGTGGTGGAGCCTCGGTCTACGCGTGTCATATGTGGATTGCAAGCAAGGATCGCACATCTGCTGAGGAATAGCTTTCCATCACATCACGCAGGTTGATGAAGAGAAATCTGTATTCATCATCTTCAAGCGAAGCCAAATTACGCTGTTTGAAGCCTCAAAGTTGAAGCCTTAAGCTGAAGGATGAGGACTGTGTAGAGGAAGAGTGTGGGGAAATACCAGTACACCTAATACGATGCTTGACATGTGAGACGAGCCGAAAGCGAAGTGCGCTAGTAAAAGTCCCGCACGGCCGCTAATGGGTAGGTACATGGCCTAATCAGTAGGTAGCCCCTGACGTTCACTCTTAGACCATACACTATTCCTACATCTAGGCTATCATATATGAGATACCCTACACAGTACATACACAAATACACACTCTCTCACGCATGAAGTCCTCATCTCCGACCCCAACCCCTATCGAGCATTAAGATCCCATGATATCATCGACCAAGACAACCCACAAAAAGCCATCGACATCGCTGTTTCTTCTCCTTTGGGAGAACCTACCCAAGACAAGTCCAACCGAAGCGTAAGGATTGTCGATCCACCGTGGATGGCATACTTTCCCCTTTCGAATGATTAGTGGTATGTGATGGTGGTCCACATGACCACCGTAGCCTACATGTTGATACAACACACGCTACTGCTTGCCATGCCATAGCGGAAAAGCGAACGCTTCAACCGGCCCTTCACTCCGTATCTCTCAGGACGTTCTACTCGGAAGTTCTGAGCATCCGTGTAGATATTCTGCACGATCGCACGGCACATCACCACATCTCCCGCACGTCTCGCATGGCGCCTAAGCCACAATGGGGAGGAAGGCTGCCTTATCCCCACATATATGGCAATTAAGATGCTCTGATATGCATTGACAACAGCCTGCTGCAGCATCTTGTTCTAAGCGACATGGTGATGTGCGCATTATGGCCGATCGCAGAGGCTCGTATGCATAGGTACATGTACGTGCGGTGCGTGTCGTGTTGGTTGGGGAGATGTGCGAATGCGAGCAGAGAGGGTATGTGTTGTGCAGGTAGGTACTTAAAAGACGTGATAACCATTGCCGATGGGGATTGTTCGAGTACGTGAGACCGTCTACGTCTGGTCTGCGGAGCGCTGTGATCGTGCCATCTGTTTATTGAATTGAGAGGTTAATATTTAATTTTTACTTACCGACCATGATGGCTTTGAAGGACGTCACTCTTTCTGGTGCTGCTGCATTGTTCCTCGTTTCTTCGTTGATATCGTTCGCTGCGGCTGATACCTGTTCGACCGTGGCGAGCCTGAGCAACTTGAACATCAAGCGCAACCCAGAGCTCGAGTACACGACTGAGCAGACGAACTACTGGTCGACGGGCTGCGGAGCGTTGAAGCCGTCGTGCATACTCTACCCCTCGACGGTGGAAGAAGTCGCCGCCATCGTGCGGGTCTTGAACGATAACAATGAGACGTTCGCCGTCAAGTCGGGGGGCCATAACCCGAACGCCGGGTTCGCTAGCATCGACGGTGGGCCGCTGATATCAACGAAGTACTTGAACGAAGTGTCGCTCGACAGGGCGTCGATGACGGTGCGTGTTGGGCCGGGAAACGACTGGGAGGATATCCATAAAGTGCTGGATGGCACTGGCGTGGATGTCGTGGGTGGCAGGATTGGGGAAGTTGGTGTTGGGGGTTACGTTATAGGGGGTGGGTTGTCGTTTCTGTCCACACAGTATGGATGGGCTGCGAACAACATCGTTGAGTTTGAGGTCGTCCTGGCGAATGCGACTATCGTCACGGCGTCGGAGACCGAGCATTCGGATCTGTTCAAGGCGCTCAAGGGCGGCGGCAACAACTATGGCATAGTGACCAACTTCAGGATGGTTGCTCATCCGATCGGTCAGGTAAGGGACTGAATCTCAGATCGAAATGTTTTCTTCTTTGTTCTCGAAGTGAACATTCCCCCGGCTGACATGGAACTGCAGGTTTGGGGCGGCAATCTGGTCTTCCCTGGAACAAAGTCGCCTGAGATGCTCGAGGCGGTTCGCAACTTTACCGCGAACCATCCGGAAAAGGCTGGGATCATCATGACAGCAGAACTGACAGCCCTAGGCGCCGTGGACATATGGATCATGTTTCTTTTCTGGGACGGACCGACGCCGCCTGAAGGCACTTTCGACCTGTTCACCAACATTGGGCCCATCTCCAACGACTGCAAGACTCGCAGCTACTACGACCTGCTGAGCCACAACGACTTCGCCGTGGTCAAGGGCTCCATCTACACCATCACGACCGAAACGCTACCTCTGCCAGACAGCACTGTGGCGGCCGACGTGCTTGGAGCCATCCACAGCAACTGGCGAAACGTGACGCAATCCGTGATCGGAACCTCTGGCCTTATCGGATCGATCGCCTACCAACCGCTGCCGAGGGGGCTCGCGCGGAAGGCACGCGAGGCCGGGGGTGACATGCTCGACCTGGACGACGACGTCGACAGACTGCTGATCGAGTTCAACTACTCATACTGGCTGGCCTCGGACGACGCCAAGATGGACGCGGCTACACGGGGGCTGTACGAGGGCACGAGGGAGGTGGTCGAGCGGCACACGCAGAATGGAGACCTCCCGGATGCATACGTGCCGCTATTCATGAACGATGCCTATTTCCGACAGGATTATTTTGGACGACTGAGGACTGCGGATTTCGCGAGGATGGTAAGGGAGGCTTACGACCCGGAGGATTTCTTCAAGGAGAGGACCAAGGGCTGGAAGATGTAGATTGGTCATCTGGGGAGGGGGTTATGTCACCAAGTTTGTTAGAAGATAGGGAAATGAATGATTGGCTTGATTTGATCTGATCTGATTGAGTGAACGAATGAACGGATGGATAGTCTTGATCGACTCACCGTTCTCGCGAAGGTACTGATCGGATGCCGATGGACCAGAGAGACTACGATAGATACCTGGTAGGTAGGTAGGGGAAAGGGGGGCTATGTGCGGACGGGAAGCTGCAGTCATACAATAGACGAACGCAGGTCTTGTTTGGGTGTGTGAGAAAGAGAGAATATGACCCAGGATAGAAGGGTAGGAGTAAGAACAGGAGTAGGAATAGGATGTTTGTTCACAGATAGTAGAGCGAGCGTCATGTGTCCGGGTTTAGAGATGTCCATACAGAGAGGAGCGGAGAGGGAGGGCAAGTGTGCATATTTGCGTGGAACGGCATCGAATGGCAGTCGATCCGGCTATGCACATGTATGGACAGGGCAGGGTGATGCAGTACAGTGCAGCACATACATACGTACATGCGTGCAGCACATTACATCCGGGGCTTAGAATAGCGATGCCGCACAACCGCTGCAAAGACGTGGGCGATGCCATGCGATGAGGATAATGATGACGATGGTAAAGATAATAGCACAGTGCATGCGGTGCAGCATTTTGATCGAATCGTTGACATCGAATCGAAATCGACATCGACGTCGATATCGACAGGGACACACGGGCAGGCGTCAGAGCCGTCAAGGTGGGCTTTGCGTATGATCTATTCCTGAGGCTTGAGCAGGCCTTGGCTGGGCAAGGATGCAAGCGGATGGATTGAGAACCGACAAGAGTGATGTAGGCAAACGGCACAGTCGTGGCAGAGAGGGCATCTCAGACGGTATACAGGCGCTTTGGTAGGCAGTGAATTTGGTTGGTGGTTGTGGACGCATGTTCTCTGTAGAAGTGGGAGTGGATCAAAGAGATGTGGATGCTGCGGCTAGTTGTAAGAATTTACATGATTAGAGAGTTGATTGCATGATACGTGCATGAGAATCCGAATGTGGTGATAAGTGGTGTGGTGGTGGTGCTGTTGAAGAGAATGAGTGTGAAGTATGTAGAGTAGAGGCGAAGGAAGGACAAAAGGCCATGCAGCATTGAGGCGACCTGGTGGAGGGGAGGGTTAACGCGCTCATGGTTGGGGAAGGAATTGGGGGGAGTTGAGAGCCTAACCCGCCCGAGCAAGCCCCCCTCTGCCGCTCCAAGCCCCCCCAAAACGGTGCCCCAAAGCCGCCCAAGTGGCCGCCGACCGACCGAACTGGCGCTCTCAAGGTTGGACCTGGGAGGGGAGGTAAGGCTCTCCCGTATTGTGCGTACATACTGTGTATCTCTACTGTGTATCTCTATCTTCTATCTTTACGGGGAACGGATCTGCCCGTCGCGCCCGGCTGATGCTGTTCCACCTGCTAAGTCCACTAACTATCATGTAGTATAGTTATGCTGTGTACCTAAGTGTACTATGTCGATACTATCTAGATACTGCACAATCTGCTACACTACAGCCCACAGGGCGAAGATGGTGGACCTATTTCTCGACCAGGTGGATATTTGTTTCGAAACATTTCAAAAACATCACTCCACTCCACCCCACTCTGTTCCACCGCATCTTGGAAACGCTTCGATCTTATTCACTTCTTCCCAACTGTGCCTTCATCCCGCCTACGCCTATCTACAGTGCCTACACCACCATGATCATCATCATCTTCACCACCACCACCACCACCAGCATTGTCCAAATGCGCACCCCCCTTTTCCACCACCAGTATCAACGTATCCTCTTACCTTTGCTCACGTACACATGCACATTATTGCCGTCGCAGCCATTTCCAAATCCCTCCCCCCGCATTCATATCTTACGTACGTCCGCTTCCAGAAGTGTATGCTTACTGTCCACCTCGTGTTCCTCCTGCAATTATATGCGGCCTTGCAGACCCTCTAACGCCAATCTATCCATACAGATCAGAGACAGAGAAAGAGAGGGGGTGGACGGGGGGTGGATGGGGGGAGGGAGGGAGAGAACCACCACTAACAAGACGGCAACAGGAGGGCTCAGCCCTACACCATCATGTATTGAATCATCCATAATCCATCATCCATCATCCTTCGTACTTAGTTAGTACTCGTACATACATACATGCATACACATATACAGTACACTGTGCCTGTGCATGCCCACATACATGCGGCCGTCATCAACCTTGGCCTTTTGGCTTTGGACGGCATTTTGGTCTTATTCTGTAGGCCCACGACGTCCTATCAAATCAGATTGACGCGGTTAGCCGCCCACCCTATCTCAACCTCATCCTCACTCGTCAACGACACTTCATCCACCCTTCTTACACCACCACAACCCTCGTTCACCCTCGTCTGCCCCCTGTCACACCCATTCTTGTTCTCACGTCCTTCTTTTCTTAGAACCAGCCGCAAAATAACCTCAAACAGGCGCTTCCGGCACCCAGGAACCATCATCATCATCCCTCCCCCGGAAGACCATCCGCTCCATACGCTGGCCACATCGAGCGCCCACCTACAATACGTTTTTAGCCTCTGACACTTTTCCCAAATTACCATTGTGGTGTCGAGAATTTCCCTATTCAGCCAGCAGCACCAGCAGCCGGCGATTAGAGAAACAGTAACCCTGTTTCATCGAAATTCTCCGGCGGCGCTGGTCTTTGTTTGGGTGAACATGGTTCCTGCTCGGCCTCAGGCATTGCCCTTTGCCATCCTCACCCCTGCCTTACCTTGCCTTGCTTCGCCAACGTATAAAGCTTCCTGAGCCCACGGTCCTCTCTGGGGGCCCTTCTTTAGATAAACCACCAGAAAAGAATTCAAGAAACAAAACATTTTCCTTCGTTTGTCGTTGTCTTCATCGTTGTCGTCCACCATCCATCTCCGAACCCTTCTTGGCTCCACCGCCCCCTTGACGACACCATCGGTTTCTTCGTTCCATTCCTATATAATTCTAATACTCCAAGCAGTTTCCCTTCGCTTGAAGCTCTCACCATTCCATCTCCTCGTCACTGCTCATCTTCTCAACTTCTCACATCTCTTACGTCTCATCTCCTCTCATCTCCCCTCTGTTCTCTCTATCATTCTCTCATATCATCTCTAAGCCATTGAGGATTTCTATCACCCTCTTGGGAACTCCTTCTTCCATTCTTCTCAAAAGACTCCATGCTCGCCATGCCTCGCGCACCAAAGGCCAGTCCCGCTTCCCATAGGAACTCCATCTCCACCGCATCCGCGGCAGGAAGTGGGGGCGGCGGAGGAGTCCGAAGCACAACCTGGTCGACCAAGGATGATCAGACCCTGATAGAGGCGCGAGCAAAGAACCTGAACTGGAACCAAATCGCCCCAAACTATTTCCCCTCCAAGTCACCCAATGCCTGCCGCAAACGACACGAACGTTTGATGGAGAAGCAGAATGCCGAGCAGTGGGATGGTGTGAAGCTTGATGTCCTCGCACAAGCATACATGGACGTGCGACGGGAGATGTGGAGCATTCTCGCCGAACGAGTCGGCGAAAAGTGGACTCTCGTCGAACAAAAGGTATCTATTCCATCCAAACCGATGATGCTCTCCCTTCCTATCAATGGCGGATGCTGACATGCGATAATACAGTGCATGGAGAAGGGACTCAGGAACCTCACGCACGCATCTCGGACCGCACAAAAGAAACAGGGTATTGACGCCCATGATGACAGCGGCTATGGCCTTTCTGATCTTGACGAAGATTCCGAAGAACGCCACGAGCGTCCCCAAGAAATGCATGACGTCCCCCCTGACTCTGCATTCTCCTTCCAAACCACCTTCCCGTCCCAGCTCCCACGACCATCGTATCAGGAGCAACAGCAACGCCAGCAGCAGCGAATCCCTAGCATCCACAACATGCTTGGGTCGTATCCCGGCTCCATAGGCCCGTCTGGGCTGTAAATCCACATCTTAACCTCCTCCCTCCAACCAACGGGCGTCGGCCCTTCCCTCTGCGAACTACAACACCTTTCGACGCAAGCCTCACGACCTTTAACGACCTCCTCCGATCTTTTATCCCATTTCGATTCCCCGCAGTTTTCGAATCATCGGGTTCCTAACTGGCACCAATCATTCGCTGATACATTCATTTCTAGGTGAAGACTACATTTATCACACTTGTTTTCTTATTCCCCACTTGTTTTCTCAGTTCCTCCTTTCCATTTTCGTACTTTTCATATACCACCTTTCCCCTAGAGTCGAGTCAAAAGGGCGGATCTTTGCACATTTGCATTTTAGTTAGCCGGCTTGGAATGTTTCCTTTTCTTTTCTTTGCTTGCGTTTGCGTTTGATTCCTTTCTTCGGTTTTTTGTCTTTCCCAATGCGGTTTTTTTTTCCTTTGGCACGTCAAAGCGTCTGGATGGTGTGGGTAACGAGTAAAGCATAGCGAGCTGGCGTTGGGAAACCTGTAATGGCGTGGCTGTCGTTGTCGTTGTCGTTGGTTGTTTTTCATCGTTGTCTTTACGCTGTCATTTGGTTCCCAGAAATGACAGTAACACTATGTTGGATTGTACTTTGTATTTCTAAACACTCCTTTTTTTTCCTTCTCACTTGTTTCGAGTACCTACCGGACTGACAAGACAGAAAACCTTTCTGTTATGGAGTAGTAGGGCGTAGGGTTATGGGCATGGGTACGGGGTAAGAAGACTTTTTTTCGATTCAGTTCACACTATCATTATTATTTATTATTTCGTCATTGTTGTTATCCTATTAGAGGAGGAAATATATCTGATCTTTTCTTTTTCTTTTGCAGAAAAAACCAGTCCTGTTCACATTACACACACCACTCCCAAGATAATAATCATCCTCGCACAGGCAGGAGGAAATGGTAACTAATCGCCTCTCTTCTCCCCAGCATCGTGGGGAACGATCAATGTATCACGAACGCACACCCAAACAAGGCAACCGGAGCACTTCCTTCCGCAACGAACGACAAACGAGAGCAAACGAGCCTTCCCAGAATGACTCTGCGCGCATACATACTACCTACATGTACATTGCATATGCAGAAAAAGACGTATTGGAAGTGGAAAGAAAATTAACCCCCCCCTCCCCCTCCATGTCCCATGTGAGTCGTATGTAATAATAATAACACCAATAATAACAAATTTCTATGTATATGCAGACGACGACGACGACGACGAGCAGCAGGAGGACGAGGAAGGAAGAGGCACAGGCGACTCAGTCGGTCGGTAAGCAGAGTATGCGTTAATAGGTCCGTTCTGCGAGTGAGGTGAGGGTGGTGGAAGAGGAGCGAGCTATTAATAGCAACACTGCAGGCGCGCCGCGCGGGGGGGTGGGCGCGGCGTGTGGGCGTGTAGGTAGATGTGCGGCGTGGTGGGTGGGGTGGGGCACGGCACGCGAGCCTTTGCCTTGAGAACGAGTCGAGGAGTCGAGTCGTTGTGTTCGCTCGCTTGTTTCGTTTCGTTTCGTTTCGTTTCGTTTCGTTTCGTTTCGTTTCGAGGTTTTGCTATCGATTGCGAGGCTGGATGTGAACAGTGGAAAGGCTGGGCGACGGAGCGATTTGGTGAACATGTACTCCGTATGCTGATAGGGATGGAAGAGCATACACACATTAGGTACCTACCTATGGGTACGAACGTAGGAATCATTTAAAAAAGACATGTACTTCGCACCCAACGCACACTTATGTCAACGTCAAGCGTGACTAATCGATTGAGAGAAAAATTCATTTATTGGTATTTAATCGTACTTGGTATGAGTGTTTGGGTGATGGCGCAAACAAACAAGATCTACAGCAAAACAAAAGGCCCCTCTTCTTCTCAAAGTGGGCGAGCCCATATGCAGATGATGACTTTCGACTTGTGGGAAAATAGAGAAGAATCCCAAATACTCTCAGAAAAAAAGCGGGCGAACCCTTTATTTTTCGTCTGGTTTCTCTCCCAGATGATGAAGTCGCTAAAACCTTGGACGCAGCCCCCTACCGCCGCCGGATATATATATAGCCTTTTTCATTTGAAGAGTCGTGTGAATGGAGAAAAGGGAAAATAAGAGGAAACGAATGGTTCTTTTTCGGTTCGTTAGTCCGGAAAAGTCGTTCAACGGCCACCGAGTAGACGCTCGACAAATTGCACGAAGAAAACCTTCCATTCCCTCTCCTTCTTCTGGCCCTCGAATGCACCAGCCAGGGTCCGCAGGTACTGCTCGATGAACTGTTCGTCGGAGCCCATGCCCTGTAGCTCGGATCGGAGGCGCTCCACGTACGGATCGCCGACCTTCTTGATGATTTCTGCTTGCAGGCCAGCGAGCTCCTGGAGGACTTGCCTTGCTTGGGCGTCCTTCACGTTGAAGCCAGGTGCGCCAGGGACTGACCAGAGGATGGGGGAGAAGCGCTCCACGGCGAAGTTGTCAAATCCTGGAATCGCGTCTGCGGATGTGTTGGTTGGCGAGGTGGGTGTTGCATTTGCGCTGGGACCAATCTTGTCGGGCCCTCCCCAGACGGCAAGCATGCGAACGATGACACTGATAGACAGTCTGGCTGTTGGGTAATCCTTCGTGTCCCGAGCGAAGGTGTCGAGTGAAGTGATGATGGTGTCGAACATGGGCTGGTTGGTACTGCTGACGATGACCGTACCGAGCCCGTTGCTGAGAATCGACATGAGGAAGTTGAGATATTCGCGGCGCAACTCTGCAAGCTGAATTTCGTCATCAGTTCCAGCAGGAGTGACGCTGAGCGCGTTGAATACTCGCTGTAACAATGGAGTCAGAAGGTTATCTAGAACACCAGCGATCTCGGTCTTGAAAGTGAAAATGAGTTGACCGAGAACCTTCAGGAATGTGTTGGTCTCGTCGGCGGTTGAGTTTTGAGACAAAAGTCCCTCGATCCAGGATGGAAGTCGTTGCAACGAACGGGAGCCAAGTACGGCTAGCATGCGGGAGAACGCAAAGCGCGAAGCACCGCGGATTTGCATTGATGAGCTCAGGGAGTCTAGTGCAACCAGGATCGCTTCAGATGCTTTGTAGAACTCATCAGAGACTTCGCTAGGAGCCTGAGCGTTTGAAGAGGGATTCCAATCTCCATATCCACGAGCTAGAGTTCCGAGAGCCATGATGTTGTGATGTATCTGCAGAATTGCCCGCTCGTCTCCGTTTCTTGCTTGGCCAAGTGTTGCTTCCATGTCACTGAACAGAGGGCCCATAATAGTTTGGGCGTATAGCTTCTTGCTCTCCACTGGCACTGTAGGAGAAGATGCAATGCAACCAACCGCCTCGAACAGGTAGAGCTGCGAGTTGAACAGCGCATCGGCAGATTGGTCCTCTTCATCCGATGACATGTCGTTCTCGGACTCATTCGGTAGCTCCGCTTTGATTGTGAGCAGGTCACCCACAGCTTGAATAATGTCGTGAGATACATTGCCCAACTGGGCCCGAAGCGGCTTGACGAATCGTTGGAAAAGATACCACGATCTTGAGCGGACCTTTATGTGGTTATGGTGAGTTAGGCGCACGAAATTCTCGAGAACTTTCGGGATTAAGTGTGCGTTTTGTTCGAAGAATTGAGTGTAGCGAACGCATATTTCCATATACTGTAGCTGGATAGCAGGATGCGGATAGTTTGCGAGATCTGTTGAACGTGAGTATGAGAGTCCAGATTAAAGTGGAATAGAAGCGTGTTGCTTACCCGATTCAACCATGCCAGACATCATGCCCACAAGGCGCTCAGCTGCTACAGAGGAAGGTTCCCGCTTGGCATATAGTCCCGAGTTACGTATAGCCAACTCTCCAAATAAGTACATCTCGTATAATGCAAGGTCAAGATCGCGCCAGGTCAATGATTGGTCGTTTGCTGAAAGGCGCGCGAAGGTGTCTCCCACCACACGGCTCAAGGTTTCGATGTAGAACGACTCATCGATCGCCGCCACAGTTTGCTGAAGCACATGGAGCCGTTTGCGCAATTCTTGAAACTCTGCCTCGCCTTCTTGATCGTCGTCTTCGCCCCAAGATGCCGTTTCGTCGTACTTCATTTTGCCGATGATGGCATCTAACACAGCGGGTAGAATGACGGCGTATTGGTTCGGAAGTGTCCCTGTCTTCTTTTGAAGCTTCCGGAAGAAAGTGAGGAGATCGGTGAGTGACGGAATCACTGTCGAACATACTTCGTCATATTGGTCGGCAAAGAATCGCAAAAGATAGGGCGTGAACACCTGTATGAGTTCATCCGCACGTTGTTTGGTCTGTTCGTTGGTCGAATCATTCTCCAAAACCTTGACGATGTCGAAGACAATGTTATTGACCAATTTTCCCACTGTTTCGGCAAGATCATTGTCGTAAGACGAACTGCCTTGATCGAGCAGTGCCGGACTACCAATCAATTGTCCCACGATGTTGGGGAGGTTGAGGAAGATGATCAGTTCAATCTTCTCCGCAGGGTTCATCTTCTTGCTAACAATCTCCGAAAACGTATCGATTGCCGCATCTCGAACTTTGCCTTGCGGGCTATCTGGATCCTCGATGCCTTGTTGTCCAGCCATCTCCAGGAAAGTACTGATCATAGCCTCGTTGACCACCAAAGAGATGTCAATCCAACTGACCCAGCGCCCAATGTTCTTCAGGCACATTTCTATCAATTGAAGGTCCGACTCCCTCCATTTGGCGAGTATCTCTTGCCAAGATAATGAAATCTTCTGTGCATCCCGAACACGAATGAGGTCTTTTAGCTCGACATTACGCCTCTTCTCTTCCTCAGATCTCACCACCAGCTGGTCAGCGATTTCGTCGTGCACCTGACCCAGGACCCGAAGATATAGTATCGTCCCAGCAGTGTTGGAGGTTCCTATGGATCCCTGATCGGCGGCAATTGCGCGGAAGTCGTCGAAGAAAGATTGCCAGGTAGAAGAGTATAGAGCGGCAAAGAGGTAGGTCATGGTCTGCATGATCTTGTTTTGCATATGTGTGGAGTCGACCGAGCTGCTTCCGGCCGCATATGCCTGGCGGATATAGTTTAAGAGCGTGTCCTTAACATACCCCAGACTCTGCGAATCCAGCTGCTGCTGTTGTACAGCATTGTTTACGAGATCGAGCGAAAAGTGTCGAACGATATCAGGCGGTCGCGGGTCTCGAGCGACGAGTGATAGGCAGGCTTGCCAGGCAGAGGGATCCGTTCGCAGCGAGTTTAGATATTCTATAGCCTGGCCACGAAGATCCTGAGTGGATGTGGGACTCGAGGCAATTTCGATGGCATTCTCCACCTGCATAGGAAAAAGGGTCACATCAGTAAATGCTTCCGTGTCAAGGATTATGAAGTTGGTGGGGCATGGAGTGACGCACCTGGGCCTCCATCTCCACCACCGTCACGGAAGAGAACGCAAGTTGTGTAGAGATAGATATGTCTTAATCCTGAGGATTTTCAAGACCTCATGAGCAAGAGAGCGATTCAGCGTGCGAATTATGCTACCGGATCATTGGGCAGGGACAATGCAGCATTTGGGAGCGTTTTGGGCGGTGACTCGGACAGACACAGCGTGGGGCAGCAGCGACGGCGGCGGCCTACGCAGAGACAGAATACCTAACAAAATGAGGACTGGATTAGTTAGCAAAATGATCTATCGACCTCGAGTTCGTGAACGGTTGCAGAAAGGGAGGTTGTGGTTATGATGTGAGGCTTTGTCGTGTGCGTTTCGGTAGCACCTTCAGATGGCACGAATTGTTAAAAGTCTTGGCAGTGGGATGTTTATTTCATTCGTGTGATTGTGTCCCGCCCGCGGCCTCCTGCGTAACTATTACTAGGAACCCCTAGCCCTGCTGCACGTGCCTGATTCCATCAGCCATTCACGCCATTCCTACGAACAACCTCACTCGTACATGGTTACACGATACACCTATCACCCAATAGGCATCATCAGGCTGTTGACACCTTGACAACATGCATAATCTTTTGAGCCTCGGGCAGGGGTACGTAGATTGTCTCTTGCATTTTATCAACCTCGTTCAGTCCGCATCCGATGGTGTCTTAGCACAATACTGCACAAAGCACATGTCGCATGTCTGTCTATATGTGGAGTAGGTTTACAGCCTAGCTTCATGATATTCTTTGTTTATAATACAGTAGTGCTGCCGTGCGCATATGGCCAAATAAAGGTCATATGTCCTCGCAATCAGTTTCCATACCATTGCTCTCTTTATTCCTTTTCATGTTTTGCTCATTATTTCGTATCCGTCTCTCCAATAACACGAGCTACGGATGGTACTACACCATTACTCTATAGTTTTCCTTTGACGCTGGATTCGCTTCTGTGCCAATAAGCTGAAAACTCCACCAGATGAAAAGGTTATCCTTGCTTACTATACGCCGAGATGCTTTGCGGCCCACTCCACATGCTCGTCGGCGAACGACGCCATGAAGTAGTAGCTGTGGTCGTAGTCTGGCTGGAAGCGGAGGTTGATGCCCTTGTCGTTTCCAGATTGCTTGGCAGCCTCGAGGAAGTTCTCTGGAAGAAGTTGCTTCTGCTTGTAGAAATTGTCGCCAGTACCCTGATGTCGAAGTTAGTCGTAATCCCATCTGACTTCAAGGTCGCACTGCACGAACCACATCAATCAGCATCTCAAGAGGTCCTTTCCACTGCTTGATGAGCTCTGTGGCGTCATGCTCCTTCCACTTCTGCTGCTGATCCTCTCCAAAGTATCCCTTGAATGCCTTCTGGCCCCACGGGCAGTTGATAGGATTGGCGATAGGTGCGAATGCGGAAACGGACTTGTACTGTCCGGGGTTCTTCAAGAACTGGAGTTGTTCAGTCAGGTAACGGACATCGAGCCCACATCAAGAGAACCTACCAATGTCAAAGCACCGTGGCCGCCCATGCTGTGACCTGTGATGCTAACCCTGCTTCCGTCGAGCTCGCTGAAAGAAGCAAACAGTGTCTCGGGAAGCTCCTTGGTGATGTAAGAGTACATGTTGTAACCCTTTGTCCACGGCTCCTTCGTCGCATCGACGTAGAAACCTGCGCCGGAACCGAAGTCGTACGCGTCATCCTCGCCCTGGATCTGGAGGCCACCTGACGGCTGATTAGATGAATGATTCACGTCAGGAATAGCAGTGTGGACATACGAGGGCTGGTGTCTGGGTACACGACTGCTATGCCTTTTTGGCTGGCGGCGTGCTGGAAGAAGCCCTTCTCTGAGCAATTGTCACCCGTGCAGGTCAGTCCAGAGAGGTAGAAGAGAACAGGAACCTTTGCGCCGGATTTGAGGGCCTGAGGAGGAAGGTAGAGGTTCAATGCCATGTCAGTATTTGTGCTCGACGACTTGTGCTTGAGCTTAAGCAGCTTGCCGCCAAATGAGGCAATGGTTGCCGTGGTTTCGAAAGACATGATGGTGGTGGTGTAGTGAATGTCGCTGTTCACTAGGAGTTACGTGTGTGTATAGTTTGTGGTTGTGTGAGTTACAAGTAGCGGTACTGCAATGTCGAGACCAAGGGAAACAGAAGAAAAGAGAAGCAATCTTTCCACAAGGAGGCTCTCTTCGTCTACTTATGATTTCATTTATCCTCTTGACTGACGTTGAGCTTTCCGTTAGTGGGATGCGGGGCAGGTATTGGATCCTCTCTGCCCCACCATTCGCTGGAATGAGATAAGTATTCCGGACGGCGTCAAGATTCAGAAATCGGATCCGCTCCCGTCTTCTCTCAGGCACTCATATGTCCGCCATTGCACCGAAAATGTGGCGTTGAGTCGGTTTTCATTCGGGATATAGCTCTCCAAAAAAACAATTACTGTGTACTGTGTAGATACACGTACATACATACTCAGAAAAGACTCCTGATCGCCAAGCATGCCCGCTTTGATCATCCTTTTTAATAAAACTCCTGTACAAATGCAGCCAAGACTCTACCAACTACTGTGGTACTGTACAATCCATCCTCCTCCTTCAAACTAACAGTTCCTCGCAAGTCCAGTCCTCGTACCTGCATCTGGTCAGCTAAACCCTTCTGGGATTCAAGGTCTCACAATCAACTTACCATCCATCAGGTAGGAAGCGCCGCACAACCAACGGAATCTTCTTCTCTCGTAACTCTTTGAGGGCAATCTGTAGAGGATCTGTCATGCCCTCAACATCGATGAGCACTGGCGCATTACCACTGCATCCAACATTAGCCCTGCCTATGCATCGAGCAGATATTTTCAAATTGAACACCTACCTGATTTGCAACGCTCTTGTTCCTAGCACACGTGCCTTCTCATACTTGGTCATGTATGGTGTGGTGGTGCGCTTGTCATTCGGAATCCTCTTGTCCTTCAGACTCTTGACCGTGTTCTTCTCTTCGCCTTTCGTAGCGGCGCTTGGGTCTCCGCCGATCACAACATTGTCATCTTGATTCTGTCCGACGTCTGGTTCTTCTCCTGCGCCAGTTTCCTGGGCATCATCATCGTCGAGGAGATCGGGTTCGACGTCTTCCTCGTAGTCAAGGCCGGGGTCGCTGCAGGTTGGCGCAATGGTTAGCAATACCATCTAAAGCAATGTAGTGCCATTCGTTCCGGAAAGTCTGCTACCTGATGACACAGAGAGAGATACATACTCGTAATGACCACCATCATAATCGTCACCCCCGTCACCTCCGTAATCAGACATTTTCGTGCGGGTTGAGTCTTGAGTCGCGTCTGTGTCGTTGCGTTCGCGTAGTCGCGATGAGCTTGAACAGGTTCCCTCGAGAAAACCTGACAGTGTGGACGTGGGAGGCTGGAGCGCAAGAGTCTAAACTGAAAGACAACCTTGAACAAAAAAGGCTGCGATGAAGATCGTCGCGCTAGTGGAAGCGCACGGGCCTCTCTTCCCCGAAATCTTGGCGAGCCCTCGTCTAGGAATTTTAAATGTCAGCGACCGTTCATCCAGGAATTCACGATTCTGTGAAATGCAGCCATGACTTCACCGTTAGTGAACATACAGGAGGCATCACTAAAACGCAAAATAATTGAGCAGGGCGGTGATACACGCAAGAAGTTTCGTCGAGGTACAGATATTCAGACCTGTTCCTGATTGAACGACAACTAACGAACACCTTCCAGGAATTGATCAGGACGAATTTATCTTACAGGACGATAATGCATTAGACCACGACTCTGCTTTAGGCAGCACCTCCCCCTCAGAGGCTGACGATCCCCTACGAGACTTCACCGAGTGCGGCCAAAGACGAGCGGATAGCGAAGCCCGCCGCAGATGGCACTATGCGTGCACCGTAGAAGGATGTTCACAACGTTTCAATCGTCCCTGTCGTCTGGAGGCACACATGAGGAGTCATAACAATGAGCGTCCGTTTGCTTGCGATATGGATGGTTGCAACAAGACATTCCCGAGGAAAGACCATTTGAATCGACACATGAAGAGTGCCCATACGGAGGTGGAACGGAATTACATCTGTGATTGGGAGGGTTGTGGGAAGACATTCACGTCGAGCAGTCGATTGCAGCGCCACAAAGACGTCCATGAGACTAAGTTCTATTGTACAGAGTACCCGCCGTGCAAGGAAATTTTCAGGAAAGCGAAAACACTGGAAGCACACATCAAAACGAAGCACCTCCAAACCGCACCATTCGTTTGCGATTTTGTCGATGAACAATCGGGCCAACGTTGCAGCAACGGGTACCAGACGGAACAAGCCTTGCGGAGACATCAACACAAGAAGCATGGTGCAGAAGGTCAAGAATCCATGTTCTTCTGCATGATGTGCCCAGCACCTGGCAGTGAATTCGAGACCGTGGAAACGGAGACAGGAACTGTGCAGATCGCAACGGAGCCCCTCCCCTTCCCAAAATATGAGGACCTGGTCACACACAACCGCGAATTCCATCCTCCCATTTGCACCGACTGCGGCTTCATGTGCGCGGACCAACAAACCCTGAAGCACCACTTCCAAACCGCACACAAGGCTCTAGAAGACCAGGCACAATACCCATGCCCCAGAGAAGGCTGCACTCGCGTCTTCAACCGCAACAGCAATCTCAACGCGCACATTCGCACCGTCCACGAGCAACAAAAGCGATTCTTCTGCGACCCCTCCTTCTTCACCGAATCCAAGCACGAAGACCTCAAGAACTGGGACGGCGCAAACGCATGCGGCGTCCCCTACTCCGCCAAATCCTCTCTCGAACAACACATCCGCACCCACCACCTCGGCCTCGAGAACCGCAAGACCCTCCGCAAGAACGCCAAAACCAAGCACCAACCGCGCGTCCAGAAGAAACCCGAACCCTCCGCGCTCCGCCTCCTCACGGGCTTCGGCTACGACGGCGGCCGCGACGTCCCTTGCTTGGTCCCAGGCTGCTCCTTCCGCTTCTTCATGGACCGCGACCTCAAGCGACATCTCCGCAGCGCAGAGCACAATCTCTCCGATGCAGAGGTAGAGGAAATGATTCGCGAGCGCGATGCCCTCACCGGCGGGGAGTTCTGGATCGGAGGTCTCGACCAGGAGCCGCTTTTCGAATCCACGGACCCCAGCGTCCCGCAGACGCCGAACCCATTCCAGGATATCGATGCGTTTACTCACGCAGCGTTCGACGACCAGTACGATGCCATTGACCCGGCTTTGGACACCATCGGCGGTCTTAAAGATCTCGTGTTCGACGAAGATGCCGCACTGGACGAGGACATGGGGTTGAGTGTGCCCGCGTTTGACGTGCATGAGGGAATTTAAAAACGAGCTATGCAGGTGGATGTTGGTTTTATGGATTTGATGTATCACTGACATATTTGTTATGCAGCGCTTTTGGATAGACCTGTGGAGCGTCAAGATAATGAGCCATGTACTGCCATAAAAAGTACGATGATGTAAAAGCTAGATACCCACTGCTTCATAAAAACACACAATACTATCACTATAGTAGCACACTCCACACCTTTGTGATGTTTGAAAGCCACTGTGCCGTGAACGTTGCCTCTATTATCGTATCAAGCAACAGTTGTGCGCAAGAGTCACTGGAGACGATGCAACATGGAGAGAAAAAAGCTGTATGCCTATCAAAGGAAATACCAATACAACTATAAAACCCTATGACGATGAAACAAATCAAGTACGCCCGCTAACAATGCGCACACAAATTCATGGGAAACAAACTAACCCCTTCTACTCTAACCATATCCAATCGATATGCAAAATAGGTCCAATCTGTCTAATAATGCAGAAACCATGCCGCGAACATGCTGCGAGCCAGTTAACCATCTAGCCAAGAATGTCTCTCCCGAGACCCAATCCGACACCTGCATCGCCGCCTTCAGCTTCTGTCTCGCCGCCCTCGTCATCGCCGAACATGTCGCGATCGTCGGCACCTTCGGCTCCGGGCTGGGCGTCCCTGTGCTGAGAGGGATATGCGTTTAATTTGGGATCACCGTATCTCTTAGACGTGGAGTCCTCGGGGTCTGAATCATCGTCGTCATCGACGAACACCCTGCTTTGTCGCCGGAGTTCTTTCAGGAAGGAGCCTGTGCGGTGTTGTGTGGAGAGATGGCCGCTTTGGTCATATAAGTCTCGCACTGCTTGGTCCCGCGGATTGCGGAATTCGAACATGCTGTTGGGTCTGTCGTGGGAGTGGAGAGATGTCTGAGGTAGATCTCTGGGGCGAGGAGGGTTGGGGTTCTGGGCGTCCTGTGGGGATAACGATGACCACCAGCCAGAAATCCTTTTGCTTAGGGAAGGACTATCAGGTGCTGCTGGTGCTTTTGAAGGCTGCACGTCTGCTTTCAGTCGGGCCGGCTTCTTGGATGTGGTGAATGTAAATCCAAGTGGAAGGTCCACTGGTGATCCAGGTCCGCTTGTAACAGAGTCCGAATCCGATAGTGCATATGTTTTCCCGTTTCCATCCGGACCATCACTCTTAGTGCGCTTGAGAAGTTTGTGGATATCGTCTTCAGAAAGGACAGTCGTCAGGTCGCCATCCTTGAAGCCTCGTGGTCGGTATTGGCGACGTCCTTGTTGGATCAAGTGCTCTAATTTCGCGCGGTTCGCAATAAATTTTAGTTTTGGGAAGGCGGATTGTTGACCGACATGTATCATTCGAGAAAGACGCTGTGGTGATGGATCCGACAATATATGCCAAAAATCTGATGGTACCGACTTTGGCCAAATGGTGATTGTTCCGCTGAAGCGTTGCAGCCAAATCTCACTCCAATCCTGCCCCATCGGTCTAGGCAGGAGCTCCAAGTGCCGAAGTACTTTTAGCCATTTGTTGAGATCGAGTTTGATGTATTGTTCGATTGCGCTCCCTAGGAAACCGCCGCGCCATCCGCGCCCACGTCGATGCGTAACTGGTCGGCCAACACTTCCACGAGAGCTGAAAAAGAATAGATTGATATGCGGATTTACTTGACTGACAATGGAAAACCTCACGTTGAAGTGAAGGTTAAGAGCTTTTAGTGGAATATCAGTACGGAGGCTTCCATCCTTCCATTTGTGGCCAAATGAGTATGGTACGAGTGTGCCGTCTTTCGTCTTCTTCATCAGAACAACTGGATTGAGAATGCCGGGGACTGCAGCGGACGCAAGTACTGCAGACCAGATCACACAGTCAGGTGAAGTAAGGTAGTTCGCAAGGATCGTTGGGGAGTGCGGATCTGATGGCACACATGACACATTGAGGATGCGACCGGTACGCTCATATGCTTCCCGAAAGGTCATGCTTCCTCTTGTAAACCATCCACACCTTCTTGCCCAGTCTACACTGTCGAACCTTGCGCCGGTCTGCCACCAACGCTTGAACCAAGTCAGAGTGTCGTCATGGGCGGCGGTAATGCGGTGGGCGAGTGCGGGGACCAAAAGATTCTTCAGCTCATCGTCTGTTCGCGTGCCCAGTAACGCGGCAACAAGAGCGCCCCCAGATGTACCGGTGATAACTTCCGGCATGAGCCCAGCATCAAGAAGTGCTTTGGCTACTCCGAAGTGATAGTACGCAAAAGTAGCGCCACCAGAGAGGCACAAAGCGGTACGGCCAAAGTTGGTACTGATGTGTTTGAACAAAGCCCGCTTCGTATCTGCACTCAGTAGTTTGGTACGAGAGAGAAATGAGATAGAAAGCTCCAGCTCATCGACGAACTTCTGTACCAAATTCTTTGTGCCGTAGTATGTTTCGCTATACAGTCGAGGATTCTCAAAGCCGACGAAGTTGTTCTTTACGCACGCTTCGACTAGGCCGCGGAGTTCTTCGATCGTTCTCTGCGTCTCGGGATCTCCTGAAGCCGCATTCTCGCCACTTTCGGCCTTCTGCCTCAACCTAACCATCTGATCGTGGGCTCTGCGAACCGTCTTGCTATCATAGTACGCATAGTCGTCCACCTCTTTCCATGAATCATTACCCAAGTGTGTATCCAACTCCTTCGCTCCCGCTACCCATTGTTCGTAGGATACAGCACTCTGCAATTGCTTCCGTAGCCTCTGCCTGGTGCCCCTCCATGTAATCCAATGCTCGTAAAGGTAGATGTAAAGACGTGTCAAGCCGTACGATATGCTCAAGAACAGTAGCCAGCCAAAAACAAGTACGAGTAACGGCCACTTCAGGAGAACGTATACGAATCCTTCTCGTGTCTCATCCTTTCCACGCCGTGGTGGCTTCTTGTTTCGCTTTCGCCGCCGGACTCGCTGATGAATTGGTCTCCAGTCATTCAGCGCCGTTATGAATGGAGGGGGCTCGGCTTGTGGCGAGGTAAGGTCTTCGGTCGATGGGGAATGTTCAGGTACGGCAAGCGCGCGTGAGAATTCAGTGACATCCTCCTCTCTGATAAAGTCGTTGTCGAAATCGGGAAGAAGGGTCAAGTCGAAAGCACGATCCGAGTACGGCGTTGGGCCGTCGGTCTCTTTTTTTATATCAGCCATGGGCTCAGTGTTGCGATATGATAATATGCATGTTTATGGGTGTTGAGTGTTTGGTGTTTGGTGTTTGCTTTCACATGCAGTCGACGCCCCTCAAGATGTTGAGGTATCGGCTGGGCTCCCTGGAACGTGTGATGTCACAGGGACCACAAGAGTCCCGTGCGTCGTCGTTCTTCACGCGATCGGGCGTGATCCACATATTTTTTACTACTCGTACTCTAGAACAATCACCCAATTGAATGTTTTCCATTTTAGTCGCAGCTTGCACTCGACACGCTTCTTCGTGATATGATCACTTATCCATCAGCGTTGAGTGCAGCTCGCGCGCATGTGAAGCTGCGGTCTTCATACTTATACTTCACCCGACGATGCCATCTTACCCTTGCAATCGAGACCTCATGCGATGATACATCCGTGGCTCTATTAGATAAAAGACAATTATCTAATGGCAAAGTAGGAGCAAAACTCCTTTTCCATAAGAAAGTGACATCAAATAACACCGAATATCATGGAGTCCATCCCCTAGTCTCTCACCGTTCGCACCAAGAGAATTTAGCAGACTTGGTCAACGAGGCAGCTCAGCACCTGCCATCAGGTATCGTTCCGGACTTGATTTGCGTCACGCGAGGTCCTGGAATGCGCTCGAACCTTTCCACTGGTATCGACACCGCAAAAGGATTAGCTGTCGCATGGCAGGTACGCGATTAGAATCCACGGAGCGATCGACTGATCTGACGTTTCCCAGAGACCGTTCCTTGGTGTACATCATATGCAGGCTCACGCTTTGACTCCAAGACTTGTTGCAGCATTGCAGAATGCTCAAGAGGCAAACACTCTAGGCTCTAGCGAAGACGTAACTGCTCAGACCTATGCCCAACAAAAGCCGGAGCCACAGTTTCCTTTCCTTTCCGTCCTCGCGTCTGGCGGTCACACTATACTCATACATTCTAGGTCCTTAGCGGACCACAGGATTCTGGGTAGTTCAAGCGACATAGCAATTGGACAATGTCTGGATAAAGTGGCTCGCGCTGTGCTCCCACCTGAGTTATTACGAAACGCTCGCACAACCATGTATGGAGCATTACTAGAAGAGTTCGCTTTCACGGAATTATCGGCAGGAAATACGAAGGGTTATGGAGCTCAATCAGAGAAGAGTATTGCAGCTAAACAACACGAGGCACAATACAGCCTTGAGGTTAACAATGCTGAGAACTATCGAGCAATCTACGAAACACGATATGCATATACTGTGCCTAAGAATGACGAAGTGGCAAGGGAACGGAATCTGACGAAATGGGGTTGGGCTTTTCATCAACCGCTTACAAAGGCTGGTGGTGGACTAAAGATCAAGTCCTTAGAGATGAGCTTTACCGGGTTAATGACTGCTGCAGAACGGGCCATTCATTTTCAGACAGATCCGAACACTCGAAAGCTCACCAAAGTAGAGAGGTCGCCCGAAGACGTCAGTGTGGAGGAGAGGAAGAGCATGGCGTATGAAGCCATGCGGGCTGCATTTGAACATGTATCAAACCGCGCTGTTCTGGCTCTGCAACGAGCAGAAGAGCCACTTTCGACCATAGTCCTCTCCGGAGGGGTTGCAGCTAACTCCTTTTTCAGATATATGTACGCTTTACGCTTCTTACCGAGACTTTGTACTGATATCCCTCCAGTCTAGCAAGCACACTCTGCGCCCAGAACCTTCCGGACACCAGGCTTGTATTCCCTCCCCCAGCTCTCTGCACAGATAATGCAGCAATGATTGCCTGGGCCGGTCTGGAGATGTTCGAAGCGGGGCACATAGACTCGCGAAAGATTAGGGCTCTTCGAAAGTGGCCACTTGACCAGATCCTTACGCCATCGCAAGACGATTAGCCTAGGTGCACCCTCTTTCATGAATGCGCACTCTTTCTTCGTGCGAACTGTCGTACCGTTGACCGTGGCGTCAGCAGGGACAAGGCGTGAGCACACGCGAAGCACCAAAACGTTTATATGGCCGCTTCTATGCATACATATACCGGGACTATACTCAACGTGGAGACAAGTCCACAAGCCAGGAAACATTCGTACATGCCCCATCAAGGTCTAAACATAGATTTCATCAACGCTACATCAGCCTGTACCGGGTACTTTAAATTGCTCGGCATCGACAACAATTGCCAAGCTGCCTCTCTAGAAATTGTAGTGCCGACTGAAGAACGCTATCACTTGCGAGTACTGCATAAAAATCGAACACAACCAGGCATTGGCTTGAAGCTTAAAGAGTAGTATACTCAGTTAATATAGCAGGATCAGGTGAGTGCAAGTCATTGCATTCTAGACATGGAAACGAACACAACGGACTGTACAGAATTGCCTGCGTAGGCCTAGGCAATACGGCAAAGCTTCACCAAGTCGCTGGCAGATTGCAGCTTTTCACAACATCGATCTCAACAAGTGGTGCGATGGCGACACGCAAGTATTCGATTCTGAATGTTCGAATTGAGGGCTAGTTCCATGCTCCCCCGCGTATATGCAAGGGCTAGGCCTCAATATAAGCTTCTTAACCCTGCGCCCAATCTGGTGTCGCTCGGTTGTTGCCGGATCCCCCTTGCGATCACATCAAATATACTTCAATATGTACATACAACCTGCACTTTAAATTTCTATTTCATTTCCCAGCCTCGCCAAATCGCCTTCATCCTACTATACCATTTGTTGCCGAGTTACTAATTTTAGGTGCCACAACCATGCTGTCGACAGATTACTGGCCTCAATGGAAATATAGAGTTGGACGTTTTGGTACTTCAGCAGACCTAGAACCAGGGACGAAGGGCGCGGCCCGTTAGTACAGACGTTGCGTATCAGACACGTGAGAAATGGGCAATCGATAGAGCCTAGGATTATCAGAATTTCGTATCTTTCATTTATCGCATAGTGCTCGTCGGGTAGAGCACTAGGTGACCAGGATCTTGGGGACATCTTTAAATGCTATGGAATGCTCCTGGAAAGCTCGACACCCTTACATCGTCACTTCAACTTGTTTGAGTCAACGAACACAGGCGATCTTGTGGTCACGATGGCACCTTCGCAGAAAAATATGCTGGCCTTACTAGGTCTTGTCGCCAGGTGAGTATTTCGAGTGCACCTAGAGAAAAGTATGCTAACGTAGTGATAGTGTTTATGCCATTCCGGCACCTCTGCCTCAGAGTGACCAGATCGGCATTGGCAAACCTAGCTACTCGATCTCGTGGGACATATCACCAGAGCCAACTGCGAATCCAGAAGACCCCAACGAGCCTGGCTATCCTGCGCCGATTCCGCAGCCAACTAACCAAATTTCTCTTGGTACCCCTTCTGGTTGGATTTCATGGGCAACAGAAGCCCCTGAACCGACTAGTGGTCCCAAAGATCCCGTCATTCCGGGTCCCAAGCCGCCGCAGTCCAACGACATTACCTTGAACCCACCTTCGTACTCAATATCGTGGGAGACTCCCATTCCACAGCCTACTGAAGATCCTGATGAGGAGGACCCCGAAGAGACAGAGAAGCCATGGCCAAAGCCAACCAAAAAGCCTGGTTGGGGCTGGCCGGGAAAGCCTCCAAAGCCCACTAAGACACGACAGAGCGTGACGTGGGCGACTAGACGTCCTTCAAATACAGGCGGAGTATCTTGGGGCTACAGGCGACAGGCCGAGCCAACCGATGTTCCAGAGCCCGAAGACCCAGAGTTCCCCGAGGACCCAGAGTTTCCTGAGGATCCTGAATTTCCAGAAGATCCTGATTTCCCCGAACAGCCCGGTGTTCCTGGCTTCCCTGGCTTTCCTGGCTTCCCAGTTCCAACCCCACCAAATTCTATCGGTATTCAGCCACCCAGGGTGAGCTTCTCTTGGGGTAAGAGGGACGAGCCCGAACCGACAGAGGGGCCTACTGATATCCCAGAACCTCCCATTTTCACTCCACCTAGCGAGTTCACTTTGGCTCCCCCTCAACCCTCTATCTCATGGGCTAAAGAGAAGAGGATTCCCCAGACCAACAGCTATGGGTTCGAGTTCACTAGGCTGATTCCCACTTACACTCTGGATAATCCCAAAGCCACCGCTTCCGTGATCTGGGGCAAGCGTCAAGAAGATGAAGAGCTACCTGGCGATGGCGACGATGATTTCCCCCTTCCGCCGATCTTTCCTACACCTACAAATGAGATCTCACAAGGAAAGCCCAGCGCCACGATCATCTGGGGAAAGAGAGATGCAAAGGCAGAGCCTCAAACCAACACTATCGGCCTGGGATTCCCCGGCAAGCCTTCCTTCACATTCGAGCGTCCGAAGCCCCCGCGCAAGACCGAGACGCCGTATATCTCCTGGGGAAAAAGGGAGGCTGCCCCGCAGACAAACGTAATTGGAATCAACCCACCTGTACCCACCATCATTTGGAGCAAGGAGAAACGAGAGGCAGATGCTGAAGCTGAAGCAGCACCGCAGTAAGTTAGATCTTGTAGTCTATTTATAGTCTGTTGGGATGGTAAATTTACAGTCTGTTATTGTAGAGGTAGGGTGGTCTCTGTAGCTAGTGTCGTTCAATAAGACGTCTTCATCTTCTACTGTCGTGACATCTCACTGACCAAATGGTGACATAGACAAAGCAATGACATTGGAATCATAAAGCCCTCCAGCGGGATAATATGGGGCAAAGAGCGACGTGACGCGGAACCTGAAGCACAAGCACCATCTTTCAGTCTGATTTGGCCGACTAACCTGCCAAAACCTACTTGGGACCCGGCATACCCTCCCTGGGTTCCCAAGCCCAGCCAGCCCTCCGTCAGCTGGGGAAAGAGAGACGCCGCCCCAGAGCCCACAGCAGCAGCCCTCCTCGCCGACCGTGAACTCTCCCCCAACCCCTGCACCGCAACGACAACAGTCGTGAAGGACAGGACGTGCCCCCAGATCCGCTGCACGAAGGACTGTCCCGCCGTATTCCCCGCAAAGGGGGACTACGACCTAACAATTCCCGGCTTCGACCCTGATGAGGGCGAGCAAGAATGCCCCGCCACCGTCATCGCCGTCCAGAAATGCCCCTACTGCTCGTGCCCTCCGTCTTCACTGCCAACACTCCGACCTACATCCGACCTCCTCCCCCCTGTCACGCCTCCCATCATCTGGCCAACGGGTGTGAAAACTACCATCATTCGTACAGTAACGACAAACCTACCTACCCCCATCCCAACTTCCTCACAATGCCCCCACACGGCAACCGTCACCATGATCCCCGTCTGCATCCCACCTGTCTGTCCCCACTCCTCGGACACCCCCTGCGACTTCAATATCCCCATCCCCAAACTCGAAAGAGTCGTAAGGAAGGGTGAGGTCGTTGAGAAAACGGTCATCATTACTAAGACGGTGCAGAAGCCGACGCCGACGGTGACGAAGAGTTGCGGGAAGACGGTTACGAAGACGGAGTATGGGTCTTGTCCCACATTTACTTGCGTGCCGGGTTGGAGCTGTGATGCGGCTCAGGTTGTTAGGTGAGGTGGGCGGATGTGGAAGATGATGGGTTGGAAGTGAGGTTTGTTTGGTAAAGGGGGGTTTTTCTTTTGGGTATGAAGGGGGAGCGTGGAGGTTATTCAAAATTCGTAGGTATCAAAGTAGATTGAAAAGTTATTGAAAATTTGAAAACTACATAGCCGGTTCGATATGTTGTGACACACTCTTTCTGTGTGAGATTCATTAGACATTGGTTCATCAGCTATCGGCAGGAATTGAGGTTTTTGTGTCTGGCCATCTCTGTATTGTTGCTATTTTAAGGATACGGTTCAAAAAGAAAAACATTATTACAGACTTCCGGGGTAATGAGATCATGCATACTAGTGAAAGGCTACGTGAGGGTTCGTATTGCCTGTAGGGGGACGTGAGAACAGGGGGTAAGGGTGTGGAATTATATAGCCTACAGGTAAACAACGCATTAAAAGTCAATCGCAATGGAAGGGTGACAAAACGCTAAACTCCGAAAGTTTTGGTCAAGACAGGAAGCCAGCCATTTTTCCAGGATATGAAGGGTTTCTCGGGCCTAGAACAATGGTATGAAGTGATCCATAGATGATGCAGGAATAACAAGAAAGGCGACATGGATCATCAGCCCACGATGCTTTACTTGGCCGGTGTTGCGCTGCGTCGTTCAAGCTTTTTCGGTTTCTTCTTCGCCTTTGGTGCCTCCTCGCCTGTGGTCTGCGCTGCTGGTTTATCGATGTTCTTGGGTACATCATTGGAAGCTTCTGCTGCACTATCACGTCTAGCTGCAGGCTTCTTCACGTTGGAGAACTTAGCCGGGCCGCCACGGGGTGTAGGCAGTGGCTTCGGCTTGTCTTCAACGTCCGCATCTTCTTTCTTTGGGGTCTCTTCCTGCTTTGCGGGAGTCTCTTCCTTCTTCGGGGAAATCTTCTTAGGTTTTGATTTCTTGACTTCAGGTGCAGAGGTTTCCGCCTTCTCCTCACTCGCCTCCTCGACCATGAAATTGGCGGCCATGCATCTGCCACCATTCTGCGACCCAATCTCCATAGGACAAGCACTCATAACGATAACTATATCCCGCTCGGCGCGGAAGCGCACAAAGCTTCGCTTCTTGCTCTTCGGCTCCTCAACCTTGAGTTCCGCACCCCTGGCACCGGAGCCGTCACCCTGGGAGCTCTCCTTGATTTCGATGGGCGCATTCATGAATAAGTGGAGCGGTGTTGGCGCAATGTTTACTGTAATGTCGGCCCCGACTGCTTTCGTGCCTTGTAGTCCGGCTTTCCCATTGAGCTCTTTGAGGGCTAGGACAAGATTGACTGCGCAGGAACCGTGTTCTTCTGGCTTCTCTACCCCTATGGCGGCATAGAGACTGGCGTCACACGCAGCAGTCAGAGTATCGTGAGCTCCTGGTGTCGTATCCTCAACCAGAGTCATGATTGGAGTGCGGAGATTGGTCAGGAGGGTATCGCCAACTTCGGGAACAAGCCGGTGCGTGGCGGCACGTGTATGAGGGAGGGATAGATATTCCATCGGAGGCTGATCTGCCTTGTTGGGATTTAACTTTGTATAAGCACTGTAGGCTGCGTATAGGGAAGATGCGGTCCCCGAACCAGTAGCAGCTGCAGTATATGTATCAGTATGTGAAACCTATTCCATATCGAAAGCCATAATGCTCACCTGCAATACCTCCGGCCCCAACAGGCGTTTTGGAGAAGTCATACAATTGCTCTGCGTAGCTCTTGTTCGGATCACGGTTGTGACTGGCCTGGAACGCACTGACAACGCCTTTGGAATCGGGAAGCTGGACGTTCGGAACGTAACTCGAGAAGCTCTGTCCAGTAGGGAGATACGATGACCACTTCTTGCTGGTAGCCTCATTCTGGGCCTTCTCAGCCTCTTTGTCGACTTGCGATCCCTTCTCTGTCGCAGCAGCACCGCCTTTGTTGCGGTACGGAATCGACGGAAGATATGATGACCATGTTCTCTTCTCGGTCTTCTTCTCTTGCGTTGTTTCGGTTGTTTTCTCATTCTCGGGCGTGTCTGGTGCCTGCTCGGGAGGATCATCATTGTCGTCAGAAGAAGTGTGCTTCTGTTCAGGCTCGGCTGCGCTGGATGCTTCTCCGTCATCTTCTTCCTTCGCCTTGCCCTTCTCTTTGCTACTCAGATTCTGTGATTGATCTTCGTTTCCCCATTCCTCCTTCAACTCCTTCGTCTTCTCTTCAATATCATCTTCGATCTCTTCGCCTTTGTCCTCATCATCTTCCGGTGGAGCATTTAAGCCAAACGCCCAAGTGCTAACCACCTGTTTTCCATACGTATTTATGATCTTTATAGTCCTGCCGCGGGGTACGAAAGTAGCCACGCCATGGCGCGCCGGGATCGTTTGCAGCTCGCCAGACATATCTTGCTTCGATACCTCCTCTCCTGGGCTATTTCCCTTCTTCCGTTGGTTCTCGATGGCGGAGATGACGGATAGTAGGGCGAGCGACGCAACGGCGCGGCGGGAGGGGACCTTGAATGACGACGTGTTGGGCAGGCTGGACTTTTCGTTTCGTATCACGATGTAGATTTTGTTTTTTGAGGGAGGAAGCAAGTTGTAGTCGAGTAGTCAAGGCGAGTCACCTTTCGGGAAAAGAATGATTCACGCAAGGATAAGATCACCGATACGCGATTGAGTAAATGCAAGATGGGTCTTAAGTATACATGTATTATTGAAGGTGGGGATATAAGGATACTGCAAGATTTCTTGTAATCGAGGTGTGACGTATTTGGCGAGGGCGTGTGTGGCTGGAGCGGTCCACGGTTTTCCGTGCAGCCAACGGCTTTCCTGTCCACATATTGTTCCCATGAGTGGGCGGCTCTTTAGCGTTTGTTTTACACGGGAACCAGGGACCGGTCTAGTAGATGGGGGCAATGATGGTGATGGTGGAGATTGGTACTCGGATCTTCGTGGCGTCATCGTCCAGCTATATTCCCTGTTTTGGACATAGGGCCGTAGTCCTACTCCCACCCAATCATGTATGACCTCTTCGCCGCCAACAACAACATTCGACCATCACCACCTAACCAAACCATGCTTTGATTTCTTGAGAAAAAAGTTCCGAATTTTTGAAGCAATGAGATAGTGGCGTCGGACATGCTCATCAGAAAATGAAGAGAAGTCATCGTTCTAGTCGGACCCTGGGTCTGGCTCGTTCTCAACAATAGCTTCGCCGTCGTCTTCCCAAGCCATGTCCTTGGTCATTGTCATGGATTTACCGGTCAAGACGTCCAATGATCGTAACTCGAGATTTGGAAGCGTATGGGTCAAGATTCTTACGATTTTGGGAGACTCCATGCAGGCTACAAGAGCTTTTGCTTGGTCTTCGATATCCGCCATCAATTGAACAGTTCCCCCTCCTGCAACGTCGCATGGTGTGGAGTGTGCCGCCGACGTGATCAAGGGTGACTCATTGGACAGGCTAAGGTTGATGAGTACCTCTTTTAACAGTGACTTGGTATCATGGCGACTGGGGGTCAAAACACCAGCGCAGATGCTGCGCATACGTAGTTTGAGACGACTTAGGGTTGGGAGAAGGGCACTGATACTCGTACAAATGTGGGGGTCATCGCCATCCTCGTCTCGTGGGACCAGGAGCGTGCCACAAAGATCCAGCTCCAGGACAGACAAATGCTCAGCCATCAGTAGGGTTCGTACCGTGGAGAGGAAGAGATAATCGCGGCGGGGCCGAAGATGGAAATGAGGATGGCGTTCGCTCCAAGCCCGGATATGCAGTCCTCGAAATTTCCAAGACTGTTCAGCTGTCATGTATAGTTGAGTTAGGTCGTGATTCAAGACTGTCGTCCATACAGCGAGTATCGGCTTTGTTGAGGTCATATCCGAATAATATAAATCCTGCGGGTCACTCGGAGATCCTGGCAAATACTCGTAGTTCCAGTCTTCAAATCCCTTCAGATCAATATCCAGAAACTCCAAATTGTCTTTGACTAGAGACAGGTTCCTATCTACAAATTGAGAAGACAGCAAACGTCGCAGTGTCTTTTGACAAAGTCGGAGGTGCTTGAAGTATGCAGAACAAGCAACGCTGAACCAATATTTGCAGATTATGAGGCGTTCCAAGTCCTCAGCGAAGAATGATGAGCCTACATAATCCATGACCTGTATTAACAGCTCTGGAGGTAATTGTAGGAGTGACATATTGGAGTGTGTTTGAGACGAGACGATAGGCGAAATCTGCGAATAGGGCAAACTAGATCAGAAGATATGGGCACAACGCGGGGAGATCGGGGAAAGAAACAGAATTGTCGAACTGATAGTTGATATGGGCTGAAAGACTTTGCTGTGAACCGGAGAACTGCATGGGAGTTTGCTTGGACTGGGCGACCAGGTCCGTGCACAGGACAGACAGGTACGTGTCAGCGCAGCAACACAGCTGTGGCACAGCAGTAAGAGGTACAGGGAGGGTGGGAGGAGATACTTAGAGGTCGACGAAATCCAGATTTTCGACTTTGAACCCTCCACGGACCAGCCATTGGGATATCCGTACGTCTTTCTAAAGCTTGGGCGGCCGTACCCTTGATGACATCCTAGCGAGAGCAGTACCCCCTCAGTATCGTATCAAAGTAGCAAACAATATGCAAACGGCTTCGTGTAACTCGAAAATTTGACGTTCGATAGTATTAGACAACTATGGTGTTAACATGCCAACGTTTAGGTATCTAGCAAAATAAGAAAAAAGACAAGAAAGACTCATGCTAAAGGCACTACAACCCTAGAATAAAAATATAATCTTTAAGTGATGGGGGGCGTTGTTGACGAGACTATCTAACCACAAGGTTTAGTTCCAATTATTCTCAATCTTTATGGGTGGGGGAAAAGAGCTTGAATCTATGCTCATATGTCGTCTTGAATGCTTGCGCACTGCTTTCAAACAGACTCAGCGATTGGTTCACTGAAGGCCACCACGACCATTCCACCTACTATCATGCCTCTCTGGTGAGCATGAATCAAACGGATGGTCGAGGGTGTTGAGATTGTTGCATTCTATCAGACAAAGTCAGCATCGATAACAATCGCATAGCTACCTATATATTCAGAAAGGGGGGGGAACAATAACAAAAAGTCGATGACTTACCATGAACAGTTGGGAGTGCCGTAGTAGATGCAATCCGGATTGGTGCAATTGAGATCTTCGTCTGCAACGCTACCACATTCCTCGCATGTGGGCCATGTTGTCGGTCCGTTTGTGTGATGAACTGTGTCCGTTGGATTGATGGGCAAGTGCTTGTGATGAACGATGTATCTTGGATCGGCCGTCGGATGCGTGTGATGAATGTCGTATCTCGGATGCGTTGTTTGCTTGGGGCCATGAACGGCACTGGGGTTGTGAGTGAATGAAGCCATTTTCGCGAAAGGTGAATACCGTGGAGTGATTTCGAGTTGCAAGTGGACGGTCTCCAGCAAGGGGCAGACTTTGGTTGTGGAAATTGGTTTGTGAATTTGCCTTGTCACTTGGATGGCATGGAGTATACGTCCTTATGTGCTCGAAAACGTCAGAGCAAAGCCAAGAATCACCTGTCGTGAGTACTCATATAATCTCATTAGATTTCCATAATATTACCGATACTGAAGATCAGAGGCTAGATCAGGCATTGCCTCGTGACCATACACATAATTATACTTCTCACATATCGAACAGACTGCCTCCAGCCGTTTTAAAAGAGATGGATCGATTGGCGATGAAATTATCAGGAGTTACAGAGGGAAATCATCCAAAGAAGGTGACAGGAGCAATATCACTATGGGATACCCAATAGTTTCGACAGTGCAGCTGAAAATGGTCACACTTTTGACCACGTCCTAGGGTTTTTGATTAAGCCGTATTTGAGCATAGAGGGTAGTACTATCAGAGAAGCAAATGGATAGGGGGTCATAATCGCCGAAAGATCGATCTTTTTATGACAGCTTAACCTACAAGCGAACACAGCGATCTAGCGGAGAGTCAAAGGCTTCATTATCTAGATTATGATATTTGAGATAAACTGCTCGACAATAGACAAGCAATCTGAAGATCTCTGGTGTGACGTGTTCCATTTATTTGACATTTTTGCTTCACTTCTTCTCGAGGTGAATCTAGCCTCGCAGGCTGCAATGGTTACATTCATTCACGTTGGCCACTACTTTGCCCTAATCCAAGCCAGTGACCATTCAAATCTCGCTATATTACGATAAAGTACCTGTTATTATGCTATGACTTGAACGCTTGCAATATTTCTTCTGAATTGTAAGCATGCTGATCTACTATCCACTTACCTTCGCATTGACGAGCCTCCATGATCTTCTTCTTCGTACCGCCATGCACCGACGATCGAAGACTCTTCGCTATACCAGCGCTCGTGTACCCAAAGACTCCGAACATACCTGCTCCAGGCTTCGCAACCAAGTTCACGGCGCCCTTTCCAAAACCCTTCACAGCTCCCAGTGAACCCTCCTTCTTAGCCCCCTTGTAAGGCATCACAACTAGATCCGATATACCGTCAACAAATCCCCAAGCGAACGTCTTGCCAGCGACTGAAAGCCCAGATTTCCAATCTTTCACTTTGCCGTTATCGCGCACTTCTCCGCCGTACATCTGCGGCATATTGTGTAGGCCATCTGTGATCGCTAGCGGTATGTCGACGAGCATGCCCTTGGTCGCGACGGGGACTATGCCTCCAATGCTTTTTGCGGATGCTTTCAATGCGGTGCCGGTGCGTGATGGTCGGTCTGACGATGTTGGTTTCGAGTTTGCGCTATCGGCAGAATGTATAGATGTGCGAGAGCTGTGCATGGATGGTTGTGAATGGTTTTGCGATGTATCCGATGCTGCTGCTGCTCCTTCACGCGCCCTTCGGCGCTGCTCGTACTGGACCCTTTCCACCGGTTTCGTGACCATCCCAGTGATGGATGTGGCCATGTCGTAAGAGGTTTTCCATACCGCGGAGGCTCCGCCGGAGATTGGGTCCCAACGGATGTTTTCGATGAAGATGGGCTTAGGTTCATATCTGCGTAATCGGATCAATCACTCGAAACTAATTCGTGCAAGGCGGTTAGAGACTTACATTGACATATGCTTGACCTCACTTGGATTGTTACTGACAACGGTGGCAGCAGCGACTTTGGATAACAACTTTGTCCGTTTCCCTTTTTTCCATGCCCACGCTGCTGGCAAGCGCGGGATTACATCGCACTTGAATCCCTCGCGTGGCAGGTTCCGGTGGAATGAATCTACCGCTGCAGCCACGCCGCTCTCAGTTCGCATTTGTTCAGCAATACGTAAAGCTGCGGTTTTTGCTTCCGAGGACAGGCAGTATTGAATCGCTTCCGCGAGGTTCTGAACATTTAGTAGCTTGTGGTGGATCGGAGGATGGCCAGCTCCTGCTGCGGCGACCATATTGCCCCAGAAGGGTTGGCTTTCCAGAGTTGTCAGTGACGTTTCCCAATGAATTTAAAGAATTCAATAGGCAAAAATTAAGGATAGCTGATGCAGGCACTTACTCGCCAAAGAAAGGGACGATAGTTGTGGGTTTACCAAAACGTAAACCGCATGCTGTCGTACCAGCACCACCATGATGGACAACTGCGGAGACATGCTGGAAAAGCCATTCATGTGGACAATCCCCAAGCATAAAGATGTTTTCATCATCAATGCCGCCCAGTTTAGACCATCCTTTTGAGATGATAGCTCGGGTGCCGACTTTTCGAACAGCCTCGACAAGAGTCTTGGTCATTGCAGCAGCATCGTCAAGTACTATACTGCCAAATCCAATATAGACAGGCGGCGGACCAGCACTCAGAAAGTCTGCGAGATCTTGCGGCGGCGTATATTGCGGCGGCTCTCGGAAAAAGAAACCACAAACGTCTGTTTCTTCTATCAATCAATGAACACTCCTTTCTTGAATCCTGACTTACCGATGTAAGATGGCCAATCCTTGGGTTTAGGAACAAGCGCGGGGGACCAGCAGTATGTGAAGGGTACTTTCAACATGCGTAATAAATCTGAACCTTCAAAGGTCTCTATCTCCTCAAGATCGAGTTCCAAGCGGAAGTCGTTGATGATGTCGCCCAACCTATATCCTTGTATTAGCGCTATATCTCGCATAATAAATTGAGTGCCTGGACTTCAGTACCCCTGCCATGTTAACCACTCGACTATGCTGTAGGATATATAGTTTGCAACATTCTCTCGTCCTTCTTGGCCTTTGATATTCGCTAGCGGGTGTGGGAACGCGGAGGTATTGGTCCAGGGCATCGTGAACATTAGGTGGACGGGGATTCCCAAAGCCTGCGCGCAGTGTACGTGCGCAAAGCTCGGAGGATTCGCTATTATGCAGTCTGCTGTGAATGGTTTCCTCGTATATAAGTCTTCGTGTATGCAGGATCTCCAGCAACCTTCTAACATCTCCTTAACCATGTCCCGTTTCTTGGTTATCTCGCCCGCCTGCAGGCTCTTTAGACTTGGGATCAACCCTGGGTTCTTAACCATATACGCCATCAACTCGGCCGGGTCGCCGCCTATGGGATAGAATTCCAACCCGGAGGACTGGACAAAGTCCTTGAAAACATCATGTGTAGCAAGTCGAACTCGGTGACCGTAGCGCTGAAGCTCGACTCCAAGCGCGATGAAAGGCTGCACGTCGCCCCGACTTCCTACCACATGTATGACAATGTTAAGCTGGATATCCCATGTCTTGGAGCCCTCTGCAGCTTCGTGGTACGGTGGTGGCAACTCCTTTGGCGTGTAAATCTTGCTCAGTGCTCGCGCAAGTTTGGAGTCCACATCGACATCAACTCTGCCATCCTCTAGAGCCAATGAGCTTTGAAAACCGCAAGACAGAGGTGAAATTACCTGTTACCACAAAGCCTGTCTTTTCCTGTCTTGAATCCAATGATGATCTCGCGTCGCGTATAGATTCTCCTGGAAGTTCTGCCGAGATTGGAGCTTCTGGTGTCCGGGAGCCCTTCATCATGTAGTCGGGAGTAGAGTTCTACTCAACTGATGGTATTCTGTAGGAGGGACTGCCGATTCGTGTGCAGATTGCAGCAGGTCCGAGGGGATTTAAGACCTTCATGGAAGGCTATGTTTTCGCGACTGATGGTATATACAGTAGTCGCATTGCGCAAGTGCACTGCGCAAGTGCACTGTTAGCTTTCAGAATTGGCATGAAAGAGACGGGCGCCCCGTGCATGCTTTTGACTACTAAAGGAGATTTTACACAGCCCTATCGATATAAGTGGTGTTTCGAATGGTGTACCATTGTTGGATATTGGCCGATTGCGTATCTCGTATCGCGTATCTCGTACTGAATCGAACGAACTTAGTGGGTTTAGGTCTGTGCTATACATTCCTCATCGGAAGTGGCGCCGACTTTGGCGTTAAACCAGATACCCGTGAACTAGTGAGAAGATTTGATACACTACGAGTACGAGTAGTTATGTCTGGGGAGCACTTGAAAGGAAAATATTGATTATGAAAGTCCCACAAAAGACTTCGGCCATGCGATCCAAGGATCCCAGAATGGGCCCAAGCATTCGCTCGTCACGGCAACGATATTCTTCGCACAGCCTTGTGCCCACCAGAACCGATCAATTTGCTGGATCAGCGTGCCGAAGTAAGCAAACAGCACTAAAGCAATGGGTTGCCGCTGGCGCTGTAGCTTCAAGTAGCCCTCGGGCACCATGAACAGCCAAATGAAGGGAGTCGACCAACCTTGATTATAACTAGGCTCTTGGGCACCACTTTCTGGATTGTATACTGTAGCCTGGAAATGCTTAACCCAAGCACTGCCTTTACGCAACTTTTGTAGCGTTTCTTCGTAGATTTGGTGATTATTATCATCCTTCCATAGTTGTCGAATGGCCAGCATTTGTTCATCGCCTACGCCAGGGTGCACGTCCGGGTCAAGATCATCCCAGTTACCAATATCAAGTAAGATTTCAAGTGGACCGGTTCGTATCTGATCGTAGACTGGACCTAGAATAGCCTCAAGACCTCGCACGAGTGGAATCCAGTCGGCACCTAGCACACGCGTTGCACGTGTGCCCATTGCACCTATGGCACCCACGGCACTGTCATCTGTAAACTCTTCGTAGAGTTCACCAAAAGTGACAAACGAGCAAAGAAATGCCAATATTGCCCCGACAAATAATGCATCTCCATGATCAAGGTCGGCCGCAGCGATCGCGTTTCTGAAGCCATTGAGTGATTGAGTATGATACATCGCCGCAACCTGCATATGCGCACGTCGATTCGGTGGATGTAGATACGCAATGTGCAGAGCTGACAGGCAAAGTAACCCTTGCATCACGAAATTGTGGCGGAAGCCAATATTTGGGAATGTCGACTGCCAAACGTGATCCATTTGTGGGGACTCCACAATGCTCCGACTTGTCGTCAGTGTCCAGTGATGCAAGAAAGCCAAGTCGTTAAGACCATAAAAATGGTCATTCGAATGAGAAAAATCAGCATTGAAATATGCATAATGCTCAGATGTCGGGGTCTGAACAGAGGCTTGCGACGGGGTCGGATGCGTGCTGTCTGAGTGAGGTGAGGGTCGCCGTGCTATTTTCCTTTCTGGATAGACACAATCCGCTTCGAGTCGAACGCAATGTGAGCATCGCGGCTTCTGTTCATCGCACTATACAAGTGAGCAGCGTGTTATGGGATTTGATGTTCTTGCGGGTTACTCTGCCCTTACCTTGATGCGCCGATGTTTACAAACGCCACAGCCGTTTCTCGACTTCTGATGTGGCTTTCGCTTTAGGCCCATCTGAAGATCGATACGCAATCCCTGGTGATATCAAGCCCTGTAATTGTGAGGCTCTGTGGCGAAGTCAGATACTAGACACTGTACCTGATAGGGACAGTCTGTGTACGTGCTGGGCGGATGGTTCTGCAGGGAACGGTAGAGAGGCATACGACAAACGAGATACGCGCAGACAGCCGGGAATTCACTGGCTTTTAAGGATTACTTGTAGTAATCTGGTACATACACGTAGTAGGCTCAAGGGGTCTTGTATGAGCTACTGATTGTGTGGGTCTTCTAGTTGCGGCACCTCCTCGCGCAAACTTCGTAGTTTGGCAGGTAGTTTGGAGCTAAACGAGATACGAGGTACGAGATACGAGATACGAATCATCTCCCTTCTGCTACTCGTAACAATCTACCCTTTGAGCAATAAGGGTCTACACCTGAAAATCTTGCTTTTGGCCGATTCAACTGCGATTCATAAATGTACTAGTTAAGATTATCATGTTCGGAATGAATATCTACAAGCTTGACCCCCCTGGTTTTGCAGTTCCTGTCGCTTCCAATTCTTCCATATCCTACAAGTGACCACACCCGCTCATCGAATCACATACAATGTCTTCAACCTACCACCCATCACTGGATGACCCAGACGCCTGGGTTCCATACCGTTACCATCCATCGCGACCTGCAGCGATAGTATCTCTCGTTGCGTTTAGTATCACGACATTTCTGCACTGTTACCAGGTCTGTCGAAGGCGAACATGGTACTTTATTCCATTAGTGATCGGAGGTTTCTGTATGTCACTCCAGGATTTAGCCACTCAATTGTTATACTGACACTTTGGACAACAGTCGAGATAGTGGGATTTATTGGCCGAATACTGTCGTCGAACGATCTCTGGGCTCTCGGTCCCTTTATAATGCAATCTTTGCTATTGCTGGTTGCTCCGGCTCTGTTTGCGGCTTCTGTCTATATTATCCTTGGACGAATCATCCTTCTCACAGACGCTGAGCGCTATTCTTTGGTTCGCCAAAAGTACCTTACCAAACTCTTCGTCACTGGCGACGTCATCAGCTTCTTAACGCAATGCTGCGGCGGTGGCATTCAAGCAGCAGGAAGCCTTGCCCTACTCCATGCCGGCGAGAAGATCATCATCGTGGGATTGTTTCTACAGATCTTCTTTTTCGGTTTCTTCATCGTCGTTGCTGGCCTCTTCAACTACCGCCTCTCACGCGCTGAGTCTTTCCATCCGATCAACGACCGAAACTCGACAGCCATTCCTACGCATGACCTGCCCTGGCGACGTCATCTATATACACTTTACGTCGTCTCAGCGCTTATCATGATCAGGAGCATTTTCCGCGTTGTTGAGTACCTACAAGGGAACAATGGCTATCTTCTGCGACACGAAATTTTCCTTTACATCTTCGACGCGCTATTGATGTTCATTGTCATGGCCATATTTAACTGGATCCATCCAGCGGAGGTAACAGATCTTCATCAAAAGCGAATTGCGGGTAATTTGTCAGGATATTCATTGGAAGATACTAGGAGTAGATACTTAGAAGACTCGGCCTAATAGCAGGACTATGTGAACATCGATACTTGGTGGTAAAGTCTAGGGAAGACCAGCATTTTTAGATAGCAAATAGAGATTGAAGACGATAGAACATAGCTGTCCTATCTTGCATACTCCTAAGTTGAAACCTCCTGTCTTGTGATCTCTCGAGAATTAGCATACTAAGTGAACCCTTGAAGCAGTGTTGCTCTCCTTTTACTGCATTTTGGTAGAAGGCACAGTAGATCTGGCATCTGATTCAATTAAGATAGCTCTGTGCCTGGATCTCAGATAAGGGTGAGCACACGCATTGAGATACACCACTACAGGAGGGTTACCTTGTTAGCTGTTTCGCCTACCGGCTTTGGGCACACTTCGAACTAGAATTAGCTTATTTATCGCTACCATAGCCGTTTGCAGCCTGTACAGGCACGTATTCCTCTTCGTATAAGCTATTATTCCTTACTAGTACCCTTTAATTCCCCTAGTCAATTTCTTTGATTGACATCAGAAAGACCTTGAATTTCACCTAATGGCCTTCGATGATGAAAGACCATTTACTCGCCCAGGAAAAGATGAACGCACGCACGTAACCACAGCCGCATATCCGCAAAGGCACGTGTATATCTTTTTGCAAGGACGATTTTTGGAGTTGGCGATGACTCGTCGAGCTTTGGCTGCGCATCAACTTCCCCATTTACCGTGAAGACCGGCGGATAGAATTGACCGCACTCTCTGCAAGGCTCTCATCTTCTCTCACCGACGTTCACTATCCCCAATGCTTCGTTCTCTTGATTGTGCAAGGCGTATTTCGTAGGCCGTAGTCGTATCTCGTCCTTGTTACCAAAAAGATTTACGAACAGTTGGCATCTACCCAATGTCTACGTCACTCCAAGGGACCATGGTGCCCTTGGCATTTCATATCTTTACCAGACTCTAGAAGATAGATTCAAGGAAGTATATAATGACGGTCGAAGGCTGCACTACATATCCAATAAGTACAAAGAACAATTCATCCGACACCTACAGATACCATGCAGACCATCGCGTTCATCACCGCGCTACTCGCCGCTGCTAAAGCAGTCACCATTCCCAGCACCGGAACAACGTCACTGAGACATGAAGCGGCCAAAAGAGACATCCTCATCGGATCTGGAGCAATCAATCCGACATATCTCGATGATCCCGAATTTGCGGCTGTTCTTTCCCTGCAATTCGAGAGCCTTTCTCCAGAAAATGAAGGGAAGTGGACATTCTTAGAAAAGACCCAAGGACACTACAACTGGACCTCACTCGATCGTCTTGTTGATTTCGCGGAGAGCAATGATATGGTGGTAAAGGGACACGGCCTCATATCGAGTTGCTGCAACCCTGACTATGTACTCAATATGACGGACCCTACAGCACTTCGTGCCGCAATGACAGCTCACTTCGAGGCGTTCATGCACCGGTATGACAGCAAGACGGTTGATCGATGGGACGTCGTCACAGAGGCCCTCGAAACCATGGGTGGCGGCCTGCAGGACAACATCTTCCACAAAGTTCTCGGTCCCGGCTACATTGCAGAGGCCTTCCGCATCGCCCGGGCAGCAATCCCAGAGGCCAAGCTGTTCATCAACGAGAACCTCGTCGAGTCGCTCCCAGACAAACGCAAGGAACTATACGACCTCGTCTCCGGGCTTGTGGCGGACGGCGTCCCGGTCGATGGAGTCGCTCTGCAGATGCATATCACGTTAGCAGCGCCGTTGCCAGGCGTGCTCACAGACATAGTCAATTCCTACAAGGCACTCGGGCTGGAAGTAGCAATTGCTGAAATGGACGTTCACACGCTCAACGACACACTCACGACTGACATCTACGGCGCCGTCATGCAGGAGGCTGTGAGCGCGAATATCACCGACATCAGCTTCTGGGGCTTCACGGACAAGCATCTCTATACTTGGCTGCCAGGCGCAAAGCCACTGATGTTCGACGAGGAGTACAATCCCAAAGGTGCATTTTACGCCGTCCACGATGCTCTGGAGAAATCTATCAACGCACCATAGAAAGCCCGGGAGGTATTCAAGGCACCAGAAAGTCGAATCAGTTCTTTCAATTCGAGTGCGCTGTTATCCTTACAAATTCTTTGGAAATTGAAATTTCAAAGCCTTTGAACCCTTTATATAGAACATAGTTTGTTAACTTTGCGGGCAACCTGTAGTCATAATTTTCTATACTTCGTTCTCATTGCCTACAAAATGATGTAATCTTAACAGAAAGTGTCCATCTGGCAGGTACAATCACAGCTATAAGGTTGGTGTGCAGAACCCCTAAAATGATTAGCATCTCCCAAATACACTAGCAAAACCATCTTTTTTGAAGAAGAAAATAATTAAGATTGGTATATAGCTTCTAGAATCATTTTGAGATTCATCAATAACACCATCTGAGACCCTGGATTGAGCCATAAAAGCAAATGTGTCGCGTACTGCCACTGCACGAACTACGCTATCGCTGTCGGCCGGTTCACATCAACAGACGATACCTGAATCTCGGTTTGTACAATGATACTCTCCTCATCCGCCGTCGTTATTGATTGACCCTCGGCGGCCCTTTCCGCGCTAACGTAACAGCTGGCACCGTCCCAATCCGGCAGTTCATGCTCGATATGTCGTTGCTGCGGCTTCGTTTTATCCACCGAATTCTCCATGCTAGCGATGCGCATGTCGCCACCGCTGGTATAATCAGAAGAACCCAGACTCTTTCCCAGACGTGTTGGACAAGGAAGGAGCCTGACTATTGGTCGGAGCGAGGGAAGGCAGACGCAGACGACAGCCATGCAGTTTTCTATCGCGCTCCAGAGAACGGAGTTCTCCACAGCCCAGTTCGCATAGAACGATCGCATGTCTATTCTGAGTAGCAGCCGAAGCCGGATGGCAGATGCTATTAAGACACTGGTCACGTAGTCTTCGTCAGTGTTCACCTTGAAAATTCTGCCTGAATTGAAGAAAAGATTGAGACTCACAAGCCGCCGAGAAGGAAAAATCCCATAACGAAAACCCTCTGTGTCAGGCTGATCTTCAAGCGCCAGACGTAAGGCATGGGAAGTGCAAGTAGGAATAGATCGGCTACAATATTGGGAATTGAGGTGCCGAAGAAAAAGGGCGCCAGCCGGACGCATTTCGCTGAGCTCCTCAGGGCTGGCGTCCACAGTGAAGCAACTGGAACACATTGGAGGGCTGTGACGAGAAACTGTGCGTACATTTATTGTCAGTGTTGCACTGGAGAGAGCTGTGGTACGTCTAAGATGGGCAAGTTACCGATGCAACAAACCAAGCTACACAAAAAGCAGTGACCAGATATATCGGAACGCGTATCGAGGATGCGTTGAATAGCCTCCAGTAGAATGCCAGAATGGAGAGTTTGAGGCTGAACTGCGTGATGTAGTAGAACAGTTCAGCTACATAAACGGTTTTTGCATTTGCTAAGAGGGTGCTTTCTGGTATTGGATCCCCCCTGATAGCACTGTCATCCGGAAGATCTATATAAGCATTAGATATGGAGGCTGCGCATGGGATTTACCGATTCTTACCGACAAGGACGAGAGATATAAACACTCCCAACCCGACCTTGAAGGCACATTTTAGTCAACTTCAAATGAAGAGGGTCTTGTCTGAACATACCAAACCTGCGCAGGAGAGCCAGTCATCGTACCATATTCCAGCCCTAGCTATCTTTCGCGCCGTAAACCGAAGGATTACGGCAAATATAGCCAGCGGAAAACAGACGGCTATCGCAGTGATTGTCCGATTCCGATATCCAAAGGTGAGGTGTTCTACATTTGCGGCGGATAGAACAGTCGCCATGCTGCCCGAGGGAAAGGGAAAGAGGCTCGTCCCGATAGAAAAGTAAGCATAGTTGTTACTGCTCTTCGACGGTGGTGGGCTCTCCACGCGATTTAATGTTAAGTATAACGGCTGCTCCGGATACTTTAACTGGCCAGACGGTCCAGGTCTAGTACCTTCAAGCCACTTGGACCCTTCACCCCTCCCCCGCGAATTGGAGAGACGTCCGGAAGTGCCTACCTCGATGGGACATAGCGCGGGTGAAAGTAGCCCATCGATAGACAAAGGCCATCACATCGAGACTCACCACGTTGGCGAAACCGAGCACGATAATCATGTGCTAGAGAGGCCAAGCTTTGGGCTTGCCGGCACACATTCTATTTCCACCTTCCATTATGAGGGTATGTTCGGACGTGTTTCCTACCATCCAGGCCTTCGTGTTGCTTCTAATACAATAATGTTTCGAAGATTAATATATATATCAGGATCACACGCTAGCTCTGTTAACATGAATTAGTACACTGTGTTTTTGTAGACATGTCAAGATGGCCAAAGGCAGTGATTGATTTATCTAGCTGCAAACAAAGATCTGAAAATTGTACCACCAGGAAGACCCATTACTTAAAGACTCGCAGAAAACCGTCCCATGTAATCACTAGTTAGCTAATCGTGCCATTGTAGTGGCTTACGCGCTGCTAAATCTTGTCAGTTCGGATGTACTTTCTCATTAAGAATCTGAGATAAACTCACTCCAATTTTTCCTTTTTGCTTCTTCTCAATTGACCTTCGATCTCAATCTTCTTCACTAACTCCTCTGCCAGCCATTGCTCATCCCTGTCTCCTTGGCTAAGAATCTTCCGACTAGCCACCAAGAACCTCTCCTTGAACACATTCCACAACGCCGTATCTGCAGATTCCTGACTTTGCGGCCTCGGATAGAACGGGTCGTTCTTGAAAAACGCGACGCATGCTTTGTCGAGGCCTGCCTCATCCATGGAGATGGGATGGCAACAATCAAAGTCAAGAATCCACAAGCAATGATCGCCTAACCATTCAGATTGAAAGGCGTATGGTGCTTTCTCCTGCTGTCGTGGAGGTGCCAGAACGAACTCGACGTCATTGGCATCAACTTGAGCGCCCCAATGCATGAGCGCGAGGGCGTCTGCCATCGTCTCTGCGTAAGCAGCCACATCAAGACCGAGCTTCTCCATCTGATCGAGGTGAAGAGGCACATTGCGGAGACTAAAGCGTTGGTATCGTGAGGGCCTTGCCGTCTGCTTCTGGTAGTGACCGCGTATTCGTCCAAGATACGGTCGGACCAGGCAAGCATCGTCGGCGTGGTTTTGCTTCACGAATTCCGACAGGGGAGCGTTACCCACACAGAACAGATCCACGATTTTGTTGCTAATCGACCTAGGTATCTTGGGTATGCGTTCTGAGATAAGTGCCCTACATGCTGTGTAGCCAGCGGGAAATTGATGTAGGCGCGTTTCCCACCAAGAGTCATCGGTCTGTTGCACCAATCCATGGCATTCGGGTATCGACAGGGGCGTTGAAGGAGGGGTTTGAAATGCACTTCGAAGAATTCGAACATGCATGTTGTAATCGTTTGTGACAGATCGATCGGGCCCGCCGTCTTCCCGCTTTATGGCGGCGGTGTGTGCGGTGTCATTATCAAGAGCCCAGACACTGCCGCAGAACCCCTTGCCAATGCAATGATATTGCCTGCTAGACATGACTAATTGAGATGAATGGTGAAGCTGATGATTTCTGATAGTTGTATGTTAATGTGTTGATGATGTTAGATGTATCATTTCGTTGAGGAGGATGGTCCGTTGTGATATTGGTCTTGGTAGGCATATCCGAGAGATTGGTCAGTGAGTCAACACGAAACCGTAACTGAAGGTTTCCCACAATTCGGTATCTCAACGGAACAGAATGTTGGGTTCAGTCTCGACCAAGTCTCGCCTGGTCGGTGTGTCGACAATGTTGCCTCGTTTGCCTTTCGCTGCTTTGGTCCATGCCGCAAGGGCCATCCTACGTGACGGACAAACGCGCACGCAGAGGGTCCTTTTTCCAGCTCGTCTGTCAGGCTGAGACAAAACAACCTATTTTTCTTTTTCGCATCACCAAGCTTACTTGTAATTGGTTCACATGGGTATCATCTCGATTGTATTATTGTTCGACATCTGCCATGTCACCACAGCTATCAGAAAGCGTACCCACCATCTCTCAGGAGGACAGAATGTTTGCAAACATATTGCCACTACACCCTGTGAGCAACATGAGAGGCTATTCTTAGTAAAAGAGTCTTCTAGTCGACAAAAGAGTTAGATACGTTTCGAAAATGCCAAATTGACCAGCTCTGTTGTTGTCCTCCACAAGACAACATCGACTGGAGTAGACCATATTCTCTGATAGACTACTATAGTCTTTAGTCAATATTTTTAGAGTAGCTGAGTCTCGCTATCCCCACAACATGCAAGATGGCGGCAAAAACAAACATAAAAAAAGGAAGTGCAGCAACTGCGGGGATTATCCCCAACTTGTTTCCCAAGAAACCAGCAGAACAGAACCGAAAGCGCAGGCTGGCCACCCTTCGATAAGACGATTGCCGTGTCCCGTCCCATGTATAATGTTGCCGTGCATAATCCATACATTTGCATCCTATACTGACCATTCACAAGACTTATCAGATTGGCTCCAAAGGCAACAATCGGGTTGTGGCATCAGAGGTGAGTCGTGCAACGTTCCAACCAATTATACAGTCAATGACAGTGACACAAGTGAGGATATGACCCGTCACACCTTGCCGGCAGCTCTTTCATAAAGTCCGCAGTGCCTTGCCCTTGGTTAGCTCCTCCGCACCAAAAAATGCACCTCCAACATTGCCATCTCGTGATCTGGAGCCGCTGCGCCCTGTGTTGGATGCCTTTGGAAGGCGAGCACGTTTCCATTAGTAGGTCATTGTTCAACTAACCTTCGTATTGTACTATGTGACAGATCTGACAACACCAGTACATGAGAAATACAATGCCATCGACGAAGTTGCCATAACCAATTTCATTCCGGATTGCTGTCCGATGCAAAGTTGTATCAGATGTAGCGAGGCCAATCGTTCATACGCATTCCACACAGCTTGCCACGATGTCGTTTCGCGATGTCTACCGGACTCTGCCAAAGTCAATAATTGTTGGTTCCTCCGATGCACGCAAGCTTTGGTGCAAGCCTATGAGGAGGCGGGCAGCGACCCTAGTCGCAATCAGATGCCCGACAGCTTAATACAACCAATCTCACAGCTGACGGCAGCCGCTCTTTGTGAGGACCTCTTCCTTCACCTTAACACGATTGTCGGCGCGTACAAAATTGATGGAGAGCTTCAGAATTTGCTTCTTCTCCTCCGAGATTCGCCATACAGTGTCCAGTACGATGTTTTCTCCTCTGTGGTTCAAAGCCCAGGCACCCGTCTGATGTTCAAGGAGAGGACTATCAGACAGCTCCAAGCTTTCCAAACGTGGTCAGAACCAATGCATCGTCCAATTCGTAGCGGCGGTGCGCTCTATGCACGCTTCATTGTCTACAAGAGAGCCTCTTATCTTGCCGGTATCTACGACGAGCCACTCGAAGGCACCGTTCGGATCAAAGCACCAAATGTCGACTGGGATTATGTTCTATTGTACTCTGATGACACTGGAATTGCTCGCATGTCTTTCGCCCTCGCACATTCATCAGGCAGACATCATAAACCAGGCCACTTTCAAGCAATTCGTAGACCCTCACGCGCGCATGACGTATTATGGATCACTCTGAAGGTGAGCCCAACATCTCAGTGTAAAGAAAAAACAGCCTAACACCAAGATTCAGGGTCTTCTTGTCACTCGAGTGGACATGTTCCGTAAGCCCATTCACCAAATACACTGGCCAAATTCTACTACATTCCCTTTGTCAATCTTACCTGCGCCCTTGAGCTTTTATGATTTCACTGCAACGGTTGTGTCTCTGGAGGGTATAACAGGAATCTCCATCGCTCAGGCCGAACAGCGAGTCAAAGCTATTCATGCTCACAAGGATGCTCCCGGCGAAAAATACAACTACCCTCAGAGAGATGCTACTTGGGCGTATTGCCCGCTCAACAAACTAGCCAACGAAAGGATCCAGAGAATATGGATTGTGAGCTTTGAGAAGGATGGTTTTGGATTCTTGGTACGTTGTTTTTCCACGAAGAGTCCGCATAATCTGACCAAGGGTACTAGGTTGAGACTACCAAAAAGACTGTATGGCTAGGTGGTTACCTTGAACCAACGGAAACGAGAAAATATCAACCGATTGCGGTACCATCGTCCAGCGGCTTCTACCACAGCCTCGGGACCTGCTCACTGCTATCAGCGATCCCATCGTTCAACCACCCCGTTAGTGGGCCGTTCCACACCACCAAAACCGTCCCGAAACCACTAGATTATCGGTGGTCCTTCAGCAGGGCCTCCTTGGAGAACGTTCAAGCACTAAGAAAGACTCCACGCGGCGCTGTAGAACTCTTCTACGACGACTTTTCGGTATGTCTGGGTGATTTCAGACCTGCCGAAGCTGGTCCTTGGTTGAAAGCCCCTCGTTGGTACAAGGTTGCTCCGTACGTTGCAACGCATTGGATTGACTTCTTCGACGATTCCACCAAAGACGCTGATTGCAAGCCTATGAAAGGCCATATCAACTTCTGGCATCTCCGAGAGCTTACTCATATCCAATTTGACCCACCGACGACGGCTTGTCCCACTCCTCTCTTGTTGGAAACTTGAAAAGGATGGTATATTATTTCGGTTGTCTTTCCTATGCTCACTGCTTGTCAACTGTCGCTTACGTACTTTGTCCTGAGGGTCGGAAAATTTGCTTCTGGAGTCGGTAATGATTATGATGGTAACCAAAACAAATTGCCCGCTTTCCTTATCTTTCACGGGCGAACAACAAATTGCAGTAGGTTGGACTTGGGTGGCTACGGCCGAAGCGTATGACCTATGATAGCTCTCAAATCATCTCGGTATTATCTGGTATCAGAGTGTGGCCACAACATATTGGGGTGATGCTATGACATCTCTTTCGTGAAATGACTGTTGATATCCCGGGACTATGAACCACTGACGTGAAGTTAAGGTACACATCCTGTACCGTACACATAAATGTTGCTACTTCATGCTCCTAGATCGTATTGTCTACAACAAAATAATGGATGATTCTTAACACGGGAGTTTTGTAACCGAAAGACATGTTGAAGATGTCTCACGAATTGCGGAACGGAAAGCGCTCTCAACATGAATTGCATTGCCCTCATCGATCTATCGTCATCCTTAACCAGCAGCTCTAGACAAGCAGCTCTGGACAGGCAGCTCTGGACAGGCAGCTCTGGACAATCTTGAGTGTAACACCACAGACGCCATCAGCAAGATGAACGACGTGGCAAACAGACCAGGCTATCAACCCCCCGCCGCAAGGCATCCATTGCACATCCATCCATCATCTCACCCAAACATCGCCATCCCGCCTCCCCAAAAACAAAACGAAAAACATAGAATAAAAAAAAAGAAGTTCAATAACCACCATTATTGGTTCCCCGACGCCCCCGATGCGCCTCCTTAGTAATAATAAAGCAGAAGCAGAAGCATAAAAAGCACAGAAGTGCCCTCCATCATAACCATCCCATCGTCCGATGTGGTGTGGTCCTTCATCCCTGCGCAGGAATCATGGAATCCCGAGAGTTCCAAACTGGCGGGTCGCACAAGGGAGTGGGGGAGATAAGGTGGCTGGCTGTTTGTGGAGGGGAGGGGCGGGGACGGGAGGATGCGCTGCCGGCGTGCGGGGTCTCCCTTACTCCCTTGCTCCCTCCGTCTTCGTGCATGCGGGCTTTTCTTTTTGCTTGGACTTCGTGTGTTATATTGGTGGTACATGGTGCCTATTGGTGGTGGCTTGCATTTTATTGATTGATTGCTTGCTTGCTTTATCGTTGCTTATGGGTGGCGGCTAGGTATGCTCGCGATTCATCAAGGACTGGGTATCCACTGGAGCGCTCACTGTGCGTCGGGGTCAACACAGGGAGCCTGGTTGGGACCCACGAAAAATATGACAACGTCATGGAGTTTAGGAGTCATTGAGTACGTAGTGGTATTGAGAGAGACATCGTAGGGGAATGGCATTCGTGCTTGGGGAGATAATCCAAGACGACGATGTTTGATGACTGCAGGCAAGGCCAGTGTAACTAGCTTCATCTTCATTCACTACAGTTGAAAACCAAGAGACCTAAAAAGTACAACCCGCATGAAACAATACTGAAATAAGATATGAACCCTTAAATCTGCGCTCGTCGCGTTCGATATGCCTGCTAAGCAACGAAATCTTCCCAAGGGAAACAGGACAAATAGAGAAAGACTCCTGACGCCAGAGCACCTCGCTGAATGGTATACCTTTTAATTCCCAATTTTTTTTTCGATAACACCTATGAAACCTCTTTGAGAGCTGTATCGAATGCCTATCACTGCTGAGGAGCAACGATCTTCCCGGCGGAGACAATGACCTGTTCGTCGAGCCGCTTCCCAGTGTCGCCGTATTCGACTCTCTTCCACGTAGATATTTGTGCCTGGTTGGCGTCGATTTCGAATACTCTGACGCGGCGATGGTAACCTCCATAGCCGCCGTATCCTCCGAAGCCGCTGCCGCCGGCGTAGCACATCCACAGATCTCCATCTTTGTTGGCATTCTGGGACATGGCGCAGTAGTCATTCGCGTGGTCGTGGCCGCAAGACACGGCTTTGATGCCGTGCTCAACGAGTGCGTCTTTGAAGTGGGTGTTGAAGCCAGGGGCGGTGACGCCTTCTTTCCACTCGCCCACTCGTTGCTGACCTTCGACGGCATATTCAGGGAGCGGGATATGAATGAAGGCCATGTCGAGATGGATGTGGGTGTAGTGCTTGTGTGCTTCCTTCAAGTGCTCAGCTGTGTTTCTGAACCATTCGATCTGATCTGGTTTCAACCAGTCGTAGCCTCGGTATTTGTTCTCGTCGGGCGAATAAGCATGAGTATCAAGGAAATAGAGAGTGAGAGCAGAGTGTCTGCTGTTATGGGCCGAAATTTCGATGTAGTAGTTGCCCACTCCAGCCAACTCGTTGGGACCAGCCTCCGCAAGGCAGTAGGGTAGGGATTGATATAGTGACATCTGGGCATTGCGCGATAGAGAGCCTTCATCGTCGTGGTTGCCAAATATGGCAGTGTACGGGATCTTGTGTTCTGCGAGAAGACCAGCAATCTTGAACAAAGCCTGGGGAATCATTAGCTGAAGATCTTGGTACACTACTGGAATATTCTTACGGTCTGTGAATCGGGTGCGGTTTCGCCGTTGACCTGATCTCCGGAAAGGACAACCAGGTCTGGCTTCTCCTCTTGAATGATCTTCTCCACAAACTCAAGGGTCCTAGGGTCCGCATCGCATTTGCCTCCATTATGACCAGGAGGCTCCGGATCTCGGCAAGCACCAAGTCCAGTACTGAGATGAAGATCAGACACCTGCAAGATCTTGAACTTCCCATCCTTCCTGATCCTCGGCACCTGCTTTTCTCTTTCGATCTTCACCGGAGCGCCGCGTCGAATGCTCAGGCGTGGCTCCTTGTTTTCGCCATTCTCTAGACGAAGAGCGCCATTGACCAATTGCCAACCGAGACGAGGCTCGACTGCATCGGCACCGAAGAGCACATCCACTGCGGTGACTGTGTTCTTTCCGTCGCTCGCATGACGCTTCTTAGATCGCTTCAGCCATAGCTTAGCGGGCCGAGATTCCCACTTCTCGCTTGCTTGGGCCTTCTCGCTGATTGCTGGATCGAGTTTCTGAATGCGAACATCCACGATGACCTTGTCATCCTCTGTGAGTTCCTCTTCGGATTTGCGCTTAATGTGGACAAAAGCCTTGTTGACCCAGCCGGTGTTGAGGTATAAATCCTTATCGATGCGATGCCATTTATCTGGGTCGAGCATGCATTTGTTCAAAGGGTTGAGTGCAGAGCAGGTTTGGACGGTTATGTCTGTGATGATGAGTCTTTCGTTGTGGAGCGGGAGATGGTTATGGATCGATTGCGGAAGGACAAAGTAGTAGTTATCGAGGAAGAGGACGAAGAAGAAGGCAACGACGGCGAAGACTGCAAGCTGACAGCCTGTTCGGACCTGTATTTAAGACTGAGATTAGTAGAAGCACCGGTGGGGTCTGGATTGTGAATGACGAACAATTCGGCGGGTCATGATGTGAGTGGTCGCGCCCGGATGGAGGACGCAGATGCGGCGATGCAATGTCGCCTGAGCTACATCTAAGATGGCAAAAAGATTTATGATTGTTTGAGCACGGCCACCATGGCCTGTCGCAGTAATATGGCCTTTGGCGAGAGCAGTTGAAGTGTCGTCTTGAAGGAGGTGCACAAGGGGCGTACTGTGTACTGTTACTGTGTAAATGGAGTGTAGTACGAGTATAGGTAGGTTCACGTGTGGTCTGTTCTACGAGGTACGTACCTACCACCTACTAACTAGTAACCTATCAACTTAATTGCTTGGCTGTCTCTCTCCCGCGGGGGTTTCTCCGCATTCTAGATCTTCTGCCCTCGTACATACAACACTCTACTACCCAGTTCCACCTAACAGACAGGACAGGCTACACCAAGCAGCCAACTACATACGGAGTACACTGCAATGCGATCTATCTTTCGCCTCAAGCACATCAATTCTTCTCCATTACGGTTATGCAAAAGAGAGTTCTCTAATAGCTCTCTGCTTTACAAAACATTCCAAGGCAAGCGCAAACATGTGGCATCTGTATCTCTAATCCCTGTACTCATGGCTTCTCAGAAGGAGATGTCGTAATCCTCCGCCATAAGAGAGACGCCGCCAATGAGGGGACCCTTGTCAGATTGAAGAGTGGGAATGTTCTTCATACTCATCGTGGTGCTGTCGAGCACGCATCAATTATCGGCAAGAGTCCTCGACAATTAGTGAACTCGTCCAAAGGCTATCCTTTGCGCCTACACGACCCTACTTTAGCAGAGTATGTCCGGTTGACTCCGCGCATTGTTACTCCTGTGCGTTACCAATGATCTTCAGAGAATGATGTCGAAAATATGTCCTGAATGTCAACATTTAGCTGACCTGTAAATAGATATACCCGCACGACGCCAACCTCATAGTGTCCCTTCTCGACATTCACGTAGACACTCCTTCTGGCTCTTCCCACGATGCGCCTCTGGAGATCCTAGAGGCCGGCACTGGACATGGAGCCTTGACTCTTCATCTGTCTCGTGCCGTGCATGCTGCCAATTCTGCATCGCCAAAACCTCCGCCGTTTATCACTTCCCGGGAGGAACCTGAGGCTCAAGAGTCCGAGGATGACGTGCACCTGGGCGAATCCATATCCGACCTCCAAGACGCAAACTTTGAATCATGGAAGGCAGGACGCCGAGCCATTGTGCATACTCTGGATATATCCAGTAAGCACTCCAAGTTCGCACGCAAGATTGTGAAAGGCTTCCGGCAGGGTATGTATGCCTGCAATGTTGATTTCCATGTTGGTGATGTCTCCGCATGGATCGACTCCCAGAAATCAGCTAGAGGCGACCAGGGACCGTTTTTGTCGCATGTCTTCCTAGATCTACCAAATGCCCACGACCACCTCGCCAGCGTAGCAACGGTACTGCATGTGAATGGGCTTCTGGCAGTCTTCAATCCCAGCATCACTCAGATCCTTGAATGCGTAGAGATAATTCGCAAGAATAGGCTCCCATACCTACTCGACCAAGTCATCGAACTAGGGGCGGGTAACATCCGCCAATGGGACGTTCGATCTGTGAAACCCCGAGCAACGTTGAAGAAACCAGGCCAATCACCTAAGGAAAGCGAGGTCCAATCGGGCCTGCGACCTTCGGATGATAGCTCTACAGATGCCATGGAGGGGCAGTCGACGAGAGACGATGAGTTGGATGAGGCGTTTGAAGAGCCTGGCGAAGATTCACAGGTAATTGTGTGTAGACCCAAGGTTGGAGAGAGAGTTGTTGGCGGTGGATTTTTGGCTCTATGGAAGCGCATGGAGCCTCCGAGCCACGATTCGTATTCTCCAAGTTCCCATGAAGATTCGTCATAATACAATTCAATATCGCGTTTGATGCGCCGTTGTGGATTGTAGATGCCTAGACACCCCTCTCTATGTAGTGAAGAGTATGAACCTCAAATAGTCTAGGCGTACTGTACATGGTATCGTCACTGTACTGTCAATCCAATCATGGATCTCTGGCCTGCGTCTTCTGACAGGTGCGACTTGCATAAAACACAATAATTGATTCGCTACACCGAAGATTATTTACGAAGTTACAGCGGTGCGAGGACCTGTTAGGAAATGTAGAAAATGCGTGTGAAGCTCTGATTGGTTCAATTGGGAGACGGAGCACGGAGCACCCCTCTGAATGCTTGCCAGAGATTCTCTGAATAATGGGAGCTCACGAGTAATTGCCCATTACCTACCCTATTCTTACCCCCCACCAACCTCGTCACCTCCTCACTCTACTTCTCTCTTTCTCTCTCTTTCGAAAATGAGTGGCGCGGGAGAAAACCGGTATACTTTACAACTTACTCGTCCGATGGTGCATTCACTGACTTTCAACAGCTGGCGTCGGTCAGGACCCCCCAATCGCCAAAACCAAGATGCGCGCAGCGGCACAAATACCCCCACCAACCCAGGCGGCCGACAACAAGCGCTCTCCACGCTGTCTGGAAATGCCTGGGGCTCAGCGAAGGGAAAGGCTGCTAGCGGTGGAGGCGATCGAGGACCTAACCAATCCTCCACTCCTCAGGCAGATAGGCATGTGCCTGTGAAGGACTTCAATGCTGCTGAGGTCAAGGAATTCCTTAAGAAAAGTAAGCCTACAGATCCAATACCCGAAGGAGAAAGAGTATCACTGTGATCGCTAGCTGCGCGGAATACTTTTCAAACCTGAGCAAGCAATACTGACCTTCAATCCAGAATATGTCGAGAACACTACCAGTATGACTGCCTGCTATAAGTCCACTTGCGCACATGTATTGACCGATTCTATCTGCAGACTCTCCCGCCGTATATCACAAAGTTCAGGGCGACTCGGTCCCAAAAAGAAGCAGTGGTGCTTGGGGCTCTCGAGGTGCGTTTAGGGAGTTATATCCCATTGGTATGGCTCCACTGATCTGGACACAGGAAACATGAGCCACCTCATGCCGAACGGGCAAGACTTCTTCACTCAGCTGAAGAAGCAGTTATCCGCACTCGATCAGGGCAAGACATCGTAAGAGCTTGCCTCTACTTGTCATTCTATTCAGCGGCATCAAATGGGCATTGCGGGAGTTCAAGGCCATTTTATCGTCTCCTTTTCTTCATAGCAGTCGTTAAGGTAGGACTGCTTTCTTAGTCTCAAAGTACCAGCTACCCGCGTACATCACGGTACATTGACATACAAGGGCGTTGGGATGGATGTGTGGGCTATTCACGTCGCTTTCTTCAATTGTTTATATTCTCTGTAGCGATACCCGTCTTAACTATTGCTTATACTCGGCTGGAAAAGTGTCTAGGTAATTGTAAGGTGTCGGTTGCTCAGCTTCTAAATTCTATAGTCTTTGTAAAATTAAACAAAGGTCGAATCTGCACATGTGCATGTCGAATCCGTGCATTGTTCTTGTGGGATATGTGTAGCTCATCAAAGAGACCTGTTAAGGGCCAGGGTTATATAGCGTGGGGAAATCGCAGCAACGGGGGAAAGCGCGTCTCCACGACAGTGCATCGACCACATTACATACCCAATCGTGCCAACAACCTCATAGACCCGTACAATACACAGACCTTCGTGTGTTTTGGCCTCCACTACTGGGGTAGCAAGTTTCTCAAACCGTCCAGCAGATTACGGATCGCGGATCTCCCTGCTTATACATCTCGGCGGCTTTGCGCTTCAGCGGTCCACCTCCGACCTCCGCAACGAGGCCCAGCATTGTCAACACAGCATTTTGCAACAGAGGGCACAACGTTTCGACAAACGCTGTAGTTGCTTTTGAAAGGTGCTTATACTGTTCTTGCTCCGACATTACAATATCATAAACATACGGCCTGACCGACACGTCCCCCTAGAGGCTTGGGACCCACCTGCAAACAAACACGCACCGCATCTTGGCCGACGACGATATTGTTGATACCACACACTCCGCACTCCCCACAAGGCCTACAGTCTTCGCGCATACGCGAGGATCTCTAAATCACTTCAAGATGTCCTCGCCTCCGCAAACACCTACCCACCGGCCCGCTTCCTCCCACCGTCGTTACCCCTCGAGCCTCGATATGTCACATAACGCTACCCCCTCGAGGCGGCACTCGCTACACCGACGCTCATCTGGGTATTCGCCCATGACACCGCAGTCCTCGCATGGCTTTGAACCTGGAAGTCCGGTTCAGAACAATGACGGCGGGGGAGATAATGAGTTGGGTAATCTGGCGGACGAACTAGGCGACATATGGGACGATGAAGAGGAGGAGGGCGTTGATGGCGATTTTGGAGAAGAGCTAGAGCTTCCGCAGGAGGGAGAGAATGGGATCGGGGTAGCTCTCGATCACGACGGTTCTGTTGGCCATAACGGCGTCCCGAGAGATAGTGGGGTCGTAATGCAGTCATCGTCGCCAGACTCTAAAACAACATTGAGCCCATTTGCAGCTGCAAAACAGAACGGTAGGAGGCACCAGAGGCAAAGGTCTTTGTACGATGGGTCTGATTACGGAGACGACTCTGACTTGGAAGTCAATGAGGGCATTTCCGCGGGGCTGGAGAGACAAATGGCTGGTATTGAAAGCCTGGCGCGGCGAGGCATCGAAGAGAATGGGAGCTCGTCCGATCAAGTGGTGAAGCGATTTATGGAGCGATTGCGGGATCTTGGAAGCCAGACATCGATCGAGAACGGTGCAATGCGGTATGTTCACAGTTCTGACACAGATTCAGATGGTGATGAAAAGCTGATTAAGTCCGGTTGTAGACTCAAAACAACACACGACGCTTTAGCATCACACTTGACCCATCAATCTCGAACTTTGACATCACTTTCGGCTTCGTTTTCAGGTCCTCGAGCCATTATACCAGATCCTGAAACGATTGACTCACTCCTCCCGCTCATCAATAGTACACTCGAATTACTTCCGCATGCGTCGCCCGAAGCCCTGCACCTGATCACCCAGCTCACATTTTCCAACAGAGAAATGTCACAGCACCTTTCCAATGTCTCAGACTCGTTGCACATGAGCCGACAAGGCCAGACCAATGCCGCCCGCCGCTTGAAGACTGCCAAAGACCAGTTAGCAGACTGGAAGAAAGAGACAGATCTGCGTGACCAAGGGATTCACTATATCGAGTCAGGCGACTGGGACCGAAAACTGAAAGAGCGAGACGCCAAACGAGATTGCGGAAGTGTCCTAGAAGGATTCGAGGAAACCTGCGGTATGTGGAGAAAACGTCTCTGTGAGGGACTCAACGTTGCCAGCGCTTGAGCGCGATCATCACATACTGGTGGCTTTTAACTTTGGCCGAACTTATTTACGCTTCCTCTTGACGAGACGACGAAGGAATTGGAAGAGTAGCAGCATTGCCATTCTTCCACCCTTCAGTATTTACAACTTTCGATTCGACTCCCCAGCGGAGCAGTATGTTGGCTATACTAAACGAACATCATTAGACTTGGCGTTTTTCTATTTTGACAAAGGCATGGGCGGTGGGGGGGGGGAGTGGACCTGGAAACTAATACCCTTTTACACCATTGTCTATCTGGGTTCTGCGCTTAAAGGTGGAGGAGAAAGACATACAAAGGAGTTTAAGAGCAGGATTTTGAAGTTATCGGCTACTGCTACTTTTTGAAAACAGACATATTGGACAACAGATGGTATAGAGTCTTGGAAGCGGAAGCCATACATATTCCTCCTTTTCGAAGCGTTCCTACGAGCGTCGCATCATAGCGGTTTTCATTTGTAGATATCGATTAGAAATCAGAAAGGCGGCATACATAAAGTCAATGAACGTTAATACATATGTCATCGAATACATTCTGCCCTAAAAATTTGACTCCAATCCTAACATTGAACCATAATTCCATGCACTGTTCCCTTCGAAGAGCTGCTTTCTATCAAAGCTACCACCGCCTAGCGCCAATCCATCCGCAGGGTCCAAGCGCCTCTTCGACATGTTCAATTATTTCTCCATCCGACATCACACCTCATATCAACAACACCGTTTCTCCCAACCTCCCACCTCAACCACAAACACACCTCGACCTCAATCGCACCCCACTCAAAACAATGCTCGCACGCCACATCCTCCTCCCGCTCCGGCGCACCCTCTTCGCGCAGCCCTTCCTCCTCAATTCCACCACCAAACCCACCATCTCCGCCGCAGCATGCACCCTCCACACCACAACACTCACACGCACCACACGCCCCACCCTCCTCTCGTCCTCGTCACAATCCCTAACCACCCGCCTGTCAAATCTCAGTATATCGCCGGCGTTACAACAGCAGACAAGGGGAATGAAAGTCCGCAGCAGCGTGAAGAAGCTGTGCGACGGGTGCAAGAGCGTGCGGAGGAAGAAGGGGAAGTACGTGTACATTATCTGCAGCAAGAATCCGAAGCATAAGCAGAGGTGAGTTTTGAATTTCCTCATTTCCCCGCGGGTGAATTCGGGCTGATTGATTGGGTTTAGGCAAGGTTGAAGTTGGGTAGAGGAGGGATTTTGTATGACTATGAGAGGAGGAAATAAGGAGGGGAGAAGAGACGAAGAAAGGAAGGAATGGGAGGAAATAAAATAGGGTTGTAAAGATACGGAGGCGGGGAAGAGGGAAGATATTGTATTATACCGCTCTTCGATGCTGAAGGACGTTCAGGCATGATTATAGGCGTATGGAGGCGCGAAGAAATCTCATGAACCATTCTATGACAGGTGCAGCTTTATGACTGGTATCAATTGGTCCCTAGAGCGAACGCCAGGTTCCAATTGCTCCGAAGAGAGAAAAGAGAGGCCTTTTGATTGCCTGGCGTATGTCTATTTTTCATGAACTATTACTGCTTGAGTGGAATTGCATCGCCGACAATGCTGTAAAAATAACTTCGAAAAGCGCCAGAACTCCAGCCTAGACACGACCATTAACTTATATGCTACCACCGCTCCTATCGCCCCCGATCAGCCCTGCCATCCTCAACAGTTCGCGATCTGCATCGATGTCTCCAGTGCCCAGGTTGATCTTCCGCCGTGCCTCTGCCTCTCGTTCTTGGAATGCCTGAGATTCGTTAGCCTGTCATATTGTACGTCGGCGCCGTATGTATGGGGTGAAGTACTTACCCATTCTTTCCGCTGCTGCTCCGCAACTTCATCTCCGCCGCAACCCCACACTTCAAGGCTGTCAATCTCGAAGCGATCCTGCCAGTCTTTCCCTCTTCTACACGGCAGACTCGACGGATGGAATGATCCTCCTCCCTCGGACCTATGCGTAAAGATGCCGTACTCAAGCGCGTCATCGAGGTGCAGCGAGACAGCCCCAGGCCGGAATCGCGTGTTGGAATGATAGCTGTGCGCGGACGACTGATGCGGGACCGCGGTGCCCAGGCCCACGCCTGCGGGCTGCGTGGGAGACTTGTTGAAGTAGACGTAATCTGTGCTGTACGTAGATGCGGAGAAGACGTCATGCATGGGGGAGAGCTGGAAGAGTAGCGTCTCTGAGTCGCCGAAACAGGCTTTGTGGGTGTGTTTCCAGGGTGCCGGGATGTAGGCTCCAAATGTCATTGTTGTTTCGGCGGCTTCGGCGTCGGCTACGCTGTTGGGGAGGCGTTTCGGGGGTAGCATGTCGGATAGGGTGCGTTCTCGTGTGTTACTGGGTTCGGATGGGAGAAGTCTGCCTTGTACGAGTAGGATTGAGGGTGCTCTCCAGTGGAAGCACTGCTTTTCGAAGGAGCCCATGCTGAAGCCGTGGGTGTTGCCGCTGTATAGTGGACGTAGACGACGGAAGAGGTTACTGCCTTTGATGAAAAAAGACAGTTGGCTTAGCATGGGTAGATCGAGGATGTCTCCTCCACTGCGTAGGATAGGTTCAGGGTCGGTAACAGGCTTAGGTGGTGGTATCACAGGGTGGGTTTCGAGTGTGGGAGACTCTGCACCATCCTTGTTCTTTTTCTTTGCTAAGTCGAAGTCTTTCGCGAACAGGAAATGTTCGAATAATGGGCGCAGGCCATCGAAAGTATAGGGGAGGCAAGTGGATATGACGGTGTTGAATGTGCGAAAGGTGATACCATGACTATGCTCCACGCCGAATGACGACAGGACTGCATTACCAACCTGTCGTAGTCTTTCGACGCGTTCCTCGGATAGGTCTGCGGCAAAGGTGGAGAGGCTTTCTTGGGGGTCAATGGGAGCAATAAGGAGCAACAATTCTATGAGCTTCAAGAAATTGTCGGTCGGAATGATGGAATGATGCACGTTAGTCTGCTCGCCTTGTTTGAATACATCAATCGCATCCATCGAGTCCAGTGCGGCCAGAACTAGCTCATCATCGTCGTTTCCTTCATCCTCGTCCTCGTCCTCGCCAGGTGCATCGATGGCAAACCCTTGATTCCCAGTATGACTCTCTGCGCCTTTATCATCGGTACCCTTTCCTTCTTCATTCTCCGTCTCTTTACGTATACCGCGATCATATACAGCCATACTCCTGTACAGCTCCCGTAGCCACACATCTCGTTTCCTCTTCTTCAGAACCACTCCATATCGTTCCGTCAATATAGTGACGACCTTCAGCAAGGCCTCATACGTGAGAATGGCGGGAGCTTGGCTTGGGAACGGAAAGGCACCGAGAAAGCTAGCCATGCTGAACAGCACGGAGCCGACGGCTAAGGAATCTGGTAGTTCTAGAAAGCGACATAGCGTAGCTTCGCTCCAGTACTTGACACCGGATTCTGAGTCTGCTAGCGACCGGAAGACAGAGTTGAAGCAGTATAGTTCGAGGGGCGTGTAGCACTTTTGTGCGAAACGATGTGCGAGGTTATGATTGAGCTGCTCTAATCAAGGCAGACACGCCATTGTTAGTAACGACTACAAGTCGAGAGAAAGTACTGGGAATTGGAGAGCTTTGGATGTTGGAGAAGTACCTAGTGTTAGATGCGGAGCTTCAGAGGAGGTACCCTGACCCATAGTGTCAATCTTAAGTAGTACAATACATGTGCGAGGTGTTGATGCTGTCTGACGACGTCTCGTTCGTTGTTAGGTGGGGGTCGAATGATGAATGGCCTCTCGACGTCAGCCTGCTTCTATCGATAAGGTGCAACAATTCTTATCGATAAGCTGGCCAATTGTATACAGGTGAATCCACCATCATAACACTCATTCCCTTCTCTACGTACATGCACAAACATCATCAATCACTGAGGAAATTCATTCAATCGTTCTCTAGACTGGTATTTTTCTTAAATCTAAGCCCCTCAGTCCCATGGAAATTCCCAGGGCATGGCCCATAGACCACTTCATACCATAGACTGAAGTATAGGGAGGCCTCGCCAGGCCTACTGGTAGTGAGAGCGAGCGTATAGATGCCCAAACATTGGTTTCTGGACCTCTTCCGCGCTGAATGAACAATGTCCAATTTCCTGTCTGCTCCCTGGAATCGTCACTCCCCACATCAGAGGCTTCTCGACAATCTCATCATATCGTGAGCTGTGCTCGTCTTGGCCATCGCTGTTGCCGCGGATATGGCAAGCAGCAGAGATAACGGCACTGTTCGTTCCTCCGACAATTGAGCCTTTCGGATATCTGCAGACGACTGCAACGAGTAAACAAGTGAATATCAAACCCGAGCCCCACCCGATGCAAGCCAAGAGTGCAGTGTCGGAATATCCTATACCAGAAAAGACAGATCCGGTGGGTTTAATGTGTTGATAGCGCGTGAAATCGGTGTTCGACACATCGAGACGTTTTCCATCCTTGTAAACGCTCATGCGAATCAGGAAGATCGCTTGAGATACGAACCAGTGCAGTATGGTGCTGGACAATAGCAGCGGGATGGACCACATGAAGGGAAGCTGGAGGAAGTAGGTAGAGCGTTGCTCGCCTCGGGGATCTGTGACGCGCAGACTAGCGCGCTTGGAGGCGTAGTTGGACCACTCTCGACCGGTCAGCATGGCGGTGAAAAGTCCGTTGTATGCTATGTAGATGAGCGAGACTACCGCCTGTGGTAAGTTGGCGAGCAGGACATAGGGGATGATCGAGTCAGCGACGGGCAGTCGGATGTCGATGATGAAATCTGAGCCGAACATCAGTACAAAATTGACTGCTCTCTGCAAGGGGCGGCGGACTTACCACTGTCGAGTTGACCAAACCCATTACGAGTTGTATGATTGACGTCTTGATCCAGAATTCTGTAAAACACAATCGCTACAATAAGTGCAGCACCCGATCTGTTCTCAGGTTAGCTGACTACATGCGTACCTTTTGCCAGACCAATACGAACAATGCAAGACAAGCACCCCAGCGGCGTGCGGAACATCCCTCGGCGTACCAATGTCTCTTGCGCGAGCTCCAACGCTGATTGAGTCGCGCAGCTGGAGACTTCCATAGCGTCTCGACCGTTCGCGTTGACATGAGACAGCAGTTCTCAGTCGTAGGGTCTGGGATCTGAATGAAAGACTGTATGGCATCGCCCATCGTTACGATAGTGGCGTGATTAAGACGCCATAATACGAGGACCATGACAATGATCTTCACAGTATTGCATGCGATGACTATACTTAAGATTGTGGGATGAAATTGCACTTCGCAGTGTTGCTCTATAATCTGGCTGAGACAGTCTTGCGTAGCTGTTAGACAGGACTAGACGATAAGTTGAAAGGGAAAGTAAATTGTGACAGCTTACATGATAACTGAGCTTGGTTGGCCTCGATATTGATGTTTCCATAGCCTCCGGCATAGGTAAAGAATGATCGATTCCTATCATTCATCCCAATCCTTTCTTGAAGCTCCTGGGTTAAGACGCCAAAGCCAGTCCCGGCGTCCGTAACAAAGGGTGCTTTATAGCGAGCCTTGCACTCCGAAGCGGAAAGGTTCTGGAAAATCGTTCGATCAAGGTACTTATCGTCCAACACAAGATCTTGAAACCTAGAGATCGTCTCAAATGTTTCCTTGTCCTGATCTGTCTCTACTCGGATCTTCCAGCTGTCCTTGTCTCTAAAGAAGCCCTCGGAAACTATAAGGAAGTCCACATTGTTTGCAGCCACGGTCTGGAAGACCGCAGAGTTGTAACTACCGAGCGGTTCAGAATCAATTTTCCAACCGCGATTGCATTGACTTACACGAGATGGAGAGGCACACTACTGATCCATAAAAGAACCCACAGCAGAAGCCTGGATTTGTGTATGCTCGAGAGATTCTTCACACTGGGAATCCCAATGTCCAGCCATTTCTGTCTTGCATGAGCTGCATCGATCTCCTTGCGAGTAGGTGCCACGAGACGCTGCATTGTGTAGTTGGAAGCACCCAGCAAGATACTACTCAGCAAGTTGATAAGCAGGTGCAATGCTATCACCCAATTGCGTGCCGTTTTACAATTCCCCACGAAAGCTGTGCCAATGTTCTGCACTGGTTGCCATGCTGTAAGCGAAAGAACCACCAGAAGGATATTCAAGATGAGAACAATTGAAGACACGATAATAGAGGCAAGTAATCCCCCACGATACCCCGAGAACCGTGCTCTCCATGTCTTTCGTCGCTCCAGGGACGGTAGATTTGGATCATCTGAGGCATCTTTTGAAAGAAACGCGCTCGAAGATGAGTTCGGATCCATGTTGTCAAGCTCCAGGGGCTGATAGGAGCTCTCCCGTGATTCTAGCCAGGATTAGCCTTCCGCGAGGTATAGCGAACGATCGAGTCTTCGTACTCATGAGGGGTAGCTTTGGAAATTTATTGTCACGCAATATTTCATTATCATATCATGCACAGAGACGAAGTGGTATGAGGATCTGGCTGGATTCCATTTCGAAACCGTGGGTTCACATAAGGAGTGGGACGCCTTGTGCAGGGCTGTGCGAGTAGGTCCGATCTCGAAACGCGTTGGGCGAAGCAGTCGGAAATCAACAACACTCCCCGCGTCAGCGACTGCATTGAAGTTGTATATGCGGACCGTATCCTTCATTCAAAATTTCTACATGTTTAGAGCTACTTTTAAGTAGACGAGCAATCCAGCGCCGGATACAGAATGATGGTATATGTGCCGACGTCGCGCGAAGACTAGCTACACTGTCAGATCGGAGGGTCACCCTTTCGCCTGGGCTGAGACGGCAAGCCTTGAGACTGCCAGCCTCCTGTCAGAAGTTAGTTTATGTTCTTCTTTGATGACTACATGTTTTCTGCATTGCCTACGGTAGATTTTGCCCCTCAGATTTCTTTCATAATTAGTTGACGAGGCTGCCGAACGCTGATCATGTAGCAGTTGATCCGCGCCCATCTTCGGTTCATGGACCAGGTTCACAACAGCGGACATATAAACCAACATCACTACGAAGATCTTCAATCCGGTAGCAGTCAACCCCATATAAAACTGCAACAACTATTGACTAAGGGTTATTGCATGGCAGATTCAAAAGCCTCGACCCCGTTTGAAACAAACAAACTGTAGTGCAATATGACGGAACGACACGCGACTACCGTACCTCAAAGATCAGACATTGATCACAAACAAAGACACTCCGCACACTAGTTTCCACACAGAAAACGACACTCTCCCTCCGGCCAAGCGTAATGCAGCAATCCGAGTAATAATAGCCTCAATTTTCCAATCGGGTTGAGGTCCTTCAAGCTGAGCTGTGCCTCAGCGCCACCCGCCGATCAAAGATACACTCTGCAAAACCCGCACGCCGCCTAGCATATTGGCAAGACCTCTTCCGCATGTCTTCATGATACCCAGCGAATGAATCCGATCATGCTATTCCCCAAGCGGAATACGAAAGACCAAGGTTGTTGGTATTGACGACGTTGGTCCCTCAAAAGGACGCGGCACGAACGCCTCGCCCCCAATACCAACCCCCATGCCAACACATGAACAATGAACGAGCTCATTGAGCAGTCGGGGTAGATGGCTGCATACGACATTCATCGATGTCAATCGAATGTCCACATGGGCGAAGTATATGCAGCAGCCCGTTGTTGAGGACAATCGTACTACAAGTTGCTACCCGTACGACTTTCTCTTCTCTTCTTCCTCTTCCCCACTTGTCGTCTTCTGACCAAAATATTGGTTCAACAAAACACTGATAATTTGCAGCACCACCTCTACTTCTGCTCCTTTACCTACCTTACTATCTACTCTGCTAATGTCTAATCCTTCCATCCCTTCGTTCCTTCGAAACTGAACGTCCACCCACACACAACAAACCACCTCGATACCAACAATGCCTCATCTCCTCCCCCGACAATCAGCACCACCCTCTCCAACCCCCTTCAACTCAACAACCCTCCCATTCACTTGCCCCCAGGGCGGCACTTTTCACGCCTGCGCCTCCTCCCCCTCCTCCTTCCTCGGCTGCTGCACAAGCTCCAACCCCTGCACCACCAGCTGCTTCCAAGGCAACCTGCGCCCCGTCTCCTTCCCCTCCTCCCTCTACGGCCAATTCCCAGACGCCAGTTGCGGCCGCGACTCCCTGTTCTACACATGCCTGTCCTCGCCGCCATTCTGGGGCTGCTGCAAGTCGAATCCATGCGGTGGGAGCGGGTGCAAAGACGGAGACCTCACGGCCGCATTCGCAGACAATCCCGCACAGCAGGCGTGGTACTTCTCTGGTGCAAACAGCACCACCACTCCCCCGACTTCAACACCCACCGGACCAGCAGAAACCGTCACATCGACCGCAGAACCGAACACCACCAGCACTCCTCCACCCCCAGACGACGGCAGCAAGGAAATCCACGTCGGCGCGATCGCAGGCGGCGCCGCGGCAGGCGGCATCATCCTCCTCCTCCTCATCGCCCTCGTCGTGTACCTTCTCCGTTCCAGGTGGAGAAATCCGAAGTTCAGCTATCCGGTGGGCGGATGCGTGCCGCTTGCTTATCGCCACGACGACAGCGACGCTCCGGGCACGATGGCGCAGCAGTATTCCGCGGGGGAGATGGAGTGTATGAAATCCCCTATCCTCCCCTTTAAACTCCAAATCGGCATAATGCTAATGAACGTGTGAAAGATCCACCGACATATACATCCCCGATCCCGCCCTTCGCACAGCAAAAGTTCCACGCCTACACCACAACCACGACCTCCTCCTCCTCCCCGCAAAACTCCCCAGGCTCCCCATCGCTATCATACGAACTACCAGGCTCGCCACCACCGATCGACCGGGGGCAAGAGGGAACGCAAGCACAGCGAGCACGGCATTTCTCCGAGCTGTCCGGCGACACGGCGGTAAGGTGCGAACTGCCTGAGACGCCGGGGAAGGAGGGGAAGGATGGGTTTGGCGGGGTCGATGAAGGTGGAGGGGGTCAGAGGGGCAGTGGGAGGGTGAGGAGTCCGGTTGTTTTTGAGGAGATTTTTGCGGAGGAGGGCGAGAAGGGGAGGGTTGCGGGTGCTGATCGAGTGATTTAATGGAAGGAGAATGAATTTATCCACCTCGGTATTTAATGGTCAAAGTAATCTATGCTATAATGAAAGTAATCTGAATAGTCGATGTTTGGGCGAACTTCCGGCAGGCAAGTAGGCTTGAGGAAGACATAGTATAAAAAGGGTAGGTACTTATGTGAATACTAGTATTATACACGTAGGCACAAGCCTCAATGAATTACTTCGGTGCCTAGTTAGGTTGACAGAAGAATAACAAAGAATCCAAGTTCAATCAGGTCATCACATATAGACAGTCACACAAGTCGAAGGAACGAAATGTTTTGAACTTCTTCACGTTTATTCGTAAATGAGGCTACTACTGAGAACAGGTCCCGAAGTAACTGATGATCTACTTAACGTACATGCCCTGGGGGAATCCATGAATCATTCCTCCAAACCACTCTTTCTTTATTATAGACGCCCACCGTATATAATTACCGTCATGCAAGAAGTGGATGGGAGGCCAAACAAAAAGGAAAAAGACATAACACATGAAAGGGGAATCAAAAGCGCCATCCAGCTTTTTCGAAAGAGAAAAGGAGAAAACGCTTAGTCAACCTCCTCCATGGCGCTCTCGCCAGCGACGTCGGCGGGGGCAGAGGCATCGGCCTTGGCCTCCTGCTCGGTCTCGACCTCCTCGTCGACGTTCAAGCCGAGGGAGACGAGCTTGTGGATGCGCTCGGCGTACTGGACGGGCTCGTCAATGGTGAAGCCGGAGACGAGGAGAGAGGTCTCGAAGAGAAGGAGGGTGATGGACTTGACGGTGCGGTCCTCCTCGCCGTCAGCCTCGACCTTGCGCTTGAGCTCCTTGATAATGGGAGACTTGGGGGAGATCTCGAAAGTCTTCTTAGAAGACATGTAGGAGCTCATGGAGGTGTCACGGAGAGCCTGGGCCTTCATGATACGCTCCATGTTGGCAGACCAACCGAACTGGCCAGTACGGATGGCGCAAGGAGAGCCGGTGAGCTTGTGGCTGACGACGACCTTCTCGACGCGCTCGCCGAGAACGTTCTTGAGGCTCTTGGCAAGACCCTCGTACTCATGCTCCTCCTCCTGGCGCTTCTTCTTCTCCTCTTCAGTCTCCTCCAACTCAAAGTCCTTGGTGATGTCGACAAGCTTCTTGCCATCGAACTCCTTGAGCTGGGTCATGGCGTACTCGTCAATGGGGTCAACCAAGAAGAGGACCTCGAAGCCCTTATCCTTGAGAGAGTCGAGGAAAGGAGACTTCTGGACAGCCTTGAGGGACTCGCCAGTGATGTAGTACATCTGCTGCTGGTGCTCGGGCATGCGGGTGACGTAGTCGGTGAGGGAGGTGGTCTCGTCACCAGACTTGGTGGAGTTGAATCGGAGGAGCTTGGCAAGGGCTTGACGGTTCTGGGAGTCCTCGTGGATACCGAGCTTGATGTTCTTGCTGAAGGCAGTGTAGAACTTGTCGAACTGCTCGCGGTCCTCGGCGATCTCGTTGAAGAGCTCGAGGGTCTTCTTGACAATGTTCTTGCGGATGACCTTCATGATCTTGTTCTGCTGGAGAGTCTCACGAGACAAGTTGAGAGGAAGGTCCTCAGAGTCGACAACACCCTTGACGAAGCTGAGCCACTCGGGGATGAGGTCAGTGGCATCATCAGTGATGAAGACACGGCGGACGTAGAGCTTGATGTTGTTCTTGGTCTTCTTGGTCTCGAAGAGATCGAAGGGAGCACGCTTGGGAACGAAGAGGATGGCGCGGAACTCGAGCTGACCCTCAACGGAGAAGTGCTTGACGCCAAGGTGGTCCTCCCAGTCGTTGGAGAGGGACTTGTAGAATGCACCGTACTCCTCGGTGGTGATGTCTGAAGGGTTGCGAGTCCAGATGGGCTTGGTCTTGTTGAGCTCCTCCTCCTCGATCTTGGACTCCTTGACCTTCTTGGTCTTCTTCTCCTTCTTCTCCTCTTCCTCATCATCGACCTCCTCGACCTTGGGCTTCTTCTCGTCGCCCTCCTCGGTGGTCTCCTCGGTAGCATCCTCATCGGGGACCTCGGTCTCGGTCTCCTTGAGGACGTGGAGGTAGATGGGGTAGGAGATGAACTCAGAGTGCTTCTTGACGACCTCCTTGATCTTGCTCTCGTTGAGGTAGTCGAGCTGCTCATCCTTGAGGTGGAGGATGATGGAGGTACCGCGGCCGATTGGCTCGCCAGCATCCTCGGAGATCTTGAAGGTGCCACCGGCACTTGACTCCCAGACGTACTGCTCGTCATCGTTGTTCTTGGAGACGACGGTGACGCGGTCGGCAACGAGGTATGCGGAGTAGAAACCGACACCGAACTGACCGATCATAGAGATATCAGCGCCAGCGGTGAGGGCCTCCATGAACTGCTTGGTACCGGAACGGGCGATCGTACCGAGGTTGTTGATGAGATCCTGCAGGAAATGTTAGTATTATGGTCATGACGGTAAAAATTGGGAGAGAGGGGTAAACATACAGCCTTGGTCATACCAATACCGGTATCGCGGATGGTGAGGGTCTTAGCCTCCTTGTTGGGGATGATGTCGATGCGGAGGTCCTTTCCGCTGTCGAGCTTGCTGGGGTCTGAGAGAGCCTCATATCGGATCTTGTCAAGAGCATCGGAGGCGTTGGAGATCAGCTCTCGGAGGAAGATCTCTTTGTTGGAGTAGACGGTGTTGATGATGAGACCGAGAAGCTGAGAGATCTCGGCCTGAAACTCGAAGGTCTCGGAAGCCATGGTTGTGTATGTGAAGGGAAGAAAGGGTGTTTAGACGGACTGTAGGGCGGAATGTTAGCGTTCGTGCGTTTTGCCGTGGGTGAAGCGAGGCTCGATGGACAAAGAGCGTATGAAAGTAAAGCAGGACGAAGAAGGGTGTAAGAAGGCAATGAGGCGAGTGAAGAAAAGTCTTTGAAGAGATTGAGGGGCAATTTTCAGCAGACTTTTGAAGACAGGCACCGGTCTTCTAGCGTTGCCTCCTACTGATTGCGGGCGCGGTAGGCTGTGGCGGGGAAGGGAAGGTAGGTAGGTAGGACTTACAAATGGGAAAGAAGAGAAGTAGAAAAGCTCAAGCAAAAGGGTATCTGTAAAGCTGATGGAGCTTGTGGAAGACGAAGAGGCGTCTGTTTTTATGTGTGTTGGAGAACAATTGAGAATGAGGCGGGAGGAAGAGGAGAATGAGAGGGAGGCAGAAGAATTTGTAGTTTGAGTGCTGATATACGTTTGGTACTAGTGAGAGTCGCTGCGGAAGCTCCAGAATCTTCTACAAGTCTCCAGAGAGAATCGCGGCGAAAGAAGGCTAGTCTCTCATTGGCTGTTGCTGGTTGGTTCATCCCTCTCACCGCCCTCACTGCGCCCTACCCTTTCCGGGATTAGCGGCCCATGGTTTCTGCAAAGGGCCATTCATCCCACTTCATTCACTCTCACCCTCACTCCCATCGTGGCCATCCCATCCCATCAGACTCCGCCCTTCTTCTGCTTCCCCAGCAACGCAATGGAGTATCCACCTGTCATAGCAACCTGAGGCAAAATTTGCCCATCTTACATACACAGTACTTACTACCGGAGTCTGCCTGCAGCATCACCGGCGAACATCACTCTACCGCCTTGTAGTCTCCTTCAGCCTCATAGCCTGCTCATCGCTGTTGCCTCCTTGATCATCGTCCAATCGCTAGGCTGTGCCTCACGGACATCATATAGTGCCTTTCGATCCAATTCATCAGGATTTCAGCTTTAACATGTGCCGACTTCTTTAGTGTCATCAGCAGTTCTTTACGACGACAGCCTCTTCTTTGTTGACAGAGAGCTTCATTGACCCACCGCAAACAAATGCTACTGCTCAACCCCTCCCCCTCCAAAGCGACCCCACCTTCCAGAGTACGAACGAGCACGAGTCGAGCACGAGTCGAGCACGAACCGCATTGAGCCCCCTCCTCTTCGCCGCTACTGGTATCAAGCCGAATGAATAAAATGAATACACAAACTTTTACAACGGAGATAGACTATACCAAGTGACAACAAGCATGTCTATGCTGCCTACTCGTCAATTTGAACAAAGAGGACTGCACGTATGGCGGCTTGTGGCCACTGCCATCCCATTGTCTTACCGCTTGGACCCTTGATTTTTTGTCTGGGATCGTGCTCCGTGCTGCTACGGAAACGCCTAGAATACACCTGTGTTTTTGGTGTACTTAATGAATACCTCACGTTGACTATGCATCTAGTGGTAGCCTCGTGAAGCATAGAAGCATTCGGATGAATCTGCGGCCTTCCGTCATATAAACCGTATCACCGAACAATCTCCGCAAGACGTTCCAGCATGCATGTCTACAATAAGCAAGAGATGTCAAGGCGATGACTAGGCGATCTAGAATACATGCTTGCGATCTCCGGCAAGTGATCTTGAGTGGGTGTCCAGGCTGAGGGTTTCCCTCTGGGGCTCCGTTCTACCGGATATTAACCTTGATTTGATTGAACCGCCCAAATTCTGCTCCCATCTCTGATGAATGTCAAAGTTGGATTAGACTGGCTACAGCTCATTTTAGCAATATCCACGAGGCTTCTGATTGCCGGCGTCTGAGACAAATGCATGCGTGCTGATTCTGGGGTGTAGGACAACGTCCCAGAATGTATTGCCGACATACGACATGCTACTTCGGGATATGAAAACACCATATATCGCGGCCAAAAATGGAATCAATAATGGGCACATAAAAATATAATATTGCTTTATAGCCCACCACATGTCCTGATTTTCAACGTCGAAACCTGCTCAACGTAACCCGCCTCTCGCCATGAAGTTTCTCGCCCTCGCCTCTGCGCTTGCAGTTCAGCAAGTCGCAGGTCACGCCATCTTCCAGCAGCTATGGGTCGACGGCGTAGATAAAAGTAATACATGCATCCGAATGCCGTCGTCTAACACCCCGGTGAGCAACGTAGGATCCAACGACGTCCGATGCAATGCTGGTGGTTCCCGAGGTGTTGCTGGTAAATGTGCAGTCCCTGCTGGAGGCACAGTGACTGTAGAAATGCACCAGGTGAGCCTGTTCCTTGCCATCCCATAAGCATCGTAACTTACATTTTGTGTCACAGCAACCCGGAGATCGAAACTGCAAGAACGAAGCAATCGGTGGCTCACATTACGGTCCTGTTCTTGTTTATATGACCAAGGTTGCGGATGCGTCGACCGCAGACGGTTCAACAGGTTGGTAAGTGGAAGCGGAACAAGCCCACAGGAAGCATATCATCTAGCCTATGTCACTTCAAGTGGAGAACTAAGTCCCTGGCAGGTTCAAGGTCTACGAGAACGGATGGGCGGCCGCGAACAAGGGCGCCGCCGACAACGACTACTGGGGCGTCAAGGACATGAACAATTGCTGTGGAAAGGTGGACGTCAAGATCCCATCAGATCTAGCAGCTGGCGACTACCTCTTGCGCGCCGAGGTCATCGCCCTTCATACCGCTGGCCAGCAGGGTGGAGCTCAACTGTACATGAGCTGCTGTAAGTTGGAATAATTTGCCTTTGTCGGCATTGTAGCACTGAGACTAAAAGCAACCAACAGATCAGCTCACAGTATCCGGTTCGGGCACTGCCACGCCTGCGACTGTGAAATTTCCGGGTGCATACAAGGCCGGGGATTCTGGCATCAAAATCAACATCCATACCGCCATAAGCAATTATGTCGTTCCCGGGCCGCCTGTCGTTGCTGGAGGCACTACAAAGGTTCCAAATCAGGGTGCTTCCTGTGCAAAGAAGAATGTTCTACGCGGGACCAATGACATCTTCGCACTATAGACAACATCCACCACTACTCAATGGAGGGACTACATTGTGGCTAAGGAGCATTCAACCGTAGCAACCAGATAGCAAAACACCTTAACTCAGTGGATTGATCAATTATGGGGGAATCTCAAACTTTGATTTTATCTAAATTGCCAGAACAATGGTCTAAATATACAACCGCACGAACTCTCCCAAAGCCATGATGGCCATAGCCTGACCATACGGCATGCTCGTGATAGGGATGTCCTTATAATGCTTCAAATCGTGACCCATGGCCGTTCCGAAACTGACATCCTGCAACTCTCCCTCCTCGTTGATCTTACCCAACACCGCCTTGATAGCCCTAACAGCAGGCTCCAAGAACTCCTCACCCACATACCTCTTCCTAACCGCCTTCAACATACCATACGCGAAGCCCGCCGTCGCGGACGCCTCCTCATAACTCCCCTCCTCCAACGGCACATCAATCAGCGTCCTCCACAGTCCATTCTCCTGCTGATGCTTCTTCAACGCCCTACACTGCGCATCCAACAGCCCCAGCAAGAACTGCCTCAGCGGATCCCCCTCCTTCAACTCCAACAACTCCACGAAATCGGGAATCACAATCGTGAGCCACGAGTTCCCCCTCGCCCACCTCGCCTTCGCGAAATTATGTCCCAGTCCCTCCTCCTCTTCACCCGCAAACTTCCACCCATGGAAGAACAACCCCGTCGTCGGATCAAACAAGTACTGACAATGCAGCAAGAACTGCCTCTTCGCCTCCTCCACATACTCAGGCCTGTTCAGCGTGAGCCCGATCTTCGCGAGCGGCAGCGCCGACATCATCAGCGTGTCGTCCCAGAGCTCGTTCTTGTTGAACGAATTGTACGTCTCGTGCTGGAAGCCGCCGTACCGGGTGCGGGGGAGCCCGTGCATCACCCACTCGGCCCACGTGTCGAGCCAGGGGACGTACGTCTTGTCGCCCGTATCCTCATACAGATACGCGAGGGTGAGGAAGGGCGACATGGTGTTGATGTTTTTGGTGGTGCCTTTGCCGAGCTGTTTGGCGAACCACTCGAGCATGATGGTCTTGGTGGAGGCGTCGCCGGTCAGCGTGTAGTAGTGGTACAGCCCGTAGAGACCGATGCCGTGGGTCCATTCCCAGCCGTCCCAGCCTTTCGTGTCGATTATGCGGCCGTCGTCGAGCTTGAGGAGGAACTCGCCGGTGGTGTCGTGGATGTTGATGAGGTTGTGGGTGAGGAGTTTGATGGCATTGTGGATTTGCTCGGATTTCAGACCGTGGGTTGTGAGTGTTGACATTGTGGTGGTTTCTCCTTGGGAGAGTGTGAAAGAGTTGGGTTGTGTGATGTAGGTGGAGGCTTTGGCTCTCAAGGGGTTGGTTTTGTGCAATTGAGAAATCGTGGAGAGAGAAGAAGAAAGTGAGGAGGGAGAATGAGATTGAAAAATGTGGGAGCTCCGCAATTCAAAACAATTTACCCTTTCTCCGTCTTTTTGAACTCGTCGTCGCCCGCGGGGTTGTTAGCTAAACTACCTGAGCTATGAGTTAAGACGGTGGGTGGTCTTGGTGGGGCACCTCGTGCGCAATCATCCCGAGCTCAATTGAACAACATCATCTTCTCTCACGAAGCTATTTTAAAGCACAATGCTGACTATACAATCCATAAGGCACCTAGGTCCGTGGCGGGCAAGGCATTAATTCGCTGTTGCGTTTGCCAGATAGGCAATGCTGCCGAGAGCTACTCTCTTCAGCCATGGATCCATCGAGTTGCATCAGAGGGAATGCAGTACACCACGCTGTTCCAACATCGGACTGTCCTCTCCACGCCTTTCTGCAAAAGCCGGCATCACGGAATATCACATTTTGGCGCGTGTCGGCTCGCTATTGCATTATACCGCCGTGTCTCTTCCTATGTCTTACTGTGCAATCAATTGGATTGAATAGGCCCGCAACGGCGTCTTGGGACATCGATGGCTTCGGCGGCTTTTGCCCCGACGCGGAGCTCAGGCTACGTGCGGTCTCCGCCTTTTTTGTCTGGGGGCGTGACCATCTTCTTATGGAGGGAACAAATAACACGTCTCACTGAGTAATTATACGTTTTGCTTTGTGGCTGCTCGTCGGCGTAATTCGCATCTCTTTGGTCGGTCGGATGAATGGTGAAAAGATGGTGGTGCTCACAGTAGGGCCTCGGCTCGGTGGAATTGGTCTCGAAGCTAGGATAGACGTGGGGAATCGTGGGTTTCTGGGGTAATTATACTTTTGGTACGGGGTTGTCTCTCTGCCTTTAACATGCCGCGACTTTTGTCTCTTCAAAGTCTTCAAACCCAACTGACATTGTGCACCTTTTCGCCATGTTCCAGTGGTTTTTCTCTCATGAATATGTGCGGTAGTTGCCACTTGCGAGCTCATTATCAATATATCTTCTTCGGACCAGCTGCATGTGCATTTTCTGTACTCAAGACGTCCATTGCCATTGTCCAAATAATTTTCAGTCACCACGTCAACGACGACGACAAAGCTGTTGCATCAGAAACCTGTGTACAATTCTTCAAATGATTGAGAGAGCAACAATTTCAAAAGTAAACGAATACGCGGCACATCCTGTCTTTGCAATAGCGAGATATACATGCACGCTCCCAACAAATCTAAAACACTGACATAGCTGAAGCAAAAATTATAGAGTGCTTTTGGGGTATCGAAATCACCGCTCAAGAGCCGGACATAACCAATACATCAAGGTACGCCGCTGCGTTCTCTTCAAACCCATGCTGCCAAAACAATCCAAACAGCCTCGCAATCTCCATACACCGGCGATCCACCTCCGACACCTACCCAACCTCCCCATAGAACGCATCCCAGAACCGTTCCCTGAGGCGAATATGGTCGTGATGGAGGTGCCATGTGCTCCACGTTTGGACGCCCAGTACGACCTCAAGACTAGCGAGCGAGACGCCGAATGGAGCGATAATGGCATCTTGCCAATCGACAATGCCCGTGATCCCGCCTGTGTGCTCGTCTACATGGATGTTGTTTTCCAACAGGTCGTCGTGCTGAACGACCATGGGGTACTCGTGGCGGAAGAGGAGGGGAAGCGCACCACGGATCTCGTCTATCTTTGGGAGAAATCGCTGCGGTGTGGTCTGTGAAATCGTATCGAGCGTCTGGTTATATTCGTCGAGCAAGTTTGGGGGTGCTTCAATTACTGTTACTGGCTGGTTGTTCCACGCTGATGCAAAGAACCTAGTTTTTCAGTCATGTCTAGTTAGCGAATATCGCCTCCAAGAAAACATTGTCTACAGGAGGGATGCCATACCTTCAAAATCCTCTACAGTCCGCTGCAGAAGGATCTCCATCCCAGGCGCGAGAAACCGACGCCGGACTCGACAGAAAGCCTGTCCGCGGACGAGATCCCATTCATACACATGGGCGGGGCCAAACATGCCGTGCTCTACGAAGCCAGGGACAAACCCTCCATATGATTGTCTTGCCAGCTCTAAGACCTTTGGTCTCAGCTTGTAGGTTCGATAAACGACCTTGGGTACACGATCAGCTTCCAGAGTATAGCTCGTCGCACCCTGCACCGGTGTTGATGAGACGGGGCTATCTAATAGCATGGATGCAATGCTGTCGCAGTCATCTTTGGTGATGGCTTCATGCTTTTGAAAGAAATTCCTTATCTGGGCGGTAGAAAGCCTGTCGTAGCTCTCAGGCTTTGCTGCGTACTTGGTAATATCCATGATTATTCCTGAATATATCGTCAGAATGGACTATGTCTGCTGAAATACGCACAGTGCCGTTTCTGGATCATGCTCAAGTTGTAGACGTGAAGAAGCAATGTGAAAATTTATTTAATGGGTTGCACTAAAATTGTGTCCCTTGAATAGTTATTGATACTGGTGCGCAACACGTGTATCGGGGTAATACCTCACGTAGTTCAGTCGTACAACCTGATATCACACTACTAAACTACTGGTAGGTCAGAGACACAATCATACAATGGCACCTACACAGTACATACATATCATCCTGGCCGCCCCCCAAAATTCAGATTGTCCAGCGGTTTGGCTTTGTCTTCTGCAGTTACTGATGATCCAACATGGTGGAGGTCAAAAGTTCAAAGGCACTCGGAGCACATGGTTTCAATGATTACGCAGAGCCTTGGATCAATTGGAGCAACAGACTTCATTGACGTGAGAAGCTTCTACTGTAATGAGCGTTTGATTGAGTTGCATTCGACACGACAGGCAGTGGGTGTCCACTGTTGGTACCCAAAGAAATGCATCAACCATGTTGATGCCAGGTCTTGTTGACCTAGGTGTGTTATTGCGACTCAAAAGCTCGTCGGTACTTGGTTTCTGGGAGAGGCCATCGAGTCAGGCTGTGTCCTGTGGAACCTAAACATCATTGGACGAAAGGACGGGCGTCTATATTTGTAGCTTCGGGAACGGCCGCAGATCCCTGCAGGTTGACCCCCGCTTTGCGTCGACATCTTCAGGCAGCTCCACCATGCCTTATCAATAAACCGTTCAATGCTGTTTATCGAAGAAGACCTGCCTCAATTTGTGCTTTCTATTCCTTCATCCAGCCATGAGTGACCTCGAATCTATGTTAGAGCAATTGGATCTTATCGGCAAACATATGTGGGACATCTCTCTTGACAAGTCCTCGTTCAGTAGCCTGAAAACGAAGATATCGGACTTGGAAGCGCAGATTGCTGTGCATGATGCACTCCAAAATACTGTGAGGCAACTACAGGAATCCGGTACCTCTACTTTGACAAAACCCCAGAGTAGAGTATCAAAATTCCTCGAAACTCTCTACGGAAACAACGCAAGTGCCACAGACGAGTCCAGATGGAACTCATTGCGCTGCTTGGACTGTGAAACGTTTCTGTTCATTGCCGTATCTTACACTCCCATGGATATCACGAAAATGCCCCGTATTGGGTTCCAGTATCTCATCGAAAGCGCTCCGAAGTATCTTAGTAAAAAGCTGCTCCCTCCTAGATGGATGTTTAGTAGGGAGCTCCAGCTGGGAGTGGCAGATAAAGCGGACCTGGCAGGCATAGCGCAGTTTAAGAGACGTCGGTACCAAACCTCCCTGGAATGCCAACTCAGCTCACTCATTTAACAAGGATATCATGAACTAGAATTTGACATGAATAATACTCTGGATGATGAGGAGCGACGCAAGCGTCCCCGAGCAGGTTCGTCGAGAGTTCAGAATTGCCTTCTATCCATCTCATTTCATACACAGAAGGACAAAGTAACGATAAAGATGGTCCGCCTCGGAAACTATTGCTGCCTCGCTACTACAAGTAGCGCCGAGATAGTCCCGTGAGTATTGCTGCGCAATGTCCTGCATTCACAAGCAGGACACTAAGCCTCGAAACTTGCCATATGTCCTGGACACTGAGGCTATTGTTTGCGCAGGACAAGGGATGGCCTGGCGCACAAGGGGAGCGACTTGATCGCAAGTGTAACGGTTGGCCTGGGTGGCTTGAAAGATTGGGTGAACAGTGCGATGAATTCGATAAAGAGCCATAAGGGCGTCCTCCTGGTTCTAATAGTAACTTTATCGTAAAGTTCTTCTTGTAGAGTTACCCAGTACTACGGGTATCAATAGTGGAGTACCATGGGATACTGCCAATATTCCAGGATGCTGTTGTCATGTGCCGGGAGTCGATGCCAATAGTGAGTCAACAGTCGAACCAGTACCCAATATGTCCAGTGGGTTTTAAATGTACTTAGAATTCACTGTGGACGACTGTAGACCAGAACTTTTCCCTCGCGGCTATGCCAAATTAAAAATGACCCCAGGCCACTTCCCCAGCTGCATCTCCAGTAGCACCCTACGACGATATATGTATGTTTGACCTCTTTACCTATATGTACTAGGAACAGCCTGGATATTTTATACCATCTTTATTAACATGCTATGCAGGAATTTTTCCAGTCGCCGCTATAAATATGCCTCCTTCTGCCGACTCAAATCTACCACTACTATCCTTAGTAGAAACTTGAGCTTCCAGCAGCGTAAGGTCCGGATGATCATCCTCTCCGATACTCACGGCGACGACCTAAAGCATGTATCCCTCCCTAGCGCTGATGTGGCCCTTCATTGCGGCGACCTCACCAACGACTCACGACCCGCGGAGCTCGAGAGAACCCTAGCGATGCTGCGTGCCATCAACGTGCCTCTGAAGCTGGTCATACCCGGGAACCACGACTTCAGCCTCGAGTCGGGCTACTGGAGGCGCCAACAGCGACAAGACAGGAGTAGTGCGCCTACACAGACAAGCAAGGCGGAGGACGACGCCGACTCCAAGGCCTTGTGGGAGCTCCTCCGCCTCGCCCAGCATGATAGGATCTTCTTCCTTCCGCAAGGAACGCACACCTTCATCCTCTTCATCCTCCCCCCCCCCCCCCCC